AATCAAACAAATAATAATATAATGTCGACATAAACAAGAAAACATGGAAATTTCAAAATTCATACAGACGGTTCCCAAGTTTGATGATCCCGGGCAAAAATAAGTAATAAGGCCCATATTTAATTATTTTATATATAACATAATAATAATAATAATATTGATTATATATATATTTTTTTGAATTTTTTTGGTTGTCATAAATAAAAATATAATATTATTATTATTATTTTTAACAATATTAAATTTAATTTTAAATACAAGTATTTTAATATTATATATGTATTTATATATGTATTGGAATACCTTCTCCCCATGTGACAAAGAATCCACGGTATTTGGATTGCTACTGCTTGGAGGATCTTCGTTAAGTTAGATTTTAGTCTCACAATTTATTGTATCTGAAATTTAGATATTCTGGATGTCCTATGATAAAAGCCCGGCAGAAAATATAATAGATGTGAGGGTCTTTTATAATGCTCCAAAAAGCCCTTAGGATTTAAGTTTCGTGTTGGTAATTAAGAAGAATAAGAAAAAACAAGAAGCTGGGAAAGAAGGAACACACTAATTGAATCCAACTTAATTAATTAATATACATAGATAAGTAAGAGGAATCAACATAAACAAAGTAAAAATGAAATGGAAGAACAAATTGAGAGAATATTATCCAATTGTGTGTTGTGTCTCATCCCTGGCCCTTCTCCTTGTGGTTTTATTCCTCCGGTCATTATTTTTTCATTACATACCCTTCATATGACCCTCACAATCAATCCGCTTCTATCAATGATCCATCAATACCTTGTTATGTAATTCCTACCATAATTTCATTCTATGTCCACTTTCGCTCATTTCCCATTTAAAAAAATGTGAACTTTCTTACGTCTCCAGGTCTTGTCTGCCACTCGTTCGCCTAGTGTGACTTGCTTTGTTGAGCCTAGTTTGCAGGCTATTAGGTTCGACCGAGAATTTATCCAGAGCGCACTCGTTCCCCTTCCCCTTTGACTGATTGATACTCTTTCTAGGCCATAATCATCATCTCTCTTATTGGGCTATATATGTCACACTCATCTTCCTCCATTGCTCATTTTCGGATCCAAAACATTGATCTTGTGGGCATGCATTTGACTACTCTTTGTTTACATCAACTTAATTACTATTTTACTTTAGTAATTTAGCTCTGTTGTGTATTTTACCCAAGTGGTAGAGATGATATCCCATTTAATGTGTGTGGGCTAGCTAAGAAAGAGACCAAAAATGTTATTACATCATCTAGAATCAAAACCCTAACTAATAACCATCTTTTGTAGTAATATCGAGACGAATATCTTAATTAATTCACATAGTGTGCATAGATTATGCTATAGTTTGATCATGATCTTGTTTTTTAATGTTAAATTCATGAACACCTAACTTTCAAGGATATCAAACCATAGATTGTATTATCAGGAAAAATTGGCCAATATTTTATACAAATATAAGATATAGGACATTATAAACTCTATGATGATATTAATTAAAAAAAAAAAAAAAAAAACCCTAACCATGTCATTATTTTCGAATATACAGAGCAACATTATTAATTAATATTAATTGCAATGTAGTATTTAGATTATGCTACGGTTACCTCTAGCAGCTTCACCTTGGCATATGATAAATCCCCTAATATATGCTACAATTTATCAATATTTGAAGTTAATTAATTGTGGCAATTATTAATAATAGTAATGTATTTGTGCTTCCCCCTCTATTAATATAGTGTATATATATATATATATATATATATATGCATTGCAACTCAATTGATCTAACAACACCATAGAAAGCTATATAAATAAATTTGAAGAATCCGTATTTGCATTAAACTTCCACAACAATATAATGGCTTCTTCTGGTAAAAGATCTCTCTGCATGATGCTTATGCTGAGCTTACTGGCAGCCGCGCTGCACGGCACGTACAGTCAGAAAATTGACGAAGAAAAAGTGGATGTAGATCGGTCATATATGCCCAACTTGGAGAACCAACCGGAGAGTTTCCTCACAGCGCAGTTACTTTATCTACAGAGCTTGCAGCAGGCCCGACTGTGCGAGCTTTGCAGAAGCATTAAGACGAAGAAACCACTTATCTGCAAGTTAAAATGTCCTTAGCTTGATCCGATCCGATTGTGAGCCATCTAAACTCTGCGTTGAGCGCATGGAATAATAAATATTTCAAATAAATTTAAAGCTATACTCTTCAATCACATCTTGCGTGTTGAATATTGCAAATAAAACTGCTTCAGTCTCTTATCTTGTTGTGGAAAAGTAATGTTCAATTCCTTTTGTTGTCCGGTGCATTGCAAAGGGTATTCCACCATATGAAATGAAGTCGGATTTTCTTACTGTAATTGTGTATATTTGCATAGTTTTATGTTGGAAAATCTTATGAATCTCTACTTGAATATTTGGAGAAAAATTCAAATGGAGATTGAAGACAAAATATATATGGAGCCAGCCTGTATTGTAAGTGTAATTAAATTAAATGGAATCAGGACGAATGCAATGCACACCTCAAAGAAGAAGAGAAATTGATCAATCTGTCTAGGGACGTCAAAACAACCCTCTACCTCTAGCTCTACCTCTGTTAAGAAGGAATATGGACTTCCAATCATATCCTATCCTATCCTATCCTGTATTCAACAACCTCTTTACATCATGTCTGTATTATTTTTAATTGGATCCCAAGGACAGCAGAATTTGAAGACAGTGATTGGTCATCAAATTTAGCGAATTAATGCCCCTGCCATTACTGTTGATTGGTCTTCAATATACTAGTACAATCTAATTCTAATTCTTTTCCTCCTGTAACAATTAAATGGATCGGAAACATACTTTAAGAAATAATGGTCTGCTGCACAGCCCTAATTGTTAAAATGTGCCAAACATATATTTTAAAATCAATCTCTGGTGCTTTATATCATTCTGTTGTGTGATCAGATCTTTCATGAGTCATCGATGAGTTAATAGTCATTGTCGAATGTAATAGTTGTTAAACTGTGATGGACCAAATCAAATTTTTTCTAAAAAAGAACTGTTTGTCGTGGCTCAAGTACTATATTAAGAAGGGATCAGGCTTGATAGTTAGAGTCGCCTTTCACCCTTGTAAACCAAAGAGATATATTCAAAAAGACATCTATTTATTAATGCAAACAGTATTAAGTGATACTACTATCAAGTGATTAGGTATTAAGCCAAAACCTGGTCAATTTATCCTTTTTAATTTATTCTTTATTTTTTCTCCTTTTGTGTTCAAGCTCAAAATTGTATGAAATTTTAGGCAATCAAACTAACTCATAGGTTTGCTATGGGGAACAACGTTTTTTCGCCATTCAATTTCGTTGAAGACTTTAAATCGTCAAAAATTGTCTCTGTTTTCTTCGTCTACAAAATTATTGTTAGATGATATAAATGACTTATCTCATCTAAATTTAACATATTAATGATACCCATAATTTAAATTAGTTTTGACATTATTTATTTACATTAATTTTTTTTAAAAAAAAATAACTAATTTTCTTAAAAAATATCACATTATTATTAATTTGTTATTATTCCCTAAGAAATTAAAAAAATTCAAACATCCAATAAAACTTACAAGGTTTGTTTTCAAAGATAAATGCCGGTCATGTGTAGGTGATCAGTTCTCTTGTGATTGGGACTCATCACTCATTGACCTAATTGGATTTAATGTGTAATATGACCAGAAATATGTAAGAAATCTAATTTTTTTTTTTTTTTTTAAGCCAAGAACACTAACATATTATATATCACAAGATATTTTACTCCTTCCCTCGCCTATAATTATGTTAGGTTACTTTTTTTGCTGTTTAACAAATAATAACGAATTTGTCTTTACTTTTTCTACATATAGCATCACATTTTTTTTTCTTTTTTTTTTTTTTTTTATCAATTTTTAAATAAATTTTATATAATATCTTTATTTTACTTTTTTATAAAAATATTATTAATTTTTAGTATTTGTATCTAAATAAAATGACATAATTAACCAGGACATAGGGAGTAATACATATGACACAAATGTATTCCTTTGTGACTGTGTGTAACAATATATGTGCATACATATTCTTCCATTTATATTCTAAACTTATTCTAGAATATTATATTAAATGTTTGTTTTTTATTAAAAATATTCAATCAAAATATAATTTGTTTTTTTTTTAATTTAAAATTTATTACAAAGTCAAACGAATGCATTTATTATTATTATTATTATTTTCAAAGTTTCACTATTATTATTATTATTATTATTTTCAAAGTTCCGCATCTCCATCTAAAGTGGAAAGCCCTGCACCTCACGACACGTAACACACGTTAGATCCAAGTTTCTTTCTTTAGGACCATAGAATCCATTTTCTAGAAATTATTGATTAAATTAACCGCACAAATATATGTTTATACAATACACTACATTATTTATTTTTCAAAAAACATCACATCAAATACATTTTTTTTTCAAAGAATATCAAATTAAATATTAATTTTTTACCTTTTTTTTTTCTTTCAACTTTCAGCACTATTGATTTTAAATAAAATTTTTTTTAATATCACGTTAATAATATAAATTTTCTTTAGTCAAAATATCATATCAAATACTATTTTTTTTTTTTTTTTGATATTTTGAATATTTTTAAAGTCCAAAACTTTCTATCTAAATGGAACCTATAATGCTTGATTAAAGCAATTATTTGTATAGCTATAAAAGAAAGCAATTGATGACAAAAACAAGGCTTCCATATTTTCACAATCCATCTACATAGGAGTATAAATTAGTCAATGTGTGTGTGGCCCACAAACTATAAATCAATCTATCAACTTGTATGGCTGAAAAAAGAAGGCCAAAGTATTCGTTGTCAAGAAATTAGACCACACTAGGGCAATCTTGATCTTGGTTGTTCTCTTCTCTACATTTTACCCATTCTCCGCAATGAATATTATATATTATTTTCTTTCCCTACGTATACACGTATCCCTAAGCTATGTGTCCACCAAACAACATTAACAATGTCTTCCCCCTTCTTTCGAATATCATTCTCATTGATCTTCTTCTGGTTTTGATTAGCTTTGGCCATGGCAGCAGCAGTGATCCCTCTCCACTTTGCCCTCCTTCTTCCTGTGGCAAAATAAAAAACATAACTCATCCTTTCAGGCTCAAGACTGATCCACCCCATTGTGGATCCAGATACTCGTGGTTTCAGCTCGATTGCAAGAACAACCACACTGTATTCACCGTACGCTCTCCGAGGGGAGATGCCAAGTCAGGAATGTCAGCACGGACGTATTTTGTCCAGAATATTAACTACACTGATCAGACAATAAGGATTGTTGAATCCAGGATAAACACCGGGAATCTTTCCTCTTGCCCTGTCATTACTGATCGTCGTTGGGGTCTCAGAACAGACTTCAATGGATTCTCTATAGTAAACACCACAATTAATGCACGAGTGGCATTCATTCATTGTTTGTCGCCGGTGAATTCTCCGAAATATCTGAAAGCTCCATTCTGCGGCGACGACACTATCAATGTATTTGGCAATTCCTCGGACTTGCATGCTTATGTTACAGTTGGGCATCATGGTCTATTTGTGTCGGATTTGGAGGATTCGTGCATGGTAGATTTAGTGGGTAGAGCTTCGACCCGTGGCCCAATAATGAACATATCTTCATTGCTCAATATCTATGAAGGTTTGGCTTTTGGGTTTGAATTTTACTGGTTCGATGTGGATAAAGTTTGCGGGAGGAGGCGTTTCCGATTCTCTTTGGTACCAAAAGATTTTATGCCCAAAGAATGTTGCTATCTACAACCGAATTCCATCGCCTGTAAGTGTTGCTTATAAATTTCTTTCATTATATCGCCAATTCATCTTTTGTTGTTTTAGCACATTTAATTACATCCCATAATATGAAAACTATCAATATAACAACACGTACTATCTGATTCGATTCATTGTTGTAATCTTCTAGTTACATCCCAAAAGTGTTATATTATGGTATATTTTGTTCTAATCTAAGGTTGCACTAGAGTAATTGCCGTTAACTATGAACTAGTAATATTAAACAGTGCAATGATCATTTTTCTTTGTTATGTTATTCTTAATCGACTCACTAATTAAATATTGTCTTGCAGGTAAAATTTCTCAACAACTTCTAAGTATGTCATCTCCTTAAAGATATAATTATCATGATGATGATCTCTTATTTTTCGGATGATAGGCTTATAGTTTTTCTCTAACTTGTCTTTTTACTTTTTTGTTTTGTTTTTTCATCGCAGGGAAAATTGCATTTACTATTGTATGGGCACTTGGTAAGATTCATATCTACCATTGGATATCTAATTTCTTCTTCTTCCTATGAATTTGATATGGATAGTGCTAATTGTGATCCTCCGGTTGACACATTTTTGCACATGATGATGCAGCTGAGATCTTTGCTATCAGGCTTGTGGTCGGATTTCTGATTGGATTTTCACTTCTAGTTTGGTTTGTGGTTCATAAATGGAGAAGACGACATTTATCCGCAGATAAAAGTATTGAAGAGTTTTTGCAAGATCAACATAACTTTGCACCAATTAAGTATGCTTACTCGGAGATTAAGAAAATGACCAACAGTTTTCAACAAAAATTGGGTGAAGGTGGCTATGGGAGTGTATACAAAGGAAAACTTCGAAGTGGTCCTTATGTTGCAATTAAAATGATGGACCAAACCATATCCAGGGAAGAGGAGTTTATCAGTGAAGTCGGAACCATCGGTTGTATTCATCACGTCAACATAGTGCAACTCATTGGGTTTTGTGTAGAGCATTCCAAGTACGCTTTGGTGTATGAGTTTCTTCCAAATGGTTCTCTTGATCGATACATATTTAGCCAAGAGAGCTTAGGGATTACGCTGACATGCGACAAAATATTTGAAATTGCACTCGGGGTGGCGCGTGGAATAGGCTATCTACACCATGGTTGTGATATGCAAATCCTACACTTCGACATCAAGCCTCACAACATACTTCTTGATGAGAATTTCAACCCCAAAATTTCCGATTTTGGACTCGCAAGATTGCATTCTACTAATGAGAGTTTCATACGTTTGACGGATGCAAGAGGAACAATGGGATACATGGCGCCAGAAATGTTTTATAGAAATATGGGAGGCATCTCATACAAGGCTGATATCTATAGCTTTGGGATGATGCTAATGGAAATGGCGGGTCGAAGGAAAAATTTGAATCACTTTGTAGAAGACCAAAGCCAAATCTGTTTTCCATCCTGGGTGTATGACCAGCTCTGTGCCGGAAAGGACATAGAGATAAATGATGCAAGTGACGAGGAAACGAGAATAGTGACAAGGATTATGATCGTCGCATTATGGTGCATACAAATGAGACCGTCAAATCGTCCCCCCATAAGAAAAGTTGTAGAGATGCTTGAAAGTGAATCGCAACCATCGATGCCTCCGAATCCTTTTGCAACTCTGAATGAGATAGCAGACGATGAACATGGAATAACTCCAACTTATAGTGTAGATTACATCAACTTGGATTTTGGTGAAATTTGAATGTTGTATAGTTTGATGACTTGTGTAAGGTTTACAAAGTACCAATGGTGTTTGAATCCAGCTCTTGAAATAAGTTCACTGGAATAATTTAGAAAAGTATATCTTTTCTGTTTTTGTTTTTTACTATTCAATCTATTGAACTAATTTCTTTATATAAGTTCAATTATGTTGCATGTATGTTTGCTGTAATATTTACTATGGATAATATCCAAAAATTTTATTGATATCTACTGAAGAAGTAATGTTGACAAGTAGAATTAAATTAATGACTCAACTTCAAAAATTTTATTTTATGTTCTTAATAAGACGGTCGTAAATACATATTATTCATTCCTATATGCTGACTTGACCGGATCAACAGTTGATCCATGTCCTAACAAGACCGTATTGTTGATTTCCATCAAATTTATATTCTACTATATTTTTATTATTTACAGCAATTTATCTTCTATAAATTTTATTTTAACCTTGTGCAAATATATATACTTGAATTCATAAATTTTGGCAACATTGCTAAATACAGGGCGACCATAGGAATCAAACATATCTTTCTTTATTCATACATTATTTTTCACAAGAAGGTGCGATCCAAGCATACATGTAATGTATAGCTGCAGTTTTATTTGAAACACAGATGCAACGCCATTATTAGAGTTTAGCTAGCTCACAATGGGATCGGAAAAATTAGACAGACTTGCATGCTTTACACATGCTTGGTTTAAAACGACGAAGACCTTTGCAATTCCTGCAAACTGCACTCTCCAAGTAACTGCACTGAGAGGAGAGGAGATCCTCACTCCTAGGTTGGTTCTGCACAGCCAATGGATCAACATCCACCTATTCTTCTTCGATTTTCTGACAGCAGGCGCCGTGCAGGGCGGCTGCTAGCATAAGCACTATGCAGAGAGAGGTTTTTCCAGAAGAGGCCATGGCTGTGGAAATGTAGATTTTGAATAGTTATGTTCCTTAAGCTGCAGTGCATATTTACAATACAAATATATGACTATTATTAATACATGCCACAATTAATATGAATATCTCCTTGGGACATGGGGATTTAGGTTTATCATGAGAGGTAATTCAGTGTAGCATAATCTAAACATTATATCTCATTTAATCTTAGTATTAATATTGTTGTGTTGGCCTCTATAATTAGCGATACTGATGTTTATATTAATATACTATATAAAATATTTTATAGAAAATTATATAATTATATATAGAAAAATATAATTCAACGCAATAGCAAATATTTATAAAGAAAGTCAATAGTACAATAATCAGATTATACAATACAATATAATATATAACAGCAAATATTAATACAATAAATATATATATATATATAGCATATTGCAGGAGGCTCCTAGCAAGAGCAGTGTCAGCAACTAAATAAAAGAGGATTCATATTTTAAAATATTAATCAATTATTATTATTACAAAATTTTAAATTTTAAACTTAAATTAAAATTAAATCTTAATTTATATTTTTTCTTATTCTACATATATTTAATTAAATTTATATTTTAAATTAAATTTTAAATTTTAATTATATACTTTTCCTACATCTTTCCTTCTGACCATACTGCACTCATCTTTTCAAATATAATTGTTGTCTACACTCCTTCAATCCGCCTTCAATATTCTTCTCTCAAATCAACACCGTTAGACTGCCACCTTCAACGTTTTGTCTAGCCGATGCCAACGTCGGTGATATTATTTTAATAATACATTTAATTGTGTGTTTATAGGGCTTATAATATATATTTGCTCAGGGCTTCAAAAAAGTCCGAATCGGCCTTGAGCATATCATATTATATAATTGCATATAACACAGTATATGTTAATTTTATCACCAAATATAACTCACACAACACATGAATCTATATGACTTGCGATGATTTACTAATTACTTCAAGTTAATGTGTTGACTTGGTAATATGTTATCTGTCTTGTGATAATTTTCTAAGTAATTCAACTTAGTTTGCTAACTTGATAATGTGTTGTTATATATATTTTGTGATGATTTGATAACTTAATCAAATCGCGATAGTAATCAAATCAGCATCTTAGCCGCATCTATGAACCTATGTTTGTATTGTCTACAATTTAAGAGTACACCTTTTAGCCATAGACTTGGATATAGTATGTTTACAATCTAACGGATCTGATGTTGATCTACTTAATTACTATTACATTAATTAAAAAAATTAGTATTGTATAATTGCACAATTCATAAAAATAATTACCTTAACGAAAATCAACTTATCAAGTATCAACCAATATCAATGTATAGGAATCATAATTTACTAAAAACTTTACTATTAACAAATAACAAACTACATTACTAAACATATATTTCCTATGTCTCATTTTAATTGACATCTTTTTCATTTTTTCCTGTCAAATAACAATTAATATTTTTATATTTTGGATAAAAACTTATTAAATAAAAACATATTTAACGAATATAAATTAATTACATCAAAACCCCATTATTTCATCTCTATCATAAAAAAAAAAAATAGTATTTTTGTCTATATTTAAAACTTTTTCACTTATTAAATTTTAATTTATATAAATTATACATAAATATACTTATTTTTTTTATTTACATGTATTATAAAAAAATTTCTTCTCTTCGAAATGATATCAATATTGTATATATTTTTTGTTACTATATAATTTTTGAAATATTTAAATACATGTTTTAAGTTTTCTAATTATATATATTAAATTTATTTTAAAACTACATATAATATTAATTATATAAAAAATAATAAAATAATATTATAATTTACTATTATTAACTGATCACATATAATTATCTTAAAAAACTTGTCACTAATAAAAATGTTCAATTTTTCTGCGACCGGACTGGAGAAGTATGCTTCTATATATCACAAGTACTTTGTGTATTGAAACGAATGATTTCTGACTAAAGATTGAATTTTTTATTATTATTGATGTCAATGTACAAACAAGAGAATAATTTCCCATTAAAGATCAAATTTTTTCATACAATATAAAAAATGTTTATAAAATGAAAATATGTATAAGGTGGAAATTTCTAATTATCAAAATAAGCTAAAATAAAAATAATTGTAAAAGTTATATATATCTGAAAAGGAACATGCATGTCCTTAAATTCAACATTACTATAATTGAAAGTAAGTTAGAGATGTTCATGATCAGCAGGCATGCACCAAAATGATGGTTTTATTTCAAATGATAGATATTCACACACAGCATTGATGCAACACCTTCCTACACTTGTTCATTCATTGTATATGTGAATAGATACATATCAAGTAGCAAATCAGAGACGCTCGCAGTCGCACATTCCTTTGCAATCTTTACTAATATGCAGAGTATCCAGGCTGGGCCCTGCAACTCTTCCCCCTTGTCGAGATAGAATGGGGTATTTATATCCATGGCATTTTCCTCGGAAATAATCATCCTCTTTTTCTTCTTTGACAAGTTGTCGACCACTGATGATATATAAGCTCAATGTAACCAGGATGCAGATGTAGATGTAGAGCCCCATGGTTGGAGTTTTGTTGAACATTGCCATATATTATTCTTTGTTGTCTAGATGTAAATGTAAGGGTTTGCAAGAAATTAGATGATCAGTGAGTAGTTGGTTAGCTATTTATAGATGAAAGTTATCCTCCAAATTAAGTGCATCAAATTAACTTAATATATATAGTGAAGCCTAACCAATGAGTCTTTCAATGTATTTTTTTAATTTGATGCTGGGATCTAATAAGTTCTCAAATCAGTTAGTTATTCTTTTATTTTGTTACTTTAGGTAGAATTAATTTGTCATTATTTGCCACAGCTACATGTATAATAATATAATGAAACAAGAATTATGTGTAATGAAATTGTGGTAATCAAGATCAAAATGCACACAAGAAAGGCTATAACTTGGTAATTCGAGCAAATAGTATTCATATGCTAATATGTGTAGTGTAGTGCAGTGAAGCCTAACCTATGCGTTTCTTTCTCATTTTATTTGATGCCGAACCGGCTATTCTTTTTCAGCTACTTGCTTTCATTTAACACATTATTTAGCTGTTTATTTTCATAAATTACATTTTATTTCATTACTAATGCAATCCTAACTATGATAATAATCATAATTAAGAGTACATTCTCAATTCACACAGCCGGATTATGATTTTATAAAAGTCTATATATGCCCAACTCGGATTCCCGTTTAAATTAGTAATTATAAAAATTAATATTATATATTATCTAAATTATCATCTTTATTTTTATTTCTCTAGCATTACTCATCCATCTTTATTTATATAATATAATTAATGTTTTGATTTTTATGAGATTTGTACATTAAAAAGAACTCCATACATAGACGAAATCGAGAACATAAAAGGGCTGGAATAGTTTATGCATGAAGATGATGATTTTCTGAGAAATCTGAAAATGTGAACTCAAGTCAAAAAGTAATAATAAAATCGCTAACAAGTTAGAGATGTTCAGCAAGAAAAGCTCAGTATCACACTATGATCATTTTATTTCAGACTTTATTATATATATATGTGTATGTATGTATGCAGTACTGATGCAACACAATCAATCCTACACTTGTCTGTTCATATATTATACATATGCCATTTTCAACTTATTTTATTACGACTGACTATACGGGTAGATGGAGTGCGATTACATGCTGAATCAGCAAAACGAGCATAGTGCCTCTTTTACATTATTTGCTTTGCAGATCTTACAGATTCTTCCCTGCAACTCCGGCGCAAACAGGCCCCCAACATCCTCAACATCCACTTTCTCTTCTTCGACAAGTTTTTCAGCTTCGGCGCTGTGCATCACCACTGCTGATAAGCTCAACATAACCATTATGCAGAGAGCTAGGCTTTGGGTTTTGTTGAACATTGCCATTCTTTTTTGTCTAAATGTAAATGTATAATGATCGGTGATGACTATGGTTGTGGATGATAGAATCATTTCATTTCTCAATCTATTTATAGATGTGAAAGTTATCATCCAAAGTGCATTAAACCTATAATGAAGCTAGCTATTATAGTGAAGCCTAACCTGCACTGAGTTTCTCAATTTAATTTATTAATTTCTAGGGATCTAATAAGTTGCCAAATCGGCTATGCCTACATTATATATTGATGTTGAATTACTTGATGATTATATTTGAATTAACCCGTTAAGTAATGAATTCAAGTAATTTTATTGCCTGAAATTATAGATTTCTTAAAATTGATTCATTTTTAGATGCAAGTGCAACCAGAGTTGTCAAGTAAATCCCAAAAGTTGGATATGTTATAATTGATTTTAAATTTTATAATTTCCACTGTTTCATTCTTTATATTGAATCACAATTCCCCTGTTTCTTCCTATTATTAATATTACATTATTATATTAATTGTTTCTCTACGCATGGTCGTCGGAGAGGGCCCAATTTTAAATTTTGAACTTCTAAATTAAAATTCAACACAAATCACAAATCCAAACTGCTTCATTTATAGTGTCATGTATCTTTCGATCTTTAGCCATAGTCATGAATAAAAAGTAAAGTTACTTGATTTTCAACAAGTAAATATAGTGCAATTATAAAAGATTTTTTCTATTTAGTCATGACCATCGTTAAGCTTCTGCCCACCTTTGTTATGTTACTTCATACTTTAATTCATGCAGTATGGGCATCTTCAAGTGTGTACCCATGTGTTTCGTCCCCAAGATAGCTCAAAACGATATTGTCTTCGAATGAATCCAATAAAAATAAAATAGGTAAGAAGTTAGTGATGTTGAGGTACAAATCCAAGTCTCATCATATCAGTTGATATAAAAAAAAAAAGTTTACACTTTATAAATCTCACGTGTACGAGTCTTTCTCTTTCCAAATTCACCCATCGTTTTATTTCAAATGATATTCGTGCATGTACATGTAGTATTGATGAAACACAATCCTACACTTGTTTATTAGCTATCGACTTATTTTATCATGGCGGCATACAAGACATATCAAGGAGACAGGGATGATGAGGGAAGAGCCATTACGCGCCAAATCAGCAAGTCTTGCATATCTTGGCTTTTTTATCTTTACTAATTTTGCAGAGAATACATTGAATTACACCCTGCAACTCCGGTTTAAACAACCCCCCGATATTATCAACATCCACTTTCTCGTCTTGGACAAGTTGTCGACCTTGGACGTTGTGCAGCACCACTGCTGATAAGCTCAACATAACCATTATGTAGAGAGCTAGGCTTTGGGTTTTGTTGAGTATTGCCATTCTTTTTTGTCTAAATGTAAATGCATGCAAAAAATGAGTGAATGGTTGTGGATAAAATTATTTATCTATCCCGCTATTTATAGATGAAAGTTATCCTCCAAAATGCATCAAACTTAATGAAGCTAATAATATAGTGAAGCCTAACCAATGAGTTTTTAAATATATTTTGCTGATGCATCACATCTAGGGATCTAAGCTGTCGAATCAGCTGTTCTTCTGTGCCTACGTTCTTCTTAAGTTTTAACTAGTATGTAGATGCTTATAATTTAGGTAGGATTTGTCACTCTCTCTCTCTTTCCCAATAAATATATATATATATGTATAGAGAGAGAGACACAGAGAGAGAGAGAGAGCTAATTCCAAGTAGACTAATGTGATGAAAATTTTCAGAGGATTTGCCTATTGGAAAATTATACCATGATTATCCAGACTTACTCAAAAAAAATATTAACTGATTTCAATTTTTGTGTTATATAATTCAAAATTATGAAGGAAACCCACTAAAAGGATTTTGTTTCTTTGTGTTATAAATCCGAAAATTTATTTAGACTATGTGTTTTCGAGAAAAAATATTTTCGCACAATATTATTTTCATACGATATCTAAACCAAATTCTCTCGGTCCATAGTAAGTACTAGGAATTTAAATAATTTGAAATGCATAAAATCTGAAAATACAGGAAAAATAAATAAAATCGGAATTGAAATGAAACGCATAGTAATAAAAAGAAAAGTAAGATAAAAGATAAAAAGAAAAAGTAAAAATTAACAAATTGTAAAGAGAAAATTAAATTGTAAGTTTGGAAGCTAGCTTAAACAAAACTGTGTTGTTATATTGAATTTGAATCCATCAGCACATATATACACTACAGACAACATACATGTTTCTATGTGATATAGCTAATTATTGTGCTGTATAAAAAATACATTGTCGTCTATCCCAACATGGATTTGCTACCTTATTAGACTATTTTCATAAAAGAAAGGTTATTATTACACCATATATAAATATGAGCTGGGACAATAAGTTATCAACCTTTTTATCACATAAAAGAGGAAGGAAAAACAAAAGGTGACATTAGCTGCACACATTTTTCAGCCTCCTCGACTGTTTCCGTATATAAATTTTATATATATAAGATGCTACCCATACTTCGTACCCGTAAAATATCTATCTTCTAACATCCTCTGAATCAAAGCAACCTCGTACAGCTGCAGATCGCCTTGGAAAAATAAAAATAAAAATCCCTTAGCTTCTTGGTTATTACAGAGAGGAGGGTTCAACAAGGCCAGTTGGAGGTTGTCTTGATGGGAGCCCAAATGTCGGCGCCGTTGCTGCTCGCCACTCCAACCGTAAGGGACACTGGAACCAGGCATAACCCCGTCGCTCTCAGCCCAGATGGCTCGCCATTGTATTCCTTCAAAACAAACACAATCAAACAAAATGTCGACCAAATGTCTTAACAGTATACGCGACTAAAAGATAGCTCCCTCACCTGCAGTGGGTGCTGCACCGGTGCACTATACAAGTACGGCGCGCTCAACACCTGTATAAGGTCCCAACATAAATCAGATTCTGCAAGATTTTCTTTTTCCTTTTTTTTGGAAGGGGGGGGGGGGGGGGGGGTGGAGGAGTATGATGATTTTAAGGAAGGGACTGCTGTAATGAGTTCGAAGTAGGATTGGTTTTTCTTTCATTAGCCATATTGTGATGAAGCAGGGGGTGCGCACCTTGACCTGCTCGTGAAGGAACCGAATGTAGTCCATGGCATCCTCCAAGACCGAAGCGGTGTCTGTCTGTAGATGTAAGAACATCTTTAGTAATGTGGAAAAATGAGCAACCGGGCAATTGTCAAAATGTGCGCATACCTTCCCGTAGGGCGAAACAAGCTGCTGTAGGGCTGCAATCCTTTCGCTAACTTTCTCTTTCTTTTCCTGTCGTCGACGAAAATGAGTTTGCAATTTAGCAAGTCTTTAAATCAATTGTGAGAGTGAAGGGACATGGAGAAAATTAAAAAAATAAAAATCAACTTAGGGCAGCAGGCTAACAGAGTTGCTCAAGGAATTCGAGATCAAGCTCGAGCCAAAAAACACTTTGCTTATTCGATTTATACATATGTATTTTTTCTGTCCTTTGAATCTATACTCTTTTTTATTTTCGTCTATCATCAAAATTTTATTATCATTCCTTTTTTAGTAAAAGATTATGTTATCTTTGTATTTTTCTTGATATAAAATGAAAAAGTATCAATTATTGCTCATTTTAATTATTACTCATTTTCATGAAAACATTTGCTCATATGTTTGAGCATAAAATTAAATGACGGATGAAGTATACTTTTTAATTAACATAAACATTTGTAATTGATGTTTTCTAATATATATTTTATTCAAAATAAACTATAATATGGTTTTAGTTTGAACTCGAACTCGAATTCACTAAATTTTGAGTCAAACTTAGTTCATTAGAACAAATCTCTGCTTGACTTACGGCCCTAACTTTAACTACAAGCAAAATAAATATTATCAACTCGAATCTCATGAGTTTTTGATGAAATGTCATAAGAAAGAGAATCCTTAACAACTTAAACAATTAAATAGGACAACAAAGAATCTTCGACTAACCTTGGAAGAGAGGGGCACGTCAGTCTTCACACGTTTTGGCATTAAGTCCATGAAGCTACTTTGCTCGAGCGAGACAGGGCCTCTTTTGTGCTGCATCATCTTCTCCACCGTCCTTTCCTTTCACTACAAACCAGACACCAAAAGGATCAAACAATGAACGATAAAGAAAGAGATCACAGTACTCAAAATGCATGTAACCATCCATCGACAGAAGAAGGTTCGAGCTATGTGGACTGGCAAACAGAAAATGCAGCAGCATAAACAAAATCATTAGAGAGGTTTAGTACTACTGTACAATGCAGAGCATGTAAGTGTGTGTGTGTGTGTGTGTGTGTGTGTTGTGGTCACAAACTTCAATTCACTGATGGATATTTATTGCACAACAAACTCAATTTCCATCTGAAGCAGAAATTAGATTTTCTTTGGTTGTGAAAAAACCCACATTTTTTGTGTAAATGAATTGGAGCAGATAACAACCATTCAACTACCAAAATGCCTTCAAGATTTATATATATCAATATGATGACAATGAAATGAAGATTGTTACCAAAAAAATTTCTTGATGATTAAATAGTGAAGGGGACTGAAAAGAGCATAATTGAAAAATATTGCCTCCTGTGGGTCCTAATCACAACAAAAATATATATATAATACACACATGTATATATGATAGGTGTCTGCTAAGATAAATTATATATTAAGTCAATGACCATGCAATTTAAACATATGGAAGTAATCATTCCTAATTATCCAAATCTCCATATTATATTCAAATTGCATGTCTAATAAATTTAAAATGTATAGATTTCCTGAGATACGTATTTTTCATCAAGGGTTTATGCTATTTCCCTTTATTTATTTCTAATTACAACACATCTCACAGAAATGAGCCATTTCCCTAATTATCATTTATTTATGGACTAATTATGCAAACAAAGCACACGAAGATGGTGAACAGTGATCTTCCAACACTTCCCACATATCATCAATTAGCAGACGAAGCAAGAAAGAACAAGCTCAGACAGAAACAAAATCAAATACAAAAATCTAGAACAGAAATCAAATACCCTGAGGGCGAAATCAGCATCAAAATCAGCCAGGCGAAAAACCCCAACTTTGATAATCAAACCGCCTCAACAATCAGAAACAAAAAAAAACCAGTGCAGGATTTGAATCCCCAGCCTCTCTCACTGAAAAAAGGCCTTGATACTCGAACCAATAAATGCAGTAAAAAAGCAAGGACTGAATAGCCTTGCGGCGTGAAATTTCCACAGACAGAGGCCCGAAAGCAGCGGGCGGATTGGGAGATTGCGGGCGAAAATCGAACGTGATTGAAGGTGTGTGGAAATGGCGGATTTTCGAAAGGGAGTTTTATATACAGAGTGGGAGTGAGCATTTAATGAAGAAGAAAGGGTGAAAGTGAAAGTGAAAGTGAAAGTGAAGAAGAAGAAGAAGAAGAAGAAAAGGGCAAACACGGAGAGAAGGAAGAACGGGAGAATACAAATAGAAATGGAAACTTATTTATTCATTTACTTATATTTATTTTTACTTAATTAAAAATATTAATTATTAATAAAATAAAATAAATTATATGACAGCTAATATACAGCCGCGAGATGGAAAGGAAAGGAAAGGAAAGGAAAGGCAGAGGAAGAGTTGTTTCAATTGGAGCTCTCGCTGACGTCACTTTTACTTTTGAATATTTTTTTATATATTTGCCGAAAATCATTGTTGAACTTGATGTTGAGATTTTCATATAAATTTCTAAATGAAATGAAAGTTGGTGGAACATTAGGTATATAATTAATTTTATATTTCTGCATGAAAAAATCTTTTAATATAAGTAGAATATTTTTGTACATATTTTGTTACTACAATATAAATTAATAAATCATCAGTTAAATTTTGTATTTGTATTAATATGCACTGTCTTTGTTTTCAAATCAACGGTTTACTTCTAATGTAATAATATTGATATAAATAAGTCTATAAAGAAATTTGTAGTCTGCGATTAAACATGCTTACTAAAATACAGTTAAAATAAAATAAGAAATACTCCCTCCGTTCCAGAACTATAGTTTAGATAACTGGATTGTGTTTTATTGATATTGTATTGGTAGTAGATAAACAGTAGTAAAAGATTTTTTTGCACTAAAAAATAGTGGCAACTGTGTAATAATAATGAAAAAGTAATTATAGTTTTACAGTGATATGATTATTTATGAAATGAAACTATTGTTTTAGAACGGACAAAACGCATAAACAAGACTATTGTATTGAGACGAAGAGAGTAGTATAAAAAATAGTAATATTTGTGTATGTCGAATGCGCAGAATGACAATCTCATTTGAAATGATGAGATTTGAACTTGGACTCTTATTCCATGTTTTATGCAAACAATGATCGTCTCACCTAAAAAATCAAGTTATTAAAAAAATGCACTTTTAATTTATTTACCCGCAAACAAAAATCTCCTACCGTGTAATAATAATAATAATAATAATAATAATAATTTTATAATTATATAATTACTTATGAAAATTAAACCATTATTTTGAGACGGTGGTAAAACAAAATTATTAAATTAAAATTGAAAGAATATTTTAATATTTATAATTTGTTGCACAAATATTATTATAATAATATTACAATATTTTTTTATTTTTTTAATTTATATTATATTTTTATACCATAATTAATATTCAAATATAAAAATAAATAAATAAATAAATAAACGGTAAAAATAAGAGAAGGGGTAAGTAATGTAATGTAATGTAATGATATGGATTGAATTGGTATGTTAGTTTTAGAGATGCTTGGCGCCAAATCGCTTTCGCAGCCAGTTTTAGGGACACAGGTAGGTGGCTTTCGCAGGTGGTCGGGGCCCACATCAGGTGAGAGACCATCTCGTACCGTCCACGTGGTCAATTTGGCACGTGGAAGGATCGCAGAGAAGATAAGAAGATTCGGTCCCGGCCCCACATGGGTACTCGGCCGTGCACAAAAGTCTAAACAAGCCTGGATCGAATTCAACACGTGGGGTCCACGCGCTTTGGACTTTGTTTCTTTCTCTTCCTTCCTTCAACTTATACAGTTATTTCTTTTTTTATTTTCTTTTCTTTTTTTTTTTTTTAATTTTCTCCATGCATTTACAAATTACAACCTTACCCTTTACCTTACCCCTTAGGCCTTTATCTTTGTGTTTTTTTTTTACTATTTATTAAAAAAAAATTAAATATTAATACATATCTTTTTATATACAATCTTATAGATAATAATTATCTCATTACAAATATATTAAACATAAATCAATAAATCATTCTATTTATTAAATACAAATAACTTTTAGTAAATAATATTTTATATGAAAATGCTTCATTACTATGTTTAATTTTTAATACTTCATTACTATGTTTACTTTTTTTTAGTCAAAATATATTATTTTCTCTTATAAAATATCGTATCACAATATTATTTAAATAAAATTTTAAATCAATATTTCAATTCAAATCAATTTCAAACTACAGCGAAAAAATTCCGATAAGTTAAGAAAGTCAAATGAAAATAAAATTATGAAAGCCTATGCTTAAAAGTTTTAAAGAGAGGAAAAAAAAAGGCTTTTTAGGAAGAAGAACAAGAAGATCAAAGAGTCACCTACCCAAAAAAAAAAAAAAATGCCCCAAAATGATGAAAGAAAACATCCTAATGTTAGATTAGGAAGATAATGGTAATGTTTAATGAAGTTTCATTGATCGGAAATAATTGGGTGAAAAATTTAAACTAACAGGGATATATATAATTTATTTATCTATAAACGAAAGTTAATCAATATGTGTCTTCACGTCCAAGGGAGATAAGCTAAAGTTTTGATATTATATTAGACGATGTAAATGATCTCTTATCTAAAATATTAAACTATTAAATATATACATTATTTATTTATTTATCTACAAACGAAAGTCAATCGCCGATAACCACTTATAAAATTAATTATACAGTCATCCTATTTAATGAAATATTCAAATGATCATTTCTTTCCCTTTCTTTTATTAAGGATATTTGTTCAAGTACTAATAATAATTTACTTTGATAAATATTATAGTCCAAAAAAATACCCAAATTTTGGATATAACAATTATTATTATTGTTATTATTATTATGTATAATTCAAAAATAACGACAAGGCATATACATATATATATATATATATATCCAAACCTTTTATAACGTTGAGTTGATGTTGATAGGATTGGTTAGTTGGTCTCCCAAGTAAGTAGTATTTATTAGTATTTTGTTCAATTTTAAAAATGATACTATAAAATAATAAATAATTTAGTTGAAAATCATGTGACAGTCCACCCGGAGATTGAGGCAAAATATAAGGATGGATGCAATAACTGATGAAATACCAATTATTTCTCAATTTTCAATTTCAAGCCATCAAATCAAAATTAAATTAAATTAAATTGAATTGCGCTTAAGGTCAAGAAATCCCATCAAATTTTTATCCATTACTTCCTCACTCATTCCACCAATTTTTTTTATTTTATTTTTATTTTTGAAAATAAAATATCATACGTGTAGTTTACATACATATACTATTAATATTGCATTTAATAAAAGAGTTTTACTAGTCAATAAAAATCACATATATTCTAATAAAACCTTCTAGAAACATTGATTATGGTAATATGGGTAACTGTTTTTTTTTCTTGTTTAAATATGTATAAACATGAACAAATATTATAGAATATCAAAATCCATGCTACAATAATTAGGTCGATGAAAATAAATCAAACTCGTTGATAATAGTCAAGTAGAGAGCAACAAAATTCTTTCTACTTGTTTGAATTAACAAAATTGAGTTTGCAAAACATTTTAAAATTAATTATTTTATTTTTTATTTATATCACATTATACAACTATTTAAATTAAATTTTTTTATAACATAAACCCATGACTCACGGTCACACATTCCATCCACACACCTAAGACCATCCTTTATGAAACACCCTAAAATTTTTATTTTTTTTTGTTATGGAATGTAGTGGCCAAGGTGATTTAAAAATCAAATTCTTACCCTTAATAATAATAATAATAATTAAAGAAAAAAGGACCAAAACTTAGGGTGTGTTTTTTTTAGGTGATTTTGGAGAAATTTGAGTTTGAGTTTGATTTATATATATATTTTATTAAATTATAATTATTATAATTTTCTTTTTATATTTATAATTTAAAAATATTAAAAAAACCAAAAAAAAAAAAGATGACAACAGCAGTCAGGCCGTGTCCCCAAAATCAAGGCTGCCCAAGTGCCCAAACTTGGGCTGCAGAAACACACCCAAGATTAAGTGTTTTTTTTTTTCATTTAAAATTAAGGGTTTGTTTTTAGAGTCAAAAAAGTTTCTAATAAATAAAAAGTTGAAAGATAAAATTGTGTTCTTCCATTCCATTTGATTTCTCCTCTTACTTGCTTAATCATGCTCTAATTTAGAAATACTCGTATAAGTTTAATCACATGTATTTGATCCAATCCCAAACATATATTAAAATTATAATATTATGTTTGCTCTATATGAAAAAGAGACGAGAAAGAAAATAATATTTTTATATTTGATTAGACAAGAGAAAAATCCTTATACTATATAAATAAAGAAAAACAAAATATTAAATAAAATTTGATTAATTTATTCATAAAGCATAACACAATTTATTTTTCTAATATAATAAACAAAAAACTAATAAAAATTCTCCCCTCCAAATTTCTCAAATTAAAAAGAAAAAAAAATTTTAAAAAATTAACTTTCCACCACTCCCTTCTCCTCCCTTACCCTCTAAACAAATTGAACCAAAAAGAAATTTTTTTAAAATTCTCTCTCTTTCCCCTCCCCTATTAAACCCTCCAACCAAATAGACCCGTAGGCTTGGTGGACGATGAATGTGAGAATAATACTAATACACTTACAAATTTGCAATGGATTATGGTAACGTAGGGTATACTTCTTTAATAAAAATCTTTTTAAATTTAACTATTAGGATTCTGCGTTCTTTTAAGAAATATATATATATATTTTTTTTTTCAAAATATCCCATCAAACATTATTTTAATATCAAACATAACCAAAATTTTTCAAACTCAACAAAAAGAAACAACACTCCTAATAATAAAATTAGGATAGTTATTAAATATTATTTTAATGGAATCTCTCCTAAACAAGCCCAAACAAACCGACATTTGATATCAGTCTTTCTTGCCTATTAATGTGGGTATATTTTTATATCAGTCTCTCTCTCTAATTATGTGTATGCATATTATTTTTTATTAATCTTTGTATGAAATCTCTCTTCTCTTCTCTCTCTATAGAAAAGGATAAAAAAGTTAGTTGAGAGCTGATCCGACTAAAAAATCCCTCCGGAGCTTACGTGTCCAAGGCGGAATCGATCTCTACATTCCGAATAACACTCATATTTAACAAATAAATACACACAAACCAAGCCAAACATGCCCTTATTTCTAACCGACTGAATCAAATCAAATCAAGTCATATATTTGTGTTGATCTCTCAACTAATGCTGATTTTTAAACTGAATCCCTTTATTAAATTAAATCAAATAATAAAAATACTAAACCATACCATATTTAGACAAAGAATTATTAATATAAACAACGAATTATTAATAATTTATATAAATAAAGAATTATATATTTATAATTAATTTTTTATGTATATTATCAAATTTTTATAAAAATAACAATAATAGTAATATAAATAAAGAATTATTAATGAACAATTATATTGAAAATGAACAATGCTATTGTTGAGTAAAAACAAACAATGTACAGGGTTTTCGAGAATGGACTTAGGGCTGTGGACTGGTGTATAATTTAATGGGTCTGTTAATTGGCAGTGGGATCCTAAATGGGTCCGAACATAAGCCAAAATGGCCCAAAAGTCGGGCAGAAGGAAGTCGGACAAAGAAAGATGATGGCAGACACGGAGGTCGGACAAGATAAGGTCGGGCAAAGAAAGATGAGATGGCAGACACGGAGTTCAGACAGAAGGAGGTCGGGCGAAGAAAGATGAGATGGCAGACACGAAGGTCGGACAAGATAAGGTCGGGCGAAGAAAGGTGAGACGGCCGACATAGAGGTCGGTCAAAAGGAGGTCGGGCGAAGAAAGATGAGATGGCAGACACGGAGGTCGAACAAAAAGAAAGGTCTGTTAATTGGTTGGGTGAAGAAAGGGTCTGTTGGTTGGTCGCTTAATTAAGCGACCTGTTAATCGCCTGATCGATTGGCCGGTCACTTGGTCAAAACAGTAGTTTAGTCGCTTGAAAGGACGGTCAGTTGGTCGCTTGATTGGGCGACCAATGAATTGTCTGGACGAATAGTTGTTCAGCCGAGTAAAGGGACCAGATGGTGGTCGCTTGATTGGGCGACCAATGAATCGTCCGAACGAAGGGTTGTTCGGCCGTTTTAAGGGACCTGATAATGGTCGCCTGATTGGGGCGACCAATGAATCCTCTGGACGAATGATTATTCAGCCGATTGAAGGGACCAGATGGTGGTCGCTTGATTGGGCCGAACAACCACTCGTTCAGACAATTCATTGGTCGCCCAATCAAACAACCACCATCCGGTCCCTTCAAACGGCCGAACAACCACTCGTCCAGACGATTCATTGGTCGCTTAAACAAGCGACCAACTGACCGCCTTCTCAAGCGACTGAACTACTGTTTGACCAAATGACCGGCCAACTGATCAGGCGATTAACAGATCGCCTAATTAAACGACCAACTAATAGACCTTTCTTTCGACCGACCTCCGTATCGGTTGTCTCATCCTTCTTTGCCCGACTTCCTCTTTCGACCTCCAAATGCGACCTCATCTTGTCCGACCTCCGTGCCCGACATTATCTTGTTCGATCTCCGTGTCTGTCCTCATCTTGTCCGACCACCGTGCCCGACCTTATGTTGTCCGACCTCCGTATCTGACCTCATCTTGTCCGACCTCCATGCCCGACCTTATCTTGTCCGACCTCCATGTCTGACCTCATCTTGTCCGACCGCCATGCCCGACCTTATCTTGTCCGACCTCCGTGTCTGACCTCATCTTCTCCGACCGTCGTGCCCGACCTTATCTTGTCCGACCTCCATATTTGACCTCATCTTGTCCGACTTTTGGGCCGTTTGGCTTATATTCAGACCCATCCAGAATCCTATTGCCATTATTGATAACTCTTGATTTTGCCATATTTTATAGCTTATATTTATTTAATTAATTATTTATTTATGTCGAGTTTTGGTATTATTTATGTTAATTTATTCTAATAATTATATTCATTTCATCTTGTTTGTATAATATTAAATTATTAGTTTTTAAGTGTAATTTATAATTATTTTGGTGTATAAATTAAATTAATTGATGTGTTTCTTGAATTATATTTTTTGACATTATTTATGTGCTATTTAAGTATTTAATTTTAACTAAATTAATTTTGTTTAATAAGTATTATTTATTTAAATAAATGTTTATAAGATGTTCGTTATTTATATAGGTGAAATAATGCTTGAAAACTGATATGGGAGTCCAAAACTGGCCTTAAAAAGTGAAAAAATGGCTTCAGAAGCGAAAAAACAGTCACCGGCGTGAAAGTCAACAAAGTCAACGGTCAACGATAGAAAGTCAACGCGCGAAAGTCAAAGTCAGCCGAGCGCGGAAGACAAGCGACGGCCGCGCGGAAGGAAAGCGACGGCTGCACGAAAGTGCGCAAGCGCGGAAGGCAAGCGAGCGCGGAAAGCAAGCGGCGGCTGTATTTATGAGCGCAGAAACAAGCGACGGCTGCACGGAAACTTTGACATTGAAGTGAGTGAAGCGATGGCGGCTGGCACGAAACGCAAGCGGCGGCTGACACGGAAATATGATCGGAACGGAAGGCCATGCGTGGATGTGAGCGAAGCAGCGGCTGGTGCGGAATTTGACGGCTGGTGCGGACTCCATGAGCGGCGGCTGCATTAATTCTCGCTGCATTTATTGCCGCTGGGTCAGCAGCTGCATTTAATATCCGGACTCCCTTAGCTCTGCAAACCGATTTTCTCCCCATTTTTTCTTTTAATTCATGCATATTATTTTAACTAGTAAAATTCCTATCATATTTCTTCACCTCACCTTCACCCAAAAATTCCATGTTCGATTTGAATTGTTCAAATTGGATTTCGATAAGGTTGCGAAAGGACGATAGAAGAATCGACTATTTCAACCCTGTTTCATGCCAAAAGCAGATTCCGGGTAGTTCAACGTAGCTAAGTACACGGGAGCCTTGTCGACCTGCTTAGTTGCTGTTCTGAATTCAATTCCGATTAAAGAGAGGTAGGGGTAGAACCACTAGCGGAACAGTCGGAATAATAATTCATGGGGCATAGGTGGTGGTCTATTGGGTCACAGAAATCCCTAGTGACAGTAGAGTTTCTTGCTTATAATGTTCTTCGCCGGGTGTTGCTGAAGTCTCGTTGTAAATCCCCTAAGGTCAAGTACCAACCGAGTCGAAAATTGGCTTAAGCGAGCAAATACGATCACGCTCATTTCTCCGTGCCGCCCCGCAATTATACATATATTTATCACGCCATCATCATCCCGCTCATTTCATCCATGGAAATCTAGCCATTAAGGAACGCATAAGTCAAACACAAACGCCTCGCGTCATTCTTTTCGAGATACATATATTATAACGCTTTTTAGTTAGATTTAATTTCTGCAATTTATTTTTTCAGCTTCTTCGATTGCATTAATTCATTGCACTTTTTCTAATTAAATATAGGATATTCGCATATTCCCTGAGTTCGACCCGGACACTCACCGGTTAAAGAAATTTTTTTTATTTTTGACGAAATTTTTGGAGTTACTACACGAACACGCACGACACTATTTTCATTTTATACATATATTATTTTTTTTGTATCTTAAAAGATATTTTTAAAAAGACTCCAAAAATCTTCGATCAATTATGATTATTATTTTTTGTACTCAACAATAATATAAAAAAATACTTTAAACTAAAAATACAAAAAATAATACACCAGTTAAAAAAATTTAAATTATTAATCTATTTAAAATATCAATAGTAATATAATTAAAAATAAATAAAATTAATTATTATAAATAACTATATGCAATTGTGGCAGTATATTCAAATAAAATATTATATTTTTATAAAACCAATAAAATATAATTTAAATATCAATATATATATACATATAATATTTTTTTAAGAAAAAAATATTAGGTAGGAGGGTACAATGGTAAAATATGAAATTTAAATAAAATAAATTTTTAAATAAATTTAATAAAGGGGGATGAATTACGAAGGGCAGGGCAGAGCAGGGGGATGAATTACGAAGGGCAGGGCAGAGCAGGGGATGAATTACGAAGAGGTGGGGGTGGGGCATGGTGGAGAGCGACTGCTTACAGGACAGGACAGGGCGATCCACAAGAAAGAGGTCAAGTGTTCTTGGATCTCGATCTCGATCGATGCAATAGCAGGTGAGTCATTTCTGATTCTTTAATTCTCCATGTACTGCCCTTCTTGAGTCCTTAAGATTGCTTATCATTTTGTAGGGCTCCGCATCGATTGATCCTCCTGCAAATTTAATTTTAAGATCAGAATATATACAAGCAAGCTGCTGCTGTTTCGGGAACCATAAATGGTAATTTTAATTTCATTCTCTTCTTTTTGTGAATGTCATATATTTCTTTTGCTTCACTCTAGATTTTATTAAACACCACATGACAAGATTTTAATATGGAAGTTTGTTTATCTTGATTGACTAATTAATTATATTATTAGAGCAGAGCATACATACCTCATTTGAAATCAAATTTATGCTGTAATTTCTTAAGTTATTCGGTATTATTATTCTTCAAGTTGTTGATATATTATTGTTCATTATATTCTAGGCTATTAGATGATGCACAAGGTAACATACATGTCTACCTTCGACCAAATGTTAAATTATAAGTATGCACTCATTCACAAAAAGCCATATTTCTTTCTCAAGGTTTGGTAATTAATTACTCGATCCGAAAACAAAATACTAGCTAAGATTTATCGACATCTGAATAAGTATTTTTTATATGAAAAATAAACAATTGTGTAAATTTTTTAATATTATTTTGTCTTTTCTATGCATATACATACTAATATTTATTTTAAATCTTTTTAGATGCATACGAGAGAAAAGGGCCGGATGATCGGACAACCGAACCTATAATAGGGAGCACGAAATCTACACTAATCAAACAATGAAAGTGAGTAATTGTGCAATTCCAATGTTTGTCGAACCAACAGAATAGAGTAACATATATATCAAACTAACATACCTGATGTCAATGGTCATAACATCGGAATTGCTTCGGGGTTGTGGTGGCGGCGGTGGACAGGTATAATTTGGAGAAAATACCTGGGAAAAAATATAAGCACGGATCATGCATCAAGCTTCTAACAATATATATATAAGCATCGTGAGAATGAAAAATCAAACCTGATTGCAGATTTCACAGGTGGTGTCGCCCTTTTTATTGCACCATCTCTGAATACACTTCCTGTGGGCAAACTACATTACACCAAAACAAAATTCAATACACTTATACTTACTCATCATCAGTGCGGTCATAAGAAACAAGTAACAAACGGATATATTTAACTTGTAGTGATAAAATTCACAAACAAACTGAATTATCTCGTGAACTAGCTGCCAAACAAGTTTGAGTTCTTCAGCCAAATACAACTATGTCATCCTAGACAAAGAAAAAAAAATGCTATAATCCATTTGAGAACTTACACTACTTCCAAGTTTAAATCAAACGACAGAAAACTCATCAAGTAAATAATAAACTAAAACAAAATCATAAAAGTAGTCCCGCACAGTTCCTGGCATTCGCTGTTCATTTGCACCAAAAAAGTTCAAAAGTATGGTATGGGTGGGAATACCAACCATAAGTGTTTTTCACCTCCCACATTAGAATTTGGCATGGAATTGGAGAAGGCCTAATGTTTGGAAACATGTTCATGTTCCTGCCATAAAATCAGAATATTATTTCCAACTTGGTGAAAGTACCACGAAAGTAACTACAAACACTAACATCATTCTTTTGGGAAGATGTTTACCTACCAATGGTGGTTTTGAGTTATTTTTAACTATATTGTTAGGTCTCTCAGGTTCTTTATCTCTGTAAGTTTTCTCCTTGGTCCATTTTACAATAACCTACTTTTTTTCTCTATAAATAATAAGGATCGATAAGTGGTGATCATAAAACTAATCTTGGAATCTCTCTCACTCGACATTGCCTCAATGCTTAAAAAAGTGTGCATTGATTAATGGATAACCAATCAAAGGACGTACAACCATGGTGGGGAGTGTAAACAAATAGGAAAAGAAGCAAATATATCTTACTTGATAACAATTACTAATAAACATGAAATAAGAGGTTGTGTGTGAATGAGCAATGCAATCTCAATGAGTGGGGACATCAATCAATAAACTGTGCAGAGCAGCCAAAGGACAGGAAATTCAAAATTGAGAAAAAGGATGCAAGTAATGTACAGTTTGCATGTATGTATATATATATATATATTAACAAGATAAGAAAGCCCGAGAGGAATGGCAACAAGTCAACAAGGAAGCTTTAACTCTGAATCTCAATACACAGAAAGAATTTATATCAAAGCATTGGCTTATTAACTAGAGATTGATAATGTCTTCTTCCTTTTGTTCATTCCCATTTAAATATTGAAAATTTCTACCGAAGAAGTTGTAATCGAATCAATCCAGACAAAAGCAATGCGAAAAATATAATCGGAAAAGAAGGGGAGAAGAATAAACCTTGAGAGAGCCGCTACAAGCACAGGGAGCATCCATGTCTTTCTCGTCATCCTCCTCCTGGAAAATTCTGCACTCTCTCACATTCAAGCCCCCGGCGCCGGCTTTGTCTTCATCTTCGACTTCTCCCCCTTTCTGATGATCCCTGCCGCTGCAGTTGTCCGTCGTCGTCGTCGGCGTGTCTTGGCAAGAGGCGGAGGACGGCATTATCCTGTCGACGTAGACGACTACCACTTCATCCACCATTGACGCAGGTAGCTACTTGGAATTGAAGTGTGTTCGATTTTGAACAGAAAATTGCTGAGAATGGCGGTGGACGCGGTGGCGGTCAGGGCGTGGTTTGAGGGGGGAATAAAAAGGCGGAAAAGGACGATTTTACCCTGCTAATGAATTGCGGGCTATATCTTTCCAATTATTATTATTATTATTATTATTATTATTATATTCGTCCATGCCTCTGCCCGTCCGCTGTTATCATCCTTTCGATATACTTTTTGAACGCAAACAAAATCAACATAGCTATTATTATTATTATTATTTATGAAATACATTATCAAAATTTCGAGTAAAAAGTTTCAAATAATTACCTAACTAATCTTAATAAATCGCGTAAGCTGATTCAATGCATTTGTAATCAAAAGCAAGATTTGGTATTAATTATATATGATTCAATTGACTAAAATATTACAATAATATATTTATTTATACTTGTTATCATATCTTTTTATTATAAAAGCTTTTTTAAAAAAAAATATCAAAATAAAAAATATATGTGTTTAATTTGTATTTCAAATATACGATTTCAATAAAAATATATAATTCTATTCTACAAAATACTATTTAAATTAAAACCAACTACACACAAAGGAATACCTCCATAATTTTTATTAGAGTAATTGATTTTGATCTTTGTAAATGGCATATACAATCATTTAATTTATAGTAAAAAAATAATTTAAGACGATAGCATATATCTTTTAATAATTAATAAAATCATACTATAAGCAATACTGATCAAACATCATAAATATATAAGTAACAGTATACTTTTATTTGTCATTGTTAAGTTATAGAGAAACAATAATTGCTTATTTGGTGGGGCAGGCCAACAACATACATAATAAAAATAAAAAAATAAAATATATATAGATATATTTAAATAACTACATTGAATGCAATAATGTTGGTCTATTTTTGGTAGTTTATTCAAACTAATATGCTATTGTAAGATGGAAATATACCTTAAGAATAATATCTTTTCCACTGGACATAACAATAGTTTTGTTTGAAATTTTGTTGAAGATACAAAGTGCATTGGATCAAGCAATTCTTTAACAGTTTTAATCCAAATTTATATTATTTAGGAATTTGATTATACAGAAATGTCTCCAAGCAGCTACCACAACAGCTGCTACACCATTAAGCTCATAGTTAAATACTAATACATCATAAAAATAAATACTGCAGCTGTTTATAACAGAGTCGAGAAACCAAACCAGTTTTCGAAATTTAGGAGAGGATGATTGTGATTTCATTTCATCCAGAACTTGCAGCTGCCACTGTAGCATCTTGCAGCTCGAATTCCTTGGCATGAGGCCTTTCTGAGAAGTCGGGAGCTTTCGGGATCAGTCCAAGAAGCTTGAACATCGTCTGGTCTGCATCATAGTCGTTGTTTGGAGTTGTCAGCAACTTATCTCCAGTGAAGATTGAATTTGCCCCAGCAAGGAAACAGAGTGCCTGCTCGGGCATGGAGAACCGCACTCTTCCGGCAGAAAGCCTCACCATTGCCTTTGGCATCACAATACGCGCCGTTGCTATCATCCTGATCATCTCCCATATCTCAACCGGCTGGAAGAAGCATAGCATAGAAAAGCTATATATATTAGCAACCTTTAAATGATGTTACTTACTATATAAGTTTCTATCTCATCCCTCATGTCTGATGCCATTATTCTCCAATTTCTTAAATATTGACATCTAATATCTTTCACTAAGTTATTCCTCTAGTCTAATCTTCGGCTTTCTAACCCCCAAATTCTTCTGGCAAGCAGTATGAGCACACATTTCAGATCTGCCAAAAAAATCAGAGTGAAGTTAATATTACCTTCTGATCTTCAAGGGGTGTGCCTTTAACTGCAATGAGGGCATTAATAGGGACACTCTCCGGGTGTGCAGGGAGAGTTGCCAACGTATGCAATAAACCAACTCTGTCCTCCTCGGCTTCTCCAAGCCCAATTATTCCTCCTGTAACAGAAACATTGGAAGTGGCTTGTGCTTTAATAATCCAGTTGACGTAACTGGCAATAAAGAATGGATGTACACTTCAATACCTGAGCAGACATTGATGCCCGCTCCGCGAACATATTCAAGGGTTTGTAGACGCTCATCATAGCTTCTTGTAGATATAATGTTGGGATAGTACTCTCGTGAGGTGTCCAGATTATGGTTATAGGCTGTAAGTCCCGCCTCTTTGAGCTCTAAAGCTTGCTGCTTTTCCAGCATTCCCAAGGTGCAGCAGACTTCCATCCCCATACCCCTGATCAATTAAAACATTTCCAATAGTTTCAGATTATGACAAGTAATAAAAATGTACAATAACTCCACCCTGTATGAGAATGCACCAGTTGCCTATACAATATATGGACATGCAACCATGAGAATTTAGTAATGATGTCCAAGCACAGAACCAGGAAAAATACAGTCTGCTAATCTCACACATACGAATAAAATAATTGCCACAACAAATGTCCTGTGTTTGTTTGAAACCTCGGAATGCATTGCATGGTCATGGTTTGGTGGAACATGGAAGAGTTGTAGTACCAAAATTGTATCTTTAAGAGCTCATTACCTTATTTCTTGCACATACTCTAGGATTTGTTTGAAATTGGTCTTCCTTCCCACCGTATCTCTCCATGCAGCACCCATACAAAATCTGGTGCTACCAGCCTCTTTGGCCTGTTGGTGTGTACAAACAAACCCATATGATATGATTTGAAACGAAAAACATAAATCAAGTTGACATTAATAGTACACTTACTTCAGAAAACCAAACAGAAAATGCAGATCCTTAAGTTTCACTCTCAAGGTTAATTTACCCATCAAATAACATTGTATCAGCACTAAGATAGTTCATCAAGGAAAGAGAGACACTAGGACGTGCAAGCCTCTCAAATACTGCCAAAAATTTTCAAATGCTTTAACAACAAAAAAACTGAACCTTTTTTGCAGCCTCAAGAACCCCATCTTTGTCCATAAGTTTCTGTGCTTTCAGGCCAGTGTTGTACCTGGACGACTGAGGACAGTAAGAACAATCCTCACTGCATCCACCAGTCTTAATAGATAGAAGCGTACACTGTTGTACTTCCCTGAAATTGTGAGCGTGTCTATGAACTTGAGCCTGCAAAGATCAACAGCAATGTAATGCATATCTCTACATTCCACCAAAAGGTTTAATTTAGAAATGTACCATCTTAGATGTATTCATTCCTCCATAAAGACTAATCCTTTATTTAATAATTGGGTGACAAAGGATCTATCTTTTTATATGTACTACTAATACTTAATTCCTAACTTGTTAGGAAAGTTCCTCCCCTTAATTTCCCAATCATGACCTCTCTTATATCACTTTGTTGGCCGAAAATTCCAATAAAAAATTTATAGTAATAACAGTAGATCCGCAGTTAACACAAGAACGAGCAGTTGTTGAAATTAAATTACTAAGACACCACAGACAGAATCTTTCTTAACATGAAATATCTCACAATACACACTCACAAGTATAATTATCTCTTTATTTGTGTCCAAGGACGCTCTCTCATGTAGATCTTCAATGCTCCTGTGAGCAATTCACCTACTTCATCTACCCGAAAAATAGAACTCAATATTCAAACAAATTACATCAATAATATAGGCAGATAGGCATGACCAGAAGCATCCAACGTACCAAATTGACAATTGGACAAAAGGAACAGGAATTCAGAGAAAGCAAGCTCAAGAAGATTGCAGCATTCAATAAAGTAAAAACGAATCAACAGAGCAAAAGATGCATAATAATAACAAACGGGGCAACGAGAAAGAGGGAAATGCAAGCAACATACGGCATGAAACAGGAGATCAAGAATGGGCGATTCATAGATGGACTTAATCTCGTCCTTCCTCCAGTCATTTCTCGACCCCTGCGTTATGCACCTCTCCGCCTCCAGCGCCGCCGCAGACGAGGAGAAGCTGGCCGCCTGAAGATAGCCGAGAGGCCGCCGAATCGATCTCATTATCCACATCATTTCAGCTTTCCACAAACAAATTCCAGAATAGTTCCAAGAGAAAGCAATGGACGAAGAGTGAGGCGGATGGTCCTCGGTTACTCCGCCGGAGAAAAGCTCAAAAAGAGGGGCTGTGCTGCTCTTGTTGGTTAACTGAAGCTGTGTTTTTACCAGAAGATCGATTTATCATTTATTTTATTGGTTCATTGAAGTAGAGAGATAAATGAGTACTGCCAATATGGATCTCAAAATGGGTGGGTTGAACCCTACCCGAAAGGTAGGGTGCTGGGCTTAAAAACTTTCAGCCCGTTAAAAATTGGGCTAATTATTATTTATTATTATATATTGAAATTATATCATATATTTTGAAATAGTTTTAATTAATTTTTTTAATCAAATTTAATTATAATAATTTTTTAATAAATTACAAATTAGCATATACTTATATCTATAATATTAATATTTATTTCTTTTTTCTCATGTAATATGATCATATTATTGTAAATACGGGAATTTAGATAAAATATAATTAGTAAATAATTAAAAAATATATTAGTAAAAATAATTATAAATTAAAACTAAAATAACTAAATAATTTAATTAATATTAAAAAATTATAAATTATAAAATATAAAATATTTTATAATAAACTTAATTTATATATTTTTTTGTTATAATGTTATTATTTATTGTTTATCTTTATTAGTAAATTTAATAAATAACTAATATATAAAATATTTGATTGTTCCAAGACCTAATAATATAATTATTATTTTTATTATATTAGACAAATATATTTTGTATCATATTTTATAAATAAATTAATCAAAATACTTTTATTTTTTCTATTTATATAACACAAAGATAAAATAGATTTTCTCTTCCATTATCAAAACACAAAATTATTATATTTCCCCGCTATTACAATTTTAATATTTATTCCGCAACCGTCCCTTCTGTTAAAATTCCTCCCATCCCTTCCCTGAATATCCAACCAACCATTCTCGATTTTTTTATTTTATTTTATTTTATTTTATTTTTTCATTTCTTCCCTTGTTTTCATGCGAATTCGTACTAGTTTTGAATGTGAATAACCCTTTTATCCACAAAATCAATAACCCTAACCACACCTGGACAGGACCAGGAATGCAAACCACTTCCCAACTCCAATTGCAGAACCACTGTTGAACAACGAACCGCATACCTTGAAATTTTTAGAACAGGTCCGAGTCCGAATGATCAATATCAAAACAAGCGGCTCACGAGGATAGACCTTCTGTCTCTGCCCATCAATTTTTTTCCTCCAAACTAGGCTTTAAAGAGTGACTTTGGTACCTTCCAATAAAGCTGCCCTCCTCAACTTCTTACCTGAACACAGACCAGACCCTTCAACGCAATTCGTTCCTCGATGGTAGGGATTATTACGAAGTAACGTGATTTCACATATAAAATGGAGAGAAAGAAGAGAAGAGGGTAGTGAAAGAAGAAACCGAAAGAACATACCTCGAAGTGGACGGGGCTCCGCCTGCACGAAGTGGTTGTCGATCGAGATTGCGCGGTCGAAAACACGGCTGTGCTGTTAACTTTTTTCTTTAAAAGGTCCAGCGAAGACTTCTAAAATGAAGCCCTAGTGTGCGCTCGCTCTAAGTCGAATTACATTTATTCATTTTTTAATATATCAATTTCTTAGCTATGTTTGATAGAAAAATAAATAATAATAATAATAATAAATGTATTTTAATCTGGGGTGTGTTTTGGATCCGATTTTAATGGGCAGATTCATGCCTAAAAAATTTGAGTCGGGTGCGGGCTATGGAGTTTGAGTTTTAGATTCGATCGGTTCCGGGTTTTACTCCAACTCCGAATCGAACTCGAATATTTTAATAATTATTATAATTTATTTATATTTTTTTATTTAAAAAATTTTAAATATAAAAAATAGAAATTTAATTCTAAATCAAATTATTTTTGCCTTTGTTTCTCCTACAATTCACTAAGAACTATAGTAAATATTTTATTGTTATTATGTTTAGAACTATAATTTTTTATATTTTGACACATACTTTTTTTTTAGTATTAAATTATTTTTAAAAGTTTTTATTTTATTTTCTTTTAAAAAAAATGAGTTTGTCGAGTTAACCCTGAAGGCGGGATGGGTCCTGAGGCCGGGTTAAAGTGGGACGGGTCGGGTCTTGAGTCATAACCTGAGGCCAGGTTGAAGTGGGATGGGTCGAGTCTTGAGTCATAATATTTTCTAGCAAGGCGGGTCCCGAATCCTTCAAAACCCGTCCTGAAGTCGCCCCGTTGATATCTCTAATTCCAAGGGATGTTTGTAGTATGTTTGGTTCAAATAAAGGGAGGGGAGGGAATTTAATGAAAAGAAAAAAAAAAGTTAAGGAAGAAAAGAAAATATTAAAATTGTAATATTGTGTTTGCAAGAGACGAGGAAAATAATATTTTTATATTTATTAGACAATGAAAAAATTATTATATTATATAAACAAATAAAAATAAAATATTAAATAAAATTTGATTAATTTATTCATAAAGTATAACACAATTTATTTTTTTAATACAATAAACAAAAAATTATATTATAAAGTATAGAAAAGAATAAAAATTCTCCCCTCTAAATTCCCAAAATTGAAAAAAATAAAAATTTTAAAAAGTTAACATCTCATTGCTCTCTTCTCCTTTCCTACTCTCTAAAAAATTGAACCAAAACACAATTTTTTGAAAATTGCATCTCTTCCCCTCCCCTGTTAAACCCTCGAACCAAATAGACCCGTAGGCTTGGTTGGAAGATGAATGTGAGAATAATACTCACACACTTTTAAATTTGCAATGGATTTTGATGTTATAAATTTGCAATGGATTTTAGTGACATAGGGCATGTTTCTTTAATCAAAATCTTTTTAAATGCTTCTTTAATCAAAATTTTTTTAAATTTTACTATTAGAACTCTGTATTTTTTAAAATATATATATATATATATTTATTTTTATAATATCCCATCAAACATTATTTTAATATAAAATCCAATCAAACTTAACAAAAAGAACCACACTCAGTAATAATAAAATTAGGATATTTATTAAATATTATTTTAATGGAATCTCTCCTAAACAAGCCCAAACAAACAGACATTTGATATCAGTCTTTCTTGCCCTATTAGTGTGGGATATATTTTTATATCAGTCTTTCTCCCTCTAATCATGCGTGTGCATATGTTTTTTATTCATCTTTGTATGGAATCTCTCTTGAATTCTCTTCTCTCTCTCTCTCTCTCTCTCTCTCTACAGCAAAGGATAGAAAGAAGTTAGTTGAGGAGGACTAACAACATAAGTACATACATACTACAATGGAATGGTACTTGTATGGAATGAAGTGAGACCGATGACATGTATCGAAAATAAGATCAAGAAGCTCAATGAAATGAATCATTCCAAATATACCAAAAGGGGGAAAAGGTGATCCCAAACATACACAAACAAACAAGTACACCCTTCCCTATCTATTGTTGTCGGAAATAAATTCTACAATCTTACTTCATTATACATGCTCTATTCTATTCTATTCTATCCGAATGAAGTAGATTTCTTTAAGCATGCATGGAATCGAGTTAAATGTGTTGTTTAATCATACACACATATATATAACAAGTATTTGCATCAAAATACTTACTTAACTCAAATCGAATGATGGAAATACACAAACTAGTGCGCACCTACTGTTATGTTCAATACTCATCATTTGCAGTAGAAGATTTCAATCGCGCCTTTTTAAACAAAACATGATGATGATGATGCTATTTTAGGCGGACTCATCCTCAGATTTCTCAATCTCAAGTGTGGCATTGAATCCAAAGTCATTTCCAGGGACAAACAGCGACTTTAGTTCTTCTGCAGTTTGTATGGTGTTGATCTTGTTGTCCTTAACCGAGAGATTCTCCTGGAAGAAAGAGTTAAAAAGATTTAACAAGGTTGAACGATTGCCTGTCATGAGGAAAAGACGGTTGAAGAGGATGGTAGGTCACAGATGAGAATGAACCTTCTTGGCATAATCAGCCAATGTCGTGCTCACAATTTCCTGAATGACAAAATTGGTAACTCGATCTTCACCAAGAATCTGTACAAGGAAGTCCTTCGGGACCTGCTCTTTAAAGTTTTAAGCATTAGTATCCAGTAGTTCCACAGTAAAGTGATAGTGGAAGGAAATTACATGAATCCATCGCACGCACAAACTGTACAGGGAATTATACTTGCATCAGAATAGAAAAAATTTGAAAGGAAAGGAATTTCACACGACTCTGCATTTCCTGGCATATGTGGTGTGGTATCAAGTTTCCATCCAAAATGAACAATAACAAGGATATGTATTTGATGAGCATAGAGATTAGCTACATCAAGTTATATGAGATGGGTGTCTTCAGGGTGTGGATGAAATATAATTAACGTTGAAACCATTCTTAGTACAGTAGAGACTGAACAGTTAGCTTCTTCAACTGCATTTTGTAACATTTAAGATTTCGGAACAATTTTCTAAGCATGAACTGTCTGAATTATGAGGTAGAATTATCAGAGGCAGCAGACGCATTGTTACGATCAAGTAGACTTTACCTAAGTTTGTCCCACCCCACAAGTAAGTTTGTTTCTCTTAAATCTGTACACTACACCACTATGCTCTTTTAACAGATTGTGATGTTAATATTTAGACTATTCAAACAACTTCTCGAAACAAATACTTTTAAGTAATTCTTTCCTCAAATATAGCTGTCATTTATCGAAAATTTTCTTCTACATAAACCATAAGTGGTGTGAATGGAAGGACCACAATCCACCACATTATGAATAACCAGTAAAATAGAGAGTATGACAAGACATTAAACACCCACTACGTTTATATTTTGTAAGGAAAAAAACTAAACTCGGAAGGGTTAGAAAAGAAGTCATTGGAAAAAAAAAAAAAAAAAAAACAGATTAATGTACCTTGGATGTCTTCCCTGCAGAAGAAACCATTGACACAAAAACAGAAGGCAATCAGAATATGCATTTGTCTAGAAATATTAAAAAAGATAATGATCAGTATAGGAAGCAGAAGGCATAAAAAGAATGTTGCTACAATGCAAAAAAAAACATATTTAAAATCACTGAGAGTTCACTGAAATACAAAACGGACAAGATTCTATTACGAGCAAATGCAATAGTTAGTACCTCCTTTTTCCCTGCGAAAACCAGGCACAGGTGGAGCTGTACGGGCCAAGGTTCTCAGAACTTTATCAAACACTATCTGTGTTTCTTTACCTGCCAAATCTACCCTAACCTGACCAAGAAGAATATTGTAGAGAATCAAAAGTGATGTTTAACCAAAATGTTGAATCAACCACAAAAGCTACGCCAGTCAAAAAGCTTGGATCCTCTGTTGAAGAAAAATTAGGATGATGAATTGAATGAGACACTTATCATTAACGAGAAAGGACAAGGGCAAGAGCTATTGAGTCAAGAGAGGATTACTAGTTCATAATGCACTGCAGTAATTAAAATTTGAACATGGCACATTACACATGGAAAATCACAGTGGTTGAAACCCTATATTTGCAACATCCTTTCATGGTGTTTGTGGAGTAACAATGCACCTTTTTTATAATTTGTTTTTATTCTTGGACGACACCTTGCACTTTTGGTGAATGAGAACAATAAACGTCCCTGTCAATTGATTGTGCAATGTATTAATATTCTATATTAGAACTTATACTATGATATATAAATATTAAATCATCACTGAACTATACAAGCCCATTGAGGACATTCATGATGCATATATAGTATGTCCTTTAAGTTGTAGTGTTTGTAATGTAAAATTTTATTGTATTGAAGGCTGGCCCACGACTTAGTCTCTTTGTCTTAGCTATGCCACCAAACACACATGTTTCAAGTATTATAATAGTGCGTTTTCCAATAGATGTTTGTTTTTCCTTTCAAATTACAAATGAAGTCTTCTAGGTTATGAAGACTACTAAGTTAAAAGTTAAAAAATACCAATTATTTGATAAAATCATGGAGTGAATGCTACCAGGCTGGAATGTAAAACAACTGAGAACAGAAGATTGGTCAAGAGAATCTAACTTGCATCTTATCATCTTCTATAGACTCCACGACAATCTCCACATTTTTAATGCTTATTGCGTTCTTTTCCGGATCTCTAATCGATGCCTCTAGACCTGTATTTGCAAATTGAGTTATACTTTCATAGAATCATAGAAGGGGATCATAGAATCACAGGTAACTACATTACCTGAACCAACAGCAGATATTGGCTTGAGTAGAAGTCTCGTTCCTGCCTTTGAGGGGCCACAGTGAGCTAATGACCTGATATTCACTAGGTGAACAATTGGTATTGTAACAGCATTGCAAGGGCATTAAAAGGTCCATGAAAGTTGCTGATAAAAAGTGAGATCATACAAACGTGATGAATTGCATATGCAAAGCTCTTGTCTTGAGCATTGCATACTTGAAATAACTTCCATTCCACTTAAATAGTGATTAACTTAAAGTGTATGGATACGGACATCATACACTACAAGCAATTTCTAATACTTAAATAAAGTCGGGAGTAATCACATCCCAAAAGCGGGCATGAAGTACCTTGGGCATGTTAATTTCGTCTCCGGGATGTAGTTGATACAGCGTACACACATTCCAACATGGCCGGGCTTTGAACGGCAAACCACATCTATCTGGAGCAACCATTACCATAAAGGTAGCAAGGATTCAACTCACGCCACGTTACAAAGAGGAAATTATTAAATTCATAACGAGTTAAGCAGCAGCTTAGGTCGATGACAAAATCCCGCAAATCTAAAAAACAACACATTCTTCAGAAATAAATAATCATCAAAGCAGATAGACAATGTGAGAATTAGCAAGATTTTCTCTAAGCCACTCCAAAATAATAGAACATATAACTTTAATGCTCCTATCCAAATATTTTTCTCGCAATATTTTAGTAGAAACAAAACGAAAATTCTGATGCACTTTTGACTCGCTCCGCTCCACATATATTTCTAGTTATGTTTCCAGACTCGACAATTGCAAAAATTATATAGCGCCTGTACCCAGTAACATTATATAATCATTTTCAAATATTGGTGGTGATGGAAATGCGGAATGCAAGACACACGTTTTCCAGAGCGAGTTCATCAACGACAACAACAACTGGAAGGAGTCAAGAACAAAGGTTGAATTAATTGGTACCCGAGGCTGGTGAAATAATCGATGAAATAGTGTTGCCGGTGCCATCGCCGCCATGGTTTTCACCGTCTCAAAGAGCAAAACAGAAGAGAAAGCCAACGATGCGCTGATGCGAACGGATAGGAGGAGGAGACTAGCGCTTCACTAATATAAATAGTACAAAATTCACGATTATATATATGTATGTATGCATAGGCATTTTTTATGCAAATTATTTGATTGGGTTGTTTCTTTTGATGGGTCCACGACAATTTGGTTTGTGATAGGTATTTTTATATGGAAATCTGAAGTTTCGGAGTCAAAAAAAAAAAAAAAAAAACCATATTTTTAAAAATTATTACATTGAACACATATATAACTATTATATCAAATAATAATTTTTAAAAAAATTCTATGTTCATTAGGTTTGTATAAGCAGAAATCTAATAGTATATAAAATAAAAGTTTATGATTTTCTGAGAATACTTTTCATAAGAATTCCGTTCCGTTATAAATTCAATACTGTGTTTTCCAGCGATTTAATCCGATTCGGCGATTGAAGTTTGAGCCATCAGCATTAGCAAGCCTGAATGAAGTTTATTATAACATAGACAAAAACATAAAAAAAAAAACAAATGGATGTGTGATCTTGATTCTTTAGCAGCCCTACAATACAATACAAACAAACAAACATGCCTCTTCTTCTTCATTGGATTCTTGATCATAGGGTAGATCCCCCCTAAATAAATATTTTTGAACCAAACAGGTTACATAAACCTCATTTTAGTCAAGCCTACGGGTAAAGGCATCTCTCTCTCTCGAACTCAATTTGTATGTATATTCATCGCTGTGCTCACAAAAGAAAAGACCTGTATCAACAACCCCACAAATGGAGCCAACACAAGAATCCACACTTCATAATGTCAGATGAAGCCTATCAAAATCTCATGTCAAATAACGTCGATCATAACAAGAAACATAAACATTGGTAAAATCCTCATCATCACATAATTAAAACCACACTGTTTAACCAAAACAAAAAAATAAAGGGTTCAGAAATAAAATAACATTCCACCAAAAATAAACTGAAATCACACCCATCACAAAATCGGCCCTGAACTTGATTGCATTTGGTATCTCATGGAAGGCGAACAGTGTATATAACCAACACAAAATCAGTCGCCCTTTCTCCGGAAGGAGCAGCCCTCAGTGAGCCTGGCGCGCCCGCCTGTTGGTTGACACAGCACGGTCTGGCAGTTCCCGCACACCACCACTGTCTGCGAATGACTAAACACTGTGGTTCTGAACAAAGAAACATCATCAACCCACAAGGATCAGAAGACACATATGCTTTGCTTTGAAACTAGTTTATAAACCCAAAATCAAACACGATGTCTTTAATCTATAATGTACAACCTCCCCTAATTAACCCCTCACTATAAACCTTAAAAATAGAATACCTACACAATCCAACCAGCCATTGCATTATATAATAAATAATTTTTTTATATATAAAAAAAAAAAGCAATGTTTCGTTTGAGTGACTACCGTGCTACATTATAGTATTACAGCTAGTTACATACTTAGCTTCATTGAGAAGCACACCAATTTGGTACCATCAAACTAAAATATGGTTTGGTAACGCAAACCTACCATGAAGCAAACAATCACTCTAAATAGTTTGTGGAAATATATCTCAGGTAAACTTAACCATAGTATCTCATTTGAAATATAGTAACAATTACCTTTAAATGTATAAATATATATTTCACATGTTTAGTTTGATGGACAGAAACACAGGAAAAAGGCTGCGTATCAGTGAGGCAAAACCGTGACTTAGTAATATGATGATCTCAATAATAGGGCATTTTGATTGAAAATTATAACAGAAATCATGCAATATTATATAATTCGATATAACTAATATATATCCTAAAAATATATAAGTGATAAATCGTGGCCTAGGTAGTCTTTCACATGAAATACAAATACTTGACTAATTTTCTGTATTTAACTCAAAATTCCACAAGCTATTTCACACGCACAGTCACAACAGAAGGCAATCTTTAGAAACCAAGCAGATTCTGTCTGTGCATATTGGATAATTCGATTCCAGAAAATAAAAATATGGATGTAACTTACATGTTGAAGCATCCTTGACACTTGACATCCTATAATTAACAAAAGCAAAAAGGTTACACAGCAATTAAAAAACAAGAAACCAAAAAAAAAAGGCATCAACGATTATATATGTGATATATGCCAACAGCGAACCAAAGAAGAAAAAACAAGGCGCAATACCATGAAGAAAGAGTTTGGAGATTGAACGAGACGCTTGAGCTTGTGCTTCCTCTTCTCAAGCTCCGCCGGTGGGTTGAGCAAATCGTAATCATTTGAGAGAACCTGTTCGGAAAAACCAGATCAAATAAGGACCAAAAGTGATTGAAGCACAACAAACAACATTGACAAGAGCGGCCACAGACTTACCATCTTTGCTTCCTATGAAATGGGCGAAGAGGTTCGCGAGGAGATGCAGAGCAGAAGCAGAAGAGGCGGAGAGTGAAGCTAGGGTTTTGAAACGCTTTATATAGTCATTCATTCAGTCCGGCACGTTTGTTTGGGCTTCTGTATTGCACGTCCATCAATCGGAGTCTGGCCCAACAAAAAATTATACACTGTGCATAAATAAAGTTGTTTTAATTGAAATACATTTAATAGTTCGACCCGTAGAATTAAGCGGTAAAGTAGTAGTAGTATTACGTTTAAAAATAATAGTAGCAGCAGCAGCAGCAGCAGTAGTAGTGTACTAACAATAATAACAACAAACAGGCTGGACCAGTGCACTCGACAGACAACGCTACATTATAAGTATATATAACTCCAACCACCATATTTAATACTGCAATTATTCAATCAGTTTATTAATTTATTTGGTTCACATATATCTAATTATTGCAACCATGTTACACAAAATTACTTTAATTATTCCACTATTTTCATTTTTCAAGATTTTTTAATAAAACCATAAGATTAGACAGTAAATATAGATAGGCAAACCCTAAGTTTGTTTAATTGATCATTTTGATTTGAATAAGAAAAATAGTAGATATAATAACAAAAAAATGACAAATAAACATCTGTTTTGTAGTACTAGTATTTATTTTCAATTGAATGTGCGCCCTTTCTTTGTCAAAATATATGCTTAAAAAATTAGTCTATAGTTCATATTAAAAATAAATATACCCAGATTAATTTAATTTTTATTTAAAACTTAAAAACAAAATAAATGTTATCACACATCATATATATTGATAGGTGTCATTTATTTATGTTGATGAATCACCCAATTTTGATGACTAATGATTTTGTAAATTGTCTGTAAATAAGCCCAAAATCTTGTGTAATAAAAGTGTGATTTTGATTTCATTTTACTTTGTCTCGCTCGGCTCTCTCTATTATCATCTCTCTAAATTTTAACAAATCACACACATACATACATATATAAGCTATACATATATATATATTATATATTATTACTATAGTTATATTTTATATATTTCATAACACGTTATCAGTACTAGGCTTTGCCGATGAAGTGCACATAATAGATAGCATATTCTTTTGTTGTTTTTGTTGTATTACTCGGAAGATTACGGAATTTCTGGTAAGTATTTATTTTCTTTTAATTATGTCTAATATAGCAAAGTTTGAATTTCCTCCACTGGCAATTACCGGAAATAATTATATGCCGTGGGTAATGGATGTCGAAATGCACCTCGAGTCCACGGGGCTTTCGAAAACAATAATTAGTGAAAATGAATGCACAAATCAAGAACGTGCAAAGGCAATGATTTTCTTGCGTCATCATATTGACGAAGCCCTAAAAATGGAATATTTAATGGTGAAAGATCCATTTGAACTATGGACAAATTTGAAATGTCGATTTGGACACTTGAAATCTGCTATATTACCGAAAGCGAAACATGCATGGCAACACTTGCGTTTGCAAGATTTTAAAACAGTTGCTGATTATAATTCCATGATGTTCAAAATCACGTCCCAGTTAAGATTTTGTGGAGAAAATATTTCTGATAGGGATATGTTGGAAAAAACATTTACCACGTTTCATGCCTCTAATATAGTTTTACAGCAACAATATCGAGAAAGGGGTTTTAATAAATATTGTAATCTTATTACTTATCTACTTGTTGCTGAACAGAATAACGAATTATTGTTAAAAAATCACGAATCGAGGCCAACTGGTGCGAGTCCATTCCCTGAAGTGAATGCGACTCAGTGTTTAAATAATATGCCTAGATTCTACCGCGGACGAGGTCGCGGACAAGGCAGTGGACGTGGATTTAGTCGTGGACGTGGATTTGGTCGTGGACGTGGAACGAGACGTGGACGTGGAGCAGACCGTGGATGAGGTCGTGGCAGGTTTGTTTATTACCGTCAGGGATATTTTGATGAGCATGAATCAAATAGGCCTATGAAGCGGCCTCATAACGATATTGGTCAGAGTTCAAAGAAAAACGAGGATAAGTGTTATCGTTACGGAATGACAGGGCATTGGTTCAGAAATTGTCGTTCCAATTCTTATTTTGTTGAGCTGTACCAAAATTCCCTGAAACAGAAAGACAAAGTGCCTGAAGAAGTTAAAGCACCGGAAAATGTCAATCCCCCATAAATTAATTTTTCAGAGAATGTTGCCGATGGAAGTGGGGGTGATAAATGTAATGATAATACGCAGCTAGATGTATCTGATTTTCTAGTACACCCTGAAGGTGGGTACTATGAAAATCCCGGAAATGCGATATAAAATGCATATAGATATGTGTATATATTTTTGTAACACATGTAGTTTTTGCTCCCTACATTTTGTAATGATATGACAGCTATGTATTTTCTCCAAATTTTTGATATATTTATTCTTATATTTCTCCCAAAAGAATAAATATGAATGCTGAGCACGTTATAATGAATAATATGAAAGACAGTTCATGTCTCATTGATAGTGCATCAACGCACACCATTTTGAAATATAAGAAATATTTCACCAACCTAAAGTTGGGAAAAATTGAGGTGAATACCATAAGTGGTTGTGCGAAGTTAATTGAGGGCTCTGGAAGAGCAATAATATTTCTCCCCGAAGAAGTAAAACTTGATATCCAAAATGCACTATATTCTAGTAAATCTCAAAGAAATTTGTTGAGTTTTAATGATATTTGCAAAAATGGATATCATATTGAGACATCAAGTGTGGCAAATAATGAATTTTTGTTGCTTACAAAATTCATTGATGGACATAAATATATATTAGAAAAATTGCCTTCATTGTCTTCCGGATTATATTGCACAAAGATTAATGTGGTTGAAACATATCTGGTAGACCAGAAGATTACAGATTTTATGATTTGGCATAACCGGTTTGGGCATCCCGGTAATACTATGATGAGACGAATTATTGAAATTACCAATGGTCATAACTTGAAAGATCAAAGAGTATTAAATACAAATGAGTTTATATGTGTTGCTTGCTCAAAATAGAAGTTAATAACTAGACCATCACCGGCAAAAGTGGGAACTGAATCCCCTTCATTTTTAGAACGAATTCAGGGTGATATATGTGGACCTGTAGATCCACCAAGCGGACCATTTCGATATTTTATGGTACTTATCGATGCATCTACTAGATGGTTGCATGTGTGTTTATTATCTACCCGCAATTTGGCATTTGCGAGGTTGCTTACTCAAATAATTAGATTACGAGCTCAGTTTCCACATCACCCAATAAAGAAAATTCGTCTTGATAATGCTGGTGAATTTTCATCTAAGACATTTGATGATTATTGCATGTCTATTGGAATTGACATTGAATACCCTGTACCTCATGTACATACTCAAAATGGTCTAGCTGAATCACTTATAAAAATGCTGCAATTAATTACAAGACCTATGCTAATGAAATCCAAACTTCCTGTCTCTGCTTGGGGATATGCAATTATGCATGCAGCACCACTGATAAAATTAAGACCGACAAGCTATTATAGCTACTCCCCAGTACAATTAGTGTACAATGAAAAGCTCAATATTTCACATTTGAGAACTTTTGGGTGCGCGGTTTATGTGTCAATTGCACCGCCCCAATGTACAAAAATGGGCCCCCAACGGAGATTGAGGATATATGTCGGGTACGAATCACCATCTATCATTAAATATCTTGAACCATTAACTGGTGATTCGTTTACGACTCGTTTTGCTGATTGTCATTTTGATGAGTCGCATTTCCCGATATTAGGGGGAGAAACTGATCAACTGAAAAAGGAAATTACTTGGAAAATACCATTCAGTTTTCTTGATCATCGTACAAGTCAAAGTGAATTAGAGGTATAAAGAATTTTACATTTGCAGCGAATAGCAAATCAGTTGCCTGATGCTTTTTGTGACGCTAGCAGGGTCACTAGATCTTATATAGCTGCTGAAAATGTACTTCTAAAATTGTTATTCCTTGAGACAAAATACAAAGTGCTAATGAATCAAATGCACGCCTAAAGCGTGGTTGACCTGTAGGTTCCAAAGATAAAAATCCTCGAAAGAAAAGATGAACAAATGAAAGGATTGAATATTTGAATGTTAATCAAAACCCTCAAGAAACGGGTAGTAACATGGATCAGATTTTTAGAGAAATTGATCCTGATAAACTTGATGAGGATGTTAATCCTAATAGAACTTTCTTCTGAAGAGAATGAAGTTATTGAAAATTCAATAAATTATGTTACTACTGGAAAGCATTGGAACCGAAATGATACAATTATGGATAATGCTTTTGCATATAATGTAGCACTTGATCTAATGGAAAATGACGAGGATCCAGAACCTAGATCAATTGATGAATGTCGGAAAAGAATAGATTGGCCAAAATGGAAAGATGCGATCTAGTCTGAATTAAATTCACTAGCAAAACGAGAAGTTTTTGGACCCATTGTTCAAACACCTGAAGGTGTTAAGCCTGTTGGCTATAAATGGGTATTTATTCGAAAGTGAAATGAGAATAATGAAATTGCCAGATATAAAGCAAGACTTGTTGCCCAAAGTTTTTCACAAAGACCTGGAGTTGATTTCATATTCTCCAGTAATTGATGGAATAACATTTCGATATCTTGTCAGTTTGGCAATACATGAAAATTTGGATATGCGTCTGATGGACGTTGTAACTGCATATTTATATGACTCATTGGATAGTGATATATACATGAAAATCCCTGAAGGATTTAGTAGGTCTGATGCATATAAATCAAAGCCAAAAGAATGTTATTCTATTAAATTACAAAAGTCTTTGTATGGGCTCAAACAATCTAGTCGCATGTGGTATAATGTGAATCATTATTGAAAGAGGGATATGCCAATGATTCTATTTGTCCGTGTATTTTTATAAAGAAAAATGAGAGAAATTTTGTAATAATAGCTGTCTATGTGGATGATTTGAATTTAATTGGAACCCTTGTAGAGGTCCAAGAAGCTATTGAATATTTGAAAAGAGAGTTTGAAATTAAAGATTTCGGGAAAACGAAATTTTGTCTTGGTCTACAAATTGAACATTTGGAAAATGGGATTTTGATACATCAATCTGCATATACCCATAAGGTATTAAAACGATTTGCAATAGATAAAGCACATTCATTGAGTACTCCAATGGTCGTTAGAACTCTCGATCCTATTAAAGATCATTTTAGACCAAAATAGGAGAATGATGAAGCACTTGGTCCTGAAGTACCATATTTAAGTGCTATTAGTGCACTAATGTATCTAGCTAACAGTACTAGACCAAATATAGCGTTTGCTGTAAATTTATTAGCCAGATTTAGTGCAATGCCAACCCAACGGCATTGGAAAGGAATCAAACATATTTTTCGTTATCTCCAAGGATCTATTGATCTTGGTCTATTATATCCAAAAGGATCTCAATATGAATTGATTGGATATGCAGATGCTGGATATCTTTCTGATCCGTATAAAGCCAAGTCTCAGACTGACTATATGTTTACTTGTGGCGATACAGTGGCATCTTGGAGATCCACTAAACAAACATTAACCGCCACATCTTCAAATCATACAGAAATAATAGCAATTCATGAAGCCAGTAGAGAGTGTGTTTGGCTAAGATCAATGATTCACCACATTTTACAGAATTGTGGTTTGAAATCTGAAAATGATAATCCTCCTACTATTCTGTATGAAGATAATGCAACTTGTACAGGGCAACTGAAAGAAGGATATATAAAGGGAGATAGAACGAAACATATTTCACCAAAGTTTTTCTTTACTTATGATCTCCAGAAAAATAGTGAAATAAATGTGCAGCAGATTCGATCAGACCAAAATTTAGCAGACTTGTTGACCAAGGCTTTACCGACCGCAACGTTCGAGAAATTAGTGAAGATCATCGGGATACGTCGGTTGCAAGATTTCAAATGATGTCCACATCAGGGGGAACAATATTTGAAGTGATGTCCACAACAAGGGAAGTATTTTTAATGCATGAATGACGTATTCTTTTTCCTTAACTAGGATTTTTGTCTCGTTGTGTTTTTTCCTAGTAAGGTTTTAACGAGGCGTATTCATTGTAGTTAATGACACCTAGGGGGAGTGTTATGACACATCATATATATTGATAGGTGTCATTTATTTATGTTGATGAATCACCCAATTTTGACGACTAATGATTTTGTAAATTGTCTATAAATAAGCCCAAAATCTTGTGTAATAAAAATATGATTTTGATTTCATTTTACTTGGTCTCTCGGCTCTCTCTATTCTCATTTCTCACAATTTTAACAAATCACACACATACATACATATATAGGCTATACATATATATATTATATATTATTACTATAGTTATATTTTATATATTTCAGAACAATAAGGTATTAATTGCAATATTACATTCCTAGTTCGAAAACAGCCACAGAGATCGATCTTATCTTTACTTAACATACATTCCCTAACCAAAATTATGCTTTGCACTCTCTAACCTTTTAAATTAACATTAAGGAATTAATTAATTAATCTACCCTTTCTCTTTCTTCCATAAATTCTTCGTCCTTGTCCTCTTCTTCTTCTTCTTCTTCTACCAGATAGACAGATTGATCGATCCTCCTGCTCCCAAACCCCAAGAGAATCGAACCCCTTCTCCACCCTATCTCTGCTCACTTTTCCGTCCTCTGCTGCTTTCTTGCCATCTTCAGCCTGCTGCTGAATTTCCACGAAATCCATGGCGGAAGTGCCGCCTATTGTCGGCTGCCATTGAAGGAGGAACAGAATGAGAGGTTCATCGCCCACTTCAGCAGAGCCGAGGCAGCGACTCTTCTTCAACAAGTAAGCAGAAAACGTTTTTATTTTTATTTTTCTTCTGATTTTAGATATCACGCCTGAGCATCAATCGCTTGTGGGTTTACTCTGTTCTTAATGATCGTTGATTGTATGAGGAGAATATTTTCTTGTTTTTTTTTTTTTTCCTTTTTTTAAAATATGGATTTTGTTTTATATTCTGCTGTTGAGTGTTGAGTAGTGGACACGCCTTTCAGTTTCTTTCTTTTTTGGTTGATGAGGTGTTTAGATGGTTGATCTCCGTGTCGGCGTAGTTTGTGGAAGCTTTTAGATTTGGATGTATGCATTTATTGCTTAAGTGTTCTTCTTATCCCTATGATTTGGTCCCAAAAGAGGTTCAATTATTGCGAGATTAGGTTCAACATTTTCTGAATGCGATGGAGGCTGGATTCAGCTGTCAGCAATGGAGCAGTTTATACATTATGTATATATGAACTTTGAGTTGACTTAAATTGTTTATGAGTAAATTTGAGAGTAGGTAGGCAGTCAAAATGTTTATTTATTGTTTTTAGAAGAGGACAATGAGGTTAATTTTTCTGTTTTGGTGAATTTCATGCTTGCCAAGCATTAACAACATTGAGTTTCTAATGCTTTTGTGATGGCAAGAAATGTCGGCCATTTGGCTCAAGGTTTTGTGTGATTTGCTTGTGTAAACAATGTCGGAACAATTGGTATTGTTGGAATGCAGGCGGGTATAATGTTGTTGGTCAAGATTGGAGCATAATAGGTGGCATGTGGGAGCATTTTGCTTTATGTATTGTCTTCTTTTATATCCCCCCTCTTATTTGTTGTTGGCTTTGTCCTCGATGTTAGTAGCATGAGAAAATGTCAGCATGTCTGCCTAATTTTGCCATTATTGACTTATAGTTTGGTTTGAACGGCAAAAGTCAAACTTGGGTTTTGGAAAAAAACAATCCATTTGGATATATTTTTGCCCGAAAAAGAAGAAGATTGGATGGCTGCAGGTGTAGGGAGTTTAATTTTACTTTGTTCTGGTGATTCAATAGATTAAGCTTCTGTAATGCTGTCCAGTGATATCAACAACATAAATAAAATGCTACTATTAGAGTAGGAATTCCATATGCAATACATGTTAGACAATATCTTGCTTTTTGTTTTCTTGGTTTACTGCTGTTTGTATTCATTACTGTTAGCCGGATTTGCATAGGTATTCTTGTGGGCAGAATTTTATGCAGTCAACTCACTCTTGCATTCAAGATGGCTTGCTTATGTTAAATTAGGACGTCATTTTCTTTCAGTTAAAACTACGAGTGTGCCTCGACAACTTTCTGGCATGGTTGTTAATGATAAGACTGTTTGATTCAGTGAGGATTCCAATAGGCGGAGGTTTTTACGGAGCAGAGTATTGAAAGATGGTGGTGATAAGGCCTACTACAGTACGACTCTGGACAGGATATTGAGCTGCAAGTTTCTTACATTGAAGCTCGTGCTGTTTGTTCTCATTATTGGAGCATTTTTAACCCTCTTGCGGTCTCCGTCGATTCATGAGACAGACCATACCTATAGTTCGCATTCAAGGTACATTCTATATTTGCTCCTTGCTGTTTTTGTGTTATGTGTTGCTCTTTTGTTCTGTTTTCGTCCCATTTCTTATGATTTTCAACACTTGTCTCTACTCCTTAACTTTGGAACTTAAATTGTAGATCAACCTTGGTAGATAGATGGATAAGGGATAGATTTGGCATAGATCAAAGTTATGCGGCGTTTTTTGAGATTAAATGGGACGAAATTTCTTCTGCAATCGATGCATTAGCTGAGAGGGACAAGTACAAGGGTATAGGACTGTTGAATTTTGACGAGCATGAGCTTAATCGGTGGAAAGAGTTGTTCCCTGAGGCCGAGCATGTTATGCTTATGATGGATTATGCCCCACATAACGTCACCTGGGAAACACTCTATCCCGAATGGTTAGACGAGGAAGGAGAGTTTGAAGTCCCCACCTGCCCTGCTCTGCCCAAAATTCACTACCTAGGTAAACCTCGATTGGACCTCGTAGCAGTGAAACTGCCTTGCGACAAAAAATCCAACAACTGGTCGAGGGATGTCGCTCGGCTTCACTTGCAGCTAGAAGCTGCAAGGCTCGCTGCAACAGTGAAAGGAAACCATCCCGTGCACGTGCTTCTTGTTACTGAATGTTTCCCAAAACCGAATTTGTTTACCTGCAAGGATGCCATTGTAAGAGAAGGCAGTGCTTGGCTCTACAAACCTGATTTACATAAGCTGAGGGAAAAGCTTCAACTTCCCGTCGGGTCATGCGAACTCTCGGTTCCTCTTCAGGCTAAAGGTTAGTTACAAACTGTTTGTTTGTTATGTAGATTTTAGTGTACAGTCTATTTATTATGGTTAAGTTTCTTCTGATTCGATGTGTGATGCAGAAAATTGGTATTCGGGTAGTGCAAAACGTGAAGCGTATGCTACGATCCTGCATTCAGCTCATTTCTATGTGTGTGGGGCGATCGTAGCTGCTCAAAGTATTCGAATGTCCGGTTCGACTCGGGATCTTGTGATACTTGTCGATGATACCATAACTGATTACCACAGGGGTGGTCTCGAAGCGGCAGGGTGGAAAATCCACACGATTCAGAGGATCCGCAATCCAAAAGCTGAGCGGGATGCATACAATGAGTGGAACTATAGCAAATTTCGGCTGTGGCAGTTGACAGATTACGACAAGATCATATTCATCGATGCGGATCTATTGGTCCTCAGAAACATCGACTTCCTGTTCGAGATGCCCGAGATATCTGCCACGGGGAACAACGCCACCCTCTTCAACTCGGGCGTCATGGTGATCGAACCCTCCAACTGCACGTTCCAGCTGCTGATGGACCACATCAATGAGATCGAGTCCTACAACGGCGGTGACCAGGGATACCTGAACGAGGTCTTCACATGGTGGCACAGGATCCCGAAACACATGAACTTCCTCAAACATTTCTGGGTGGGGGACGAGGAAGAGAAGAAAGAGATGAAGACCCGGCTGTTCGGTGCTGATCCGCCCGTCCTCTACGTGCTCCACTACTTGGGGTTGAAGCCATGGCTGTGCTTCCGGGACTATGACTGCAACTGGAACAACGAGATACTGCAGGAGTTTGCGAGCGACGTGGCCCACAAAACCTGGTGGAAGATCCACGACGCGATGCCGGAGAATCTGCACAAGTACTGCCTGCTGCGGTCGAAGCAGAAGGCGGCGCTTGAGTGGGACCGCAGGCAGGCCGAGAAGGGAAATTACAGCGACGGGCACTGGAAGATCAAGATACAGGACCCCCGGCTGACAACGTGCTTCGAGGACTTCTGCTTTTGGGAGAGCATGTTGTGGCACTGGGGTGAGAAGAACTGGACCGACAATGCCACGGTGGTGCCGCCGTCGGCTTCGCTGTGATCTTGATAAGCTGCTGTTGGGATCCCTCTGTTTTCGTGTGTATGTGTAATAGATACATGAGAAACTGACAAGCACAGCCTCCCTTGCCTTGGCGGGATGAGAATGATTTAGTTCCACACCACACCACACCTATCGATACACAAGTCCTATCTATAGGTAAAATACAATCTATATATATGATTGGTTTCTTGCTTGCATACGGTACATCCTCTTTCTTTGCAATTGCATTGAATGCATGACAACTAAAATAAACAAATACTACTAGTATTCATGAAACTATGTGTTGGTCCCGAAATCGAACAAACATATAGCAGTAACAAATAAAATTTTAGTACAGATTCGTTGTTTGTTAGAGTACATGGTCCCGAAATCGATCAAACATAGCAATTCACTTCAAAAATCAACATAAATAAATAAAATTTTAGTACAGATTTGTTGTTTGTTAGAGCACATGGTCCCGAAATCGATCAAACATGTAGCCGTAACAATTCACTTCAAAAATCAACATAAATAAATAAAATTTTAGTACAATTCGTTGTTTGTTAAAGCACATATTAGTGACGATAAAGAATATAAAACATAAAATAATTATTATTTCAGTTCAACTATCAAAGACTTATGTTTGGAAGTGTCAACCCATAAAGGTTAATACTCAAAGACAGCGAATAAGCTTATAAGATTGTTGTCATAACCCTCAACTCACATAGGACTTACTAGCACAATCATTCACACCGACAACTTCTGTCTACTCGATTCCTTGTACTCCCTTCACTATACGACTATACTACTTTAAGTTCAACATGATAAAATAATCAAATAAGGAAAAAAATCATTCTCATTAACTTAGTAACTTGACTTCAGTATTTTATTTAATTAAATCTTTTAAAATCTACCTATCCAATGTAGCAGATATCTTAGAATCGATATTCTTTTTAAGACAAATCGATCTGATCGATTTGAACCACAATTGAATGGATCACTTGCTCTAGCCTCCGTGTTGATTGGAGAGCAACCATTCATCAATGTCCATACATCATACCTATGCAAACATTAACCAATACTCGATACAAAATGCAATTTACTTTTTTTTTTTTTTTTTTTTTATCGGAAAAAATGCAATTTACTTTCAACACTGAATTATATGTAATTCAGTAGTTAAGTCAGGCGGGCTTGTACTCTTTAAAATCATCTTTGGATCCCCAATTGCGTATTTGGTGCTATGCTAATGCCAGGGGTATTTAAGCAAATTAAAAGGGGGGGTCTTGAATGCAATATCCATTGACCATTGGTCAGCCGTAGATCGTTATCCATCCAAATTCAAACGACTGATAGACCAGATAAGTGGCAATTCGTCCGTCTCCAGAAGAAACGAAAGCAAAGGACGAAGGAAGGAAGATCATGGCCTCGCCTTCTTTGCTGCTCCCACTCGGTACGTAGCTAGCTACACACAGTTTGCAATTTTGTACGCACGGTTGCTTTAATGCATTGAATAGCGGACGCATATGCTTGCTTGCATAGTTTGTGTTTGGTTATTATTCTTCTCTAGTTTTCTTGCCCTTCTTCTGTAGTGTGACAGAAGTTTTCTATTAGTTTTCATTTCCAGAGGAAACCTTACATTTTCCCCCTTTTCTCCGCTGTTTTCATCGTTTTGGTTGAACTTTTAAAATTTTACTCAACATTGTTATATTTAATGTTAAATCAAGAATTAGGTCTCGTGTGTGTGCATTTTTAGGCTGTACATTTGGCAAAGAGGGTTCTTATTCTCGAAGAGACTGCAAAATCCACGTTAGAGTTGGATTAAATTCTCTTGCATCAAAAAATAGATTACAAGAATTAAAGACGATTGAGAGACAGGATGCTTGTAATTGCATGAGCCGGAGGAAGCTGGTAGCCTCAGGACTTGGATTTCTAAGTCTTCTTGGTAGCTCTAATTCCATTGAAGCAGCTGGATTGCCCCCAGAGGATAAGCCCAAGTTATGTGATGATGCCTGTGAAAAGGAGCTTGAAAATGTATGGTGAGATTACATAGCTCCCTAAACTTCCAAGGGTTTTAATGATTGTCCGTTATTTATGCCTGGCACATCAGATCTCCTGTCCTAGCCTATCAGTTTTATGCAAAATCAGATCAATCTTGTTGTATGTTGCTCTCTGAAATAGATTATCATGAGCTGACTTTTTTATGTCAAAATCATGGTTATCGTGATGTAGATGGTCGACCACCTTTTTTCCATGTCTTTTTATCCAATATATTTTGAATCACTTCTTCATTTCCTATAATTCCATGTATTGTGAAGTTTTGCTGAAAACAAATGCATTTCTGTTTTTCATCCTCTGGAATTTTAACCAGTTGATTATTTTTAGCTGCCCAAGATTATACTCGGATATTGTACTGCATTAGGTAGTTATAATCACAGTTTCTTCAATCCACTATTGTCTAGTGGTCAGCCCCACTTCCAAATATCCTATAAATTCTGTGCGCTAATCATTTAGCTAAAGTCAGAATTCTGCATGGCTCCAGGAATATTAGGTAGCATCTGAAACATAGATCTTAATAGTTGATTGTTAGGGGAGATTTAGAAGATACACTAATATTATGGCTAAAACACTAATTCCTACAAATGTTGCCTATGTTTGAAGGTACCTATGGTGACTACTGATTCAGGTTTGCAATACAAGGACATCAAAGTTGGAGGAGGACCTAGCCCTCCTGTTGGATTTCAGGTATGGTTGTGTGTTGCTATAATAATTAAAGTAAGAACCTTCCTCAGCTAATTTTCCACTACTTGAGCCTAATCTTTCACTAGCTATGTATGTGCTTCTGCATTCAACTTGTCTGCAAACTTGAAGTTGTTTCTCAAAGATATAATAAATCTCTAAATTACCAGCTATCCAACAGCCAATATAATTGTTAAATTTAATTAATATTTGATCATTTTAAGGCTTTCCTTTTATCCTAAAAGTAAAAGATGCAGCCTCTCCCAATCTTAGAAATGCGCCCATTTTTGACAGGTAGCTGCAAATTATGTTGCCATGGTTCCTTCTGGTCAAATATTTGACAGGTGATTTCCTTACAGGGAACTTAGCTTGTTGTGTTCATTTCTGCTTAGTGGACATATTGTCGTAGCTACACTTCTCGAGTTTATGAGTCATCATCTATTAAGAAATTCTATAGAGGAGTCCGTGCAAAGTTGAATAGCTTGTTTACCATGTCAGTCTCATCCAATTCCATGACCTGGGTAAATTAACTTATTTTGAGACTCGCAATGTGGTGGTATGTATGTACATTGTTGTTGTAATGCTTCTAGCTTCCATCTTGTTGGAACTTGGTAGTTCGCTGGAGAAAGGGCAGCTTTACATATTCAGAGTTGGTGCTGGTCAGGTGAGATCATGCATCCTGCTACGGCTTCCTTCTCTCTGCCTGTCTGTCTTCAATTATACCATACCATACTACCATGCATTTGCAGTGCGTTCAAGGTCTCATTTTGACACTGAAATGCCATCAACAGGTGATCAAAGGATTAGATGAAGGGATCCTCAGCATGAAAGCTGGAGGGAAGCGCCGGCTCTACATTCCAGGACCGGTGAGTATGTTTATACCATACCAACTCCTTTCTTTCGCATTTTGAACTAATTAATTTGCCAGATCCATAGACAGTCAGTAGTTGTTTGTTCCGTTTTTGAATTTTTTGTTGGATCAGTTGGCATTTCCTAAAGGTCTCACGTCGGCTCCTGGAAGGCCCCGGGTGGCGCCCAACAGCCCTGTGATCTTCGACGTCAGCTTAGAGTACATTCCGGGGATGGAGGCCGAGGAAGAGTAAAAAGATCAATCAATTACTTTTGATCATCCATATCCAAGCAACCATCCTGCATGGATCACATAGCTTTGGGTACTTGCTACTTCATTGATTCATTCTTTTGAATCCCACCTCAGTTTTTGCATGTAAAGTTAAGTTTGGCATTACTAAATTTATTTTTATACTTGTAACTACAAAAATAAATAAATATATAAATACTGGGGTAGTAAATATGAACAATCGAGTAAGGTTCTATAACATTTACAATAATAATAAGATCAAGGGGCGACTTGCAAAAAGTAGAAAGATAATTAACGGAGTATAAAATCTCAGGCGTCCAAGCTGAGATAGATAGAGGTCGCGACGCCGAGCGCGTAGGCACCAATCGCCACCACCACGACGTCCTTCCCGGGCTTCACCACGGCTGCTGCACCCGCAATTCCGGCGGCGCCCAGCGGCAGCCTCTTTAATAAGGCCAGCCGCGCCGCCGAGACGACGGCGTCGGAGAACACCTCCAGCGCGAACTCCTGAAACTCCGTCTGGTCGAGCACAATTCCGTCCTCGTCCTCGTCGGTCCGGGGCGGGCGGCGAGAGAGGACCGCCGCCTTGAGAGCCCGGTCGACGTGGACCCGGTCGGGGGGGTGCGGGAGCCAGTTGGAGATGAGGCGGAGGGATTGGGAGAGGCGGCTGTGGAGGCGGGCGGTAGCGGAGAAGAGCTGGTAGGGCTTGACCCCGGGGAAGGCGTGCTGGCTCAGAGAGAGGCAGTCGGCGTAGACGGCGGCGCAGGCGGAGGTGAACTCCGGCGCGGCGCCCAGGGATTTCTGCACGCGCGTGGACGCCGAGAGCCCCATTCTCGATTTCAACTCCTTCCTTACCTTGGCTCTTTTTCTTTCTGTTTCTCCCCTCAAAAAATAAAATTAAATTAGCATTTTATTAATAATATAAAATAATTAATTTTCTAAAAATTAGAATGGAGTGATTTCTTTGAGTTGTTGGAGTTGAGATTATTCCATTATATTATTATTATTATTATTATTATTATATATATATGCACTATTCATGGCCTCTGGTCGTCTTTTCAATGTCTAGTTTTATTGATCTTCTTAGACAATGCCAATGCCAATGCCAATGCCAATGCGGTCAAGATTGATTCCCGTCAAACAATGTGCACATGGACGTTCATTTTCAATTTATTCTCGATCGGTTAAATTGATACTAGTGTTCAATTTATTGCTAGTCAAGCATTGATCCTTGTGATTGTTCATGTCTGATAAACTACTGGCCACTAGGGTAGGGTACTACATAACGACAACACTTGAGAAATCAAAATTTGATTGATGGGTAGGGTATACATACACGTGCTCCTTCACCAACTCACGTGTTCTTTCAACACCTTCCTTACATGGGTCTAATAACCCACTATCACAAAATATCTATATGTATACATGGATAAATGTGGGGTGACAAATATAATTACAAGCCAAACAACAAAAAAAAGTATTTTCTCCGTGCTACATTTCATATTTAATTATGTTTAGCTTGTCTCACATCTCATATCTTATTTATAAACTATGTGTCCTAAATGGACAAGATAAAATATGTAGGAAAGATTAAAGAAGTAATTTAAAAGTAGTATCACATGGCATAACTTATTTATCCTTAATGGTGGCCGCATTAGATCGACTAAATCCAACTATACCCAACCCCTCCCCATCCTCTCTTATCTACCCCTACACACATATATTAGAGTATGTTTTCTTAGATGAGTTTAAAAATATTTGATATTAAAATAATGCACGATGAAGATGTTTCATGAGAGAGTATATTTTACATGTCACATTGGTGAGTCCACCATATACTACTAGACCATCACTTATGAGTTACTAATTAAATTTTATTACACATGAGGAGGGAGGATGAAGCTAAGGGAAACATTGTGTTTGTTTGGGAATTTAGATTTTGATTTGAAATTTGAATAATAAAAATTTTGAATTTGAATAATTGCATGTGATATTTTAAATTAACTATAAATTTCAAAATTGATAAATTTGGGTGGGATGCAAAGAATATTTTATACTAATTTTATCTCAAATATTCACAATAGTATGTTCCTTTCTAATTTTGCAATATTTTTAAAATAAAAAATAATTAATCAGAGTTTATCTCATCACATAATTACTCTATATATTATTTAATTTTCAAACTATCATAGTTAATGGTATGTATATAAAAGACCATATGGTGCATTGTAAATGAGCCGGATGGAGCACCGTACCATGCTATGGTAATTGCTATATATAAAACCACTCTACTCTAATCTACTCTAATAATTAATCATCCGCAAATTAAATCCAACGGGAATGGCTGCTGCACTCATTTCTTCACTCCCGCACCCGCACCCGCACCCGCTCCTCCTCATCATCTTCTTCTTCATCCTAATTTCATCAATTGTAGCTGCTCTCGCTTCCTCCTCCTCATTTGATGATTCCCTAATCCACGAAGATGATCGTGATGGTGGTGGTCTGGTCTCCGTCTCCGTCTCCGTCGAGCAGCTGGCCTTCCTCTCCCGAAACGTGGCCGGGGAGGTCCCTCCCGCCATCCTCACCAAACTCTCCCCGATGACCGCGCACGACTCCGCCCGCTACGCCCTCAACCCTGATCTCATGACCCCCGGTCCCGGTGATCATGATGCAAATAATAATAATAATGACGACTTCTGCTCGCTCGCCCACCTCGCCTGCGCATCCGCATTCCACGACAGCGCCAAGACCGTGACCAACACTTACACCACCACCAAGACATACGCCACTCCACGGGCGGCCGCACTCAACAGCAACAACAAGGTCAAGGAGGACCCCTTCTCCTTCTTCCGGCGGTCGCTGCTCAAGAGCGGCAACCGCATCCGCCTCCCGGACCTGCACGAGTCCCTCCCCGACCGCTCCTTTCTGCCCTTCCCCTTGGCTTCCAGGATCCCCCTAAACTACAGCGCCCTCCTCAGGATATTCCCGGCCTTATCATCGGAATCCAGCATTAATCTGGATGCACTGGTGCGGAACACGCTCGCCTACTGCAGCGCCCCCCAGATTGCGGGCGAGACCAAGAGCTGCCCGACATCCTTGGAGGAACTGGTTGGATTCGCCAAGTCCTCGCTGCTGGGAAATGGAAATCTGGGAAAGATCGTGGGGTTGGCGTCCAAGAACATGGACGCCAAAGGATTGGGAGATGAGGTGGTGGTCGGTGAGGTCAAGGAGTACGAGGGCGTCGACAACAAGATTGTAGCATGCCACGAGGCCTTTCTCCCCTTCGCCGCCTACTTTTGCCATTCCCTGAGCTCCACCAAGCTGTATGGGGTGGAGATATTAGTAGTTGATGATGCTGCTGGGGAGATAATGAAGAAGGCGAGCAAGAGCACAAGCGCAATTGATAATACTACTGCTGCTGCTGCTGCGACGATGTTGGCGATATGCCACATGGACACGTCGGCGTGGCCCAAGGATCACGTGGCCTTCAAGATACTCAAGACTGGGGCGGGCCAGGGCGAGGCGTGCCACTGGTTCACCATGCTCGACGTTGCATGGATCGCCGCGCACTAGCTAGCTACCTCTCTCATCTCATTAATCAATATCCAATCAATAGTAGTGTGCCTATGCTGTGCTATGCCATGAATGTTGAATAAATTGTGTGTGTTGTTGTGCTTCTTCCTTTCCCTTAGTTATAATATTAACCTGCTTTAAGTATATTCATTAATTATTGAACCAAAATAACATAACATAAAATAAAATAAAATAGAATATAATGATCCTAGTTTCCCGGCGCATATATAGCAAGGGATGGATTGGAAAACCATACATACCAATGCCATCATCATTATACTTGTTTATTTAGCAAAATGTTCAAAATCCAATTTCTAGTTTGGGAGTAATCTTTGATGATTTCAAACCGATTTTTCATTATATACATACAGTACTATTTGGAGGATGTTAAGGAGATAAGTTGTTGCATGTTAATGAAAATATAGTCTTTTTGAAATAATTCAGGAAACTATTGTAAGCAAGGTCGCAATCCTGCGAGGGGGAGCTAAGCCAAGGGCAAGCGACCCGGGTGATGTCTAACCATATTTATTATTCTGTTAGATGCATGTTTGAAGTGAATCAAGAACCTCCTTTTAGTTGCAATCTTGAAAGAGCAAATTAAAACACAAAAAGTTATCATTTTAAGAGTTTGCTACATTGCCATAACAGTGCAGTTCTTCAAATTTTTGCACATTATATCTGAATTTCATCAGATTTCAGGTCCTTAAATACGCGAGGAAAGAACCATGGTACGTACGTTCCAGATCTCTCTCTGTTCAACTTCAACAGCATGATAATGATGTTGGGCAAGAAGAAGATGATTGAGGAGGTCGAGCAACTCTTCTTAGCAATGAAAAGTCGACTTATGATTGTAACTATTAGATTGGATTCCCTGATGAGACTCTTGCAACGATGTAGTTTATAATACCCTCGTGAGACTCTTTTTCCCTTGTATCCTCCAAATGTTGTCACCCGGGCACTCGTTCTTATAATCACATTCAGCATCAGTTGTAAAGGAAAGAAATGAATGAAGATGATGATGATGGCAACAACAACAATAACAGCAAAAATGAAAGCCAAGTAGGTAGGGCAATCAAGGTTATGGTGAGGGATGGGCATGTGAATAAAGTAAACTAGTGAAGAGAAGAGAAGTCCCTTCCTTTCCATCCACTCTTCCTTGATTCGCTTTTTAGAATTCTCTAATGAGTCTGCAGCAGCAACTTTGCTTCACTTCCAGCAATAAAGCAAGCTCCCTTCCTTCCAGGCCAGGCTAGGCTAGGCTCCACTGCCAATCTGTAAATGGTAATCTTAGTATAATATAATGATCCTACCACAACCAAATTAATCAAAATCTGCTCTCTCTCACTTTGATTTCTTGTTCCCCAGTGGGGCTTGGCTTGGCTTCATTAGACAGTCCTCCAAATTGGAATGCCTTGCATTGTGTTGTGCTGTTGTCCTCCTCATCCTCATCCTCATCCTTATCATAGCAGCAGCAGCAGCAGCAGCAGCAGTTTGTGATCCATCACTGCTAACTTATCTCAACTTCCACATCAGGATCAGATCAATGGGGTTGGGCTTCATGACTGGGGAGATTGTGAGGGCTGTATTTGCAAAAGGCACTCATCATCATCATCATCATCATGTCTGTAATCAAACTCTCAACTCAATCAGTTCATCATCTTCATCTATGCATTACACATATGTTTGTCCCTGAGCTTCAGTTTTAATGCAAAATCTATACATGGCAGGCAAGGGTGGGGAAGAAGAGATGGAGAAGCTCGATGATGAGGAGATCGTATCTATGTGGTGATTCACTTATTGAAGATGAGGAGGAGGAGGCAGTGGTGGTGGGGGCATTGAGTTCTTTCAGGAGCTGTACTGCTGGAACTCAGGAAGGAGTTGGCCCTGTTGCAGAGGAGGAGGAGGAGGAGACTGCTGCATCCCTAAGAAGCTCTGAGGAGAGTAAGCAACTGCGACAAGAAGAGGACGCTGACGCTGCTGCGTTGATCATCCAGTCTGCATTCAGAACATTTCGGGTCGACACCACCCCACCCTGCCTTTTAACTGTCTAATTTGATCCAAATTAAATTGTTGATGGATCACCCATCATGTAAGTTGAGAGAGATGATGCGCATTGGTGCAGGAGGCGAAACGTGCAGCGGTGGCGGCAGCCAAGATGAGTCCACCAAGTAGTAGCATCTGCATCTGCACCTCCGCCACACCCACATCCGTTGAAGTTCAAACCGGGAATGATTCTTCATCGGATATCTTCTCCTTCAGCAGCATCTCCCATCTATGTGGATGTGGATGTGGATGTAGTGGCCCTACCACTCACCATCACCATCGCCATCGCCATCCAGCCAGACCCCAAGTGCTGAAAATCCAGGTCAGTTAGCAGCTAGGTTGCGCATTTCATTTCTTAGATATCGTACGGTATCCTATCATATTATATCATGTGAACAATCATCAATCAATCAATCACGGATATACATACATACATACATACATTACATATAATAGGAGGAGTGGGACGACAGCAGGGTGAGCAGGAAGATGAGAATCCAGAATCGGATGGAAGCGGCAACCAGGCGGGAGAGGGCTCTCGCGTATGCATTCTCCCAACAGGCAATTCAATTCTACATCATATCCTGCACTCCATTGCACATTGATTCACTCTTACTTACAACTACTACTACTGCTGCTTTGATTAGCTGAGAATGACTAGTTCAAAGAGAAAACAAAGCACGGCCAGAGATGATGAATCAGACACAAACAGGGGCTGGCTTGAACGATGGATGGCAGCCCGTCGTCATTGCCCAGACCACCACAAACCTGCTGCTGCAGTTCCTGTGCGTATAATAAGGAAAGTAATGATGGAGGAGGAGGAGGGCAAGGAGAATAAGGAGAGCTGCTGCTGCTGCTGCGGTGGATCTAATGATGTAGTAGCAGCAGCTTCTTCTTCTTCTTCGCTACTATTATTCCAAGTTGGTGCGGTTTCATCTTTCGTACTCGAACCAAATAATAATAGTAATGTTCAAAGAAGCCGCAACAATAATACAGGCATACGCCCAGCTTCCCATCGTCGCCAGAACTCAGCATCGCGTCCAAAGGTAATTAAGCAAACAAACACACACACACACACATACATACATACATATATACAAGCTATTAGTTAGTTAGTTAGTTAATTGAGAATTAATTTGGTCCCGGCCAGATAGGATAGGATAGGATAGCATAGGACAGAATGAAAGTTGTACTAACTGTATGTGTGGATGACTTACTGCTACTCAGCTGGATGTAAAGAAGGAAGTTGATGACATGGAGGAGGATGAGGACGACAACAAGGAGAAAAGGAAACGACTGAGGCATCCTCCTCCTCCACCTATAGCTACATGATATGATACCCAGAGAGATCAAATTAAAGAGAAAGGAGGAACAACGCCACAACTCAAAACTCAAATGATCACCATATGTAAATATATAAATGTATATTCGGGCTGGAGTTCTCTTTCTAGTCAGATTCTTTTCTTTTCTTTCTGTATGTATCTATGTAGAGTGATGGATAGATAGATAGATAGATGGATGGATGGCAGTCTGGCACTCTAATTAACCGGTAATGTGTGTGTATTTTGTCTGTCCCCTCCCTCCCTTCATTAATTTCATCAGCAGACCCGCGATTAATTAATTAATTAATATGTGTATGTATGTCTGTGATTGTGTACGTACGTATTGCATAATAGTAATAAAGTAGTAATAATTGAATCTTATAATCAGGGCACCCTGAGATAATAAAAAATGCCTTCCTCAGCTTCAGGCATTATTATTATTATTATTATTATTAATCTTATCCGATGGATGGATAGATATATGCATATATAATGTTCCGATTATTAATTAATTATTTAATTAATTAATCCCAACTGGGTGGGTCCTTCTTCGTCTCCGCAATGGCATTGGCATTGGCATTGGCATTGGCACTGGCATTCGAGGGGGGATCATGACATCTCATCTTCTTACATAGATTGAAGCAGCCAATGTTGGGCTCACCACGAATGAAACACCTTCTCCAGCAGTCGCCCACACAACCTGAATCTGCCGCCCCCGTTAACGCCAACGGCATCATCACTGCCTCCGCAATTATAAATATAATGAACAACATGTTTACTGCCACCCAACAATTTCCCTGCCTCTTCATTTTATAATTTTCTATTAATGATTTTCGTATACGATGGGATATATGCGTGTATATATATAATGATTAATTTAGAACAATACTGTATGTATGTATGTGTGGATCGATCCGATGGTATGAACCAGCCCAACATATATCCCGGCCCCTTTTATATTGAAACATTGCAACCCATAATTATCCATAGATAAATCGTTCACTAATATATATTCTACACGTTTCTAAATAGGAAAACCTATGCATTATCAAGATATCCACTGCAATTATAAACGTAGATTTATGTATCAATAGAAATAGATTTTGGAACATATAATGGGCAGTCACATTTGCAACCATATATTTATACGCTATTATTTTGTAGAGATGACAGACACAACACATGTGTCACGTCGACGTCGTCTCACATGCATGCGTGCATATACACACAACGAAATTGCAAAACCATAAGGCAAAAGAATTATAGATACCAAAAATATACAATTAGTAATAGATAGTGTTCGGGGAGCGACAGTTGCGGCGGATCTCCCCTTGGCGGCCGGTGAGGACCCGGAGGCCTCCCATCCTGCTGACGGAGAGCGCAAACTGGGCTCGGAACTTGTCGAGGCTCTTGGCGTACTCCAGGACCAGCTGCGTGGTGTTGTAGTTGTAGAGCAGGCCCTGGTCCGCCCCCAGGACCGCCTTGTGCTGCAGCACCTCGCCGTAGAGTGCGTTGCTGAACAGCCGCCTGCTCCCGCCGCCGCCGCTCATGCGCAACTGATTCAACAAGACCACGCGCTCCTGCTGCTGCTGCTGCTGGGGGCACTGCTTCCTCAATTCGCGCAGGAGGGATGGGTTCATGGTCATGGTGGGGCCGCCTCTGCTGCCGTAGAGGCGGTCCAGGATGTATCTGCAGAGGGTTCTGCCGACGGCGTGGCCTCCGCCCAGGAGGGTGGCGTAGTCCAGCGCATCCAGGCCCTTGGACTTGAAGTACGCCAGGCCCTCCTCCACTGAGATGGACGGCCCCGGGAGATCCACCCACGCTGCCTTCGATTCCACCCCATCCCTTCTGCCCAGGAACACCGGGTACGACGCCGCCCCTGCCTGCATCGCATTGCATTCTCATGATCAATCCATTTCTAATCATTCATTCTGTACCCAAGGCCAATTAATAGATATATGGATTACCAGGTGAAGAGCGTCGCGGGCAGCCAGGTTGAGGATGTCGGCGCAGGAGACCGCCCCCGGGCAGCGGACTTCCAGCACGGTCTTGATCTTGTCGATGAGCACCATCCCGTCCTCCGCCGCCAACCCTAGCCCCCCCACCCTTGCCATCCGCGCCGCTGTTTTCTCTGTGTCGGGCCCATCCAGCAGGATCGACGCATCACACCCCTGATTGGTGGATTGAGATGGATTCATGAGTATATACATACATACACACACACAGCAATCAAATGAAGAATTAACTACTGACAGAGAGACAGACATTGACGAGGCAGTCGGCGTAGAGGATCTTGAGCAGCGAGGCGGTGATGTTGGGGTCGCGGTCCCACCACAGCCTGACCTGGTGGCGCACGAACGCCTCCGCGTTGGCGCACGTGTTGGTCTTCTTGTAGTAGTGCCGCATCAGAGGCTTGTCCTCCGGCGGCAGGGTCACCGCCGCCTGCACCCGGCCCACCACCAGGCTCAGCGCCACCGCGGATATCATCACCGCCTTCAACCCTTCCAGCCCCCCCACCTTCTTCATCTTAATAATTACTTTATTAATTCTTAAACCTAGCTATGTACCGTAAGATGTATAGATATGTGATATGATCAGGTGAATCTACCCAGCTAGTTTAGATATACAATTCAACCAGCGAAATTAACTGAGTTGAAGTGAACTGAATTGAATTGACGGAAATATATTCCATCTCCTGTATGTATATATACATATGTTTGCGTAGGTAGGATTTTATATATTGGCATGCATGCCAACCTGGAAGATAAATAAAAATTTGATTTCTTGCCTTTGACTTTTATGGTTAAGTATATACTGTATATAATATGAGCGTGTTTATGTGTCTTTGTGGTGCCCCTTTTGACCGACTTAGGGTACTGGTACATCTTTAATTATACATCACATATGCTGGAAAAGTTGGTGAGTTACTTCCTATATATATATACATACATACGAGCGTGTCTCAATATTATTTTGCTTTATTATTATTATTATTTTTATGACGTGAAACCGCATGCTATTCTTTAGTCCAACAAGTCTAACCCCTACATCACCGGACTTAAATTAGGAAACGGCGGAATGAATTTTTAATAATGATACAGCTGGAAAAGTACTAATGCTGATTGAACAATGAAAGTTTTAAGTGCATTTCAAGATTCCTCGTTTATTGTCAACCATGGAGCTTTCTTTCTGCACAAGAATAGTAGTAATCAATCACCCATGCATAAATGCCTATACTATAACATACTAAATATGTATTGTTTAACAGTGAAATTAATTAATTAATTAAGGATGTATAGACAGCCTCCCAATATATACTACTAGTAATATGGAGTATAATTTAGTGGAAATGCAAAATTAGTGCGTACTCAACCTATATATATATATATTAATAAATATTTGTATAATATTTTACATCCATGTCTATTATAAAACACTAATAAAAATATTTTTGTCATTTTCTTTAATTTTTATTATGTTCTCATATAATAATTAATATTTTTTGAAAGTAAATAGAACTTTTAGAACCGGACGGAGATAATATAATATTATTATTTAAACTCTATATTTTTGATAAAATATATTTTTTCTTTCACAAAATGTCATCAAATATTATTTTAATATTAAATTAAAATTTTCCAAACTAAATAAAAAAATAAATTAAAAAACCTTAAATTTTCATCATCAAGAGCATGCATATATATATATATATATATAACGAATTTAAGATTTTCATTTTCTAATCCATCTTTCAACAATTTTATAATATATATATATATATATACTTTAATCTATAGGGCTGAAGTTAAAGCCGAAAGCCTCTGACCAACATGGCCAGCTAGCACGGACTCTTCCTACGTGTTAATGCATATATATGTATATATGAATTCATACAAATACGGTACTATTATATACACACATTATTATTATTATTATTATTATTATTATTATTATATACTAATTATACCAAATAAAAAACGAATATTAATGTGACTTGAAGGATAATATACGCTGAACGTAAACCGACCGCAGGTTTATCGTCATGGTCGTCTCATTAATATAAATAAAATTATTATTCGCTTATGTGTGGCAGATACATTGAGAATTTATAAATTCAAAATTTACCCGCGGTCATCCCTTATATATATTATAGTATATACAAGTCAAAAGTATCCGTTTCCTTAAAATGTTGATACTTATTGATCGGTCGTAATTTGTATGTACGTGCTAATCGTCCATATATGATGTATCATCATCATCATCCATATTCAGGAATGAAAGTTAGACCCTATCTCCCTTGCAATTATATACCTAGCTAGCTAAATTCTAATTACTAATTTTATAATCTGGGCTCTTCTAAATGTGGGCTTGTATCTGTTCTGTTGGTGTTTACTATGGGCGTGGCCCATTTAGGAGGGGAGGATTCAATCATAATATTTTTTTATTTACTAATTTGAATATATTTTATTTTATCTACATGTACATGTGTATCTCATATAAATTTATAAAAATTAATAAAAAATTATTTTAAAATCCTATCAAATCTATAAACAATTCAATCGAATTTATGAATATTCATTTAACTTAATAACTAAAATTCAACAAAGTCTGTGTGGACTCTGCATGACTAATATTTGATCTAAGGATGTATTTGGTACAAAATATGAGTTTGTTTGTTTATTTAGTGTTTTGATTTGATTTTTTTGTTTTTGGATACGTAGCATAAGAATTGCTCAGAAATATATAAAATAATATTTTATATTGAATGTTAACTTTTGTGAAAGAATAAAATATATTTCCTCTGTCCAACAGTAAATTTTCTATTTTGCCATTTTAGCCTGTCAAAGTCAAAACTTCTCATTTTATATTTTTAGTAAAAATAATTCTTAACTAAGTACCAAAATACCAAAAGTAATTGTAGAGAAATGAAGGTGAATTACTTCATTTATCTGGTATAACAAAAAATTAACCGTTGAAAATAATTCTTCATTTGATGAATGGTTGGAGAAAATATTAACCGTTGAAAATTTGAAAGCATGGCACAGCTGGCTTTGGAAGATTAATAACAAATCTGGTACTGAATATTCATTAATACAAATCTGGTACTTAGCTTGAAGGAGGTTAAGTGAAACTGAATTATAAGATCTAGGAATAAACATCGCTGCAACGTCTATTATATATGTGATCAGATCAGATCGAAGGAGGAGACGGTCGAGATTCATTCCAATAGGCCCACCGGACCGCGACTATGGACAGTCCCAGACGGGGTAGGGTGCTTAATTAAAAAACTAACTCAAGTTGAACAAAACAAATTTATATATTCGCGTGCCGGTTGAACCGCGCGCCAAGACAGTACGTACTGTAACTAATTAAAACTCATTTTTATAGTCATTATGAACAACGTGAAGAAATGGTCGAGATCAAATATACATTTTTATATATACATTATTGGATTAATTTGGTCTCAATCTCATCATATACATTTTAATTATACATATATACTAGCAGGAGGCCCACAGTGCAATCCACTAAAAAAAATACAAGTATATTAATTTTTACAATTTATTTTAAAATATATTATTAAAAATATTTTTATTAGATTTTATGTATATTTTTCATGTATTTTAATATTTTAAGAATAATAAATTTTTATAAAATATAATAATTAAATAAATAACAATGGCTAAATATTTTTAAAAAGATAATATTAATTCAATTTTTTTTTTCGATTGTCATCTAAATTTATTTCGATTCATTGTTTATTAAAAAAAAATATTTTTATATATATTTTTAAAAATTTGTATCTGGTCAAATGAATATACAATTGAATGACACATGAAGTATTATTTAAACATAAATTATAAAAACTAAATATTTAATAATAGAAAATTATGATTTATTGTATATATTTGAAATAAAATATATAATATAACTAAAATGATACAATAATATTATAATAATATTTAATATGGAATAAATAGATATTTAATATAATATTTTAAATAAAAAAATCTTCATTCTATTTAAATGGTTCTATTTTTTATTCATTTAATCTTTTTTCTACACCATTCTCAATATATTATTTTTTTACAAAAGTCAACATTTAATATAAAATATTATTATTTATATTAATTATACAATTATCTATATCTCATACAAAATAATTTTAGATCAAAAAGACTAAACAAACAAACCTAATAATATAAACAACTCATATAGATCAAATAAAATTAGAAATTTATTTCATTTGGTTTAATACTTTAAAGGAACAAAACATTGTGTTAATATAATATACAATTTAAAATTATTTTTTTTTATATTTTTTGAGTAATTTTAATAACTTAAGGGACTTTGTCATTCAAAATTTTTTTAAAACTATCTATTTTTTATTTTAGTAAAAATAATCATATATCAATACCAAAATAAATGTAGTATACATTAATTTTATTTATTTTTTATTTTTTATATTTATATTAATACAGTGTATTATTTTAATTAATTGATTATATAATTAAATTAATTTATATTTATTAAATATATTTTAATTTAATAAATTTTATAAAAAAAAATATATATATCATGAGAGAAAAAATGTTATATATTGAATGACTTTAAAATAAATTCGTGTGTTTGTTTGGAAGTTTGGATTTTGAGTTGGGATTTTGAATAGTAGAAATTTTGAATTTGAATAGTTGTATGATGTGATATAAATAGGTGTTGATGTGATGTTTTGAATGTAAAATTAATTTTTAGTATAATATAAAAAATAAAAAATAGGTGTTTGATTTGATGTTTTTGGAGGAAAAAAATTGGATGAATAGTAAAAAAAAAATTCAATCCCTCAAACGAACACACCCTCAGCCTGATGCCCAAACTGGATTGGCCCAGACCAGCCTCGTCTCCTCGTTACTGGACATGCCTAGGCCCGACACGGCCGACAGAGGCGTTGATATATATACTTTATGTTATTAATTAGAAGCACCCTACATCCTTGATGTTAAAATACATTGAAGGAGTAATATATTATATTTATGCTAGTTATTTTATTTTATTAAGATAATTTGTATATTATTATAAATATATAATATATATAATTATTTTTACAATTGAAATAGAGAATTTCAGTTTAATATTTTAACGGGTATGAGAGCCAAAATTTTTCGGGCACATTTATAACCCGTTACATCTTATATGTATTTTTATATTTTATTGATGTATCCGCTTTTATTCACAGTCATACTCGGTTGTACTGTTATTTTTGTGTCATTTCCGTCTCTACTTTCGATTTTAACGCCGTTGAAAATCCTGTTACTTTATTGAAAGCTAAGGAGGGAGTCATATTTTTCGACTCTAACTCTATTGTGAACAGAGTTAGTCCTGTTTTTGACTCTAGATCTATAGAGCAAGCGAATCCTATTTTTGACTCCATTACGAGCTAGCGAGTCTTGTTTCCAACTCGCTGAGAATTATGTTTTCAACTTTGATCCAAGGGACGACTATACCATCTCGATGAATTCAAATTCGTATATAAAAGATCTAGACTATATTTTTTTCAAAAGACAAACTGAAATTTATTGGATCATATCTTGTATTTAAAATTTTTTTATTAAAATATATTTAGAAGCTATTTATTATATTTATAATAATGATTTTTTAAAAAATAAAAAATAAAAAAAATCACCAAAAGCTCGCAATTGAGCGCGCTCGTTGAATTCATGCTCCCTGCATTTCATGGTGTTGGCCGAAAAGGGTAGAAGAAGAGGAAAGGCAGACGAGACGGTGGCTGTGCTGCTGAAACTTCTTGCGGATTTGTGGCGAAATAGGACATTTTGTCTGTTGTGTCAATCTCATGTGCATTGGCCCAGTTGCTCTTGCTTTTTCTGAGTTAGAGATTGTTTCGTGTAATTGGATAGACCGGCGGAAGTTTTAGACAGCCGGCCGGCTAGGGCCTGACTCCGGCGATGCTGGATATTCGGGTTCTTTGCGCTATGTTGCGAAATAATTAGGTTTGCATTCTTTCTTTGCTGTTCTTTGAGTGGGAGACCTAGCTCCTGTTGCTCGAATTGATTCAAGTTGCACTTTCTGTAAAGCATTAGGATTTTATCTTTGATTCAAACACTTGCATCCTCCTTAGGAAATTTAATTTTTATTTATTAGGATTGGGACTTGGTTCGAGCATGCTCTCCGCTAGTCGCATTGGGCTTTACATAGTGAAGCGTCATTCTCGATTCTCCTCTGTTGTTCAAAAACAGCTAGTTTGGGAGTTTATAGCAAAGAAGAAAAAATTCTTGAAAGGAAGATGAGGAAAAAGAAAACATAAGGGAAGGGAAATTTCTTCGTTTCCTTTCCATTTTAAGATTCAAAATGGAAGAAACTTTACAAGCCTTCATAATGTTTTTATGTTCCTAATTCTCTCAACTAGCCATGAAAAACAGAATCTACTTGTGGCAAGAATGAACTCGTATATGAATGGGGGTGGGTTCCTGCCACTGATGATTTGCAGAAAGATGTTGCTTCTGCAGTGTTCTAAAGTAGTTTGACTTGAATGGAGCCATAAGGGTGCAAAGCTGCTTGAGTCATTCTCTGTTGTTGCTATTTCCATTGCTTTAAGACAATCTTGTCTCGTAACAGTTGCTACTAAGTTACAAATTGTATGTTTAATTTCTATGATATCCTTACTTTTATTCCTCTGCACGAGAGAACTGGCCTAGTTGACTTTCCTGAAACTTATTAACATCAATCTTTTAGGCAATGACATTAGTTGTTTTTGGGAGAAAGAGATTTTATTTATATGAGAATATGGAGTACACAGAGTGAACTAAACTGGGGGAAATTTTAGGGGGGGATTAGCCAAAACTTGATTACAACGAACTGAAAGAGCTAGGCAATATGTAATATGGAAGTCATTTATTTAGCTGTGTTTAAAACTATGCAACGGTTTGGTATTATTTATGCTATTTGATGTGTTCAAGTTTGTTGAGGTTGTGGAGCTATGATATTCATAGAAGCTGGCTGTCTGTTTATTATTTGATGGCTTGGTTGTGCTGCAGGCTGAGCTCAGTACTCATAGGAAAGATGCAGATATTACCCATTAAATGGTTAGAGCAGCCGACTGGAAATTTGGAAGTACACTTTTGAATCTAAGTTTAGATTCCTCAACACTCATACAAATCTCTTGAGCTGGAAATTGAGACTTCAATAAACATGGATGATTGGGAGTTAAGCGCAGAGGAACTAGATTCCCTGGAGCGAGATGCCCTACGAAAATTGGCTGAGCGTAATCATTCTTGTGTTGCTGCATCTACCAGCAACAGTAACAGTGACATGCTCAATGTTTCTTCTCTTCCAGCTAGCATGCCATCTTCTCACTCCCCAACAAAGCCCACTTGTCTGCATTATCAATCTTTGGAAAATAATAAGGTCTTGCTTCTATTCATTTCCATTATTTTCCCCTTGTAATTTGTAGTATATTGCTACCACATTTAGGTTGTAATGATTGGAAACTGTTTTGATGTCAGAGGACTTTGTTAAATACCACTTAAAGAGTCAGAGATGATATACCTACGTAAATAATTATCTACCAGTTTGTTTTCGTAGTATAATCTTTAACTATTCTTTTCTTGAAACTTGGCAAGTGATATGGAAGATCAAAGTAATCTATGAACCATTTATAGTTTGATGCATTAATATGTTCGAAAAATGATGCTTCGGTTACAGGAATCTTTAGATAACAAGTCACTCGATGCATTTACCTGAAATAAGTGATACTCCCTCCGTCCATTAAAATTAGCCCATTTGGGCTCGGCACAGGAATCAAGAAAAGTGTATTATATTGAAAAAGTGATAGGTAGTTGAGGGTAGTTTTAAATATTTAGTTAAAAAGTAAAGTAAATGAAGAGAGAATGTAATAAAGTTAGTGGTATTTGTTGTAAATAAGTATTGAATTGAGGGTAATAATAAATGTTGATTTGTTGACTTTGCCAAAATTAGCAATGAGATAAATTTAGTGGACACAAAAAAGAAAAGTGGGAATAAGTTTGGCGGACGGAGGGTGTATTTCTTAAGATGGAGAACCGTTTTGATTCATGTCATTAGCTTATGAATTCTTGTGATTGATTCATGAAGCAGATCAATGCCTCAGTGCCCACAAGGGTATTACCATTATCTGCGGCGCCAAAGATGGGTGGTGGGTACTTTCCATATTTTCACTTTTGTTTTGTCTCTATTTTTCTTATTCTAGCAGCACCCTTACCATTTGCCTATACTTCTTTCAATTTGGCCTACATTTTTCAAATTAAGGTGATCCTTCAATGCAGCCGCAACCGAAGATCATAGTAAAAATATTTCTCCATGCTAGTGGGAATATTGCTGCTAAATTTCCCTATGACAAGGTGCTTTTTATTTATTGTTGGGTGTTTTGATCATAAGTGTTCATTATTCTGCTATCATCATTATTTTATCTTCCACTAGGCACTTTTAAAAGCTTTCCAAAATATTCCAAGATCCAGTTGGAATGCCAAAGAAAGGTCTGTCTCCTCTTTTAATAAGCTTTCCCCAATGGGATGAAAGTAGTGAAATACAGTGTGTTGTTGGGGTGCAAACAACTGGGTGCTATATTTTTATGTTACATAGCATAGTTCTTAACCTGTCTGTCAGTTTCAAACTTCCCATCATAGGTTTCATTTTTATAGTATATTCTTTTGCAGATTGTGGATGTTTCCTTTGTCATCATTATCAACAGCAGAAAGTGTTCTTCGCCACTTTCCAAGCTCTAATGTAGAGGTGAGACTTATTGATGGGGCAGTCTTTTCCCTGTCATCTTTGGGTATCTGTGAATATTTAACCTTATATTTTGAAATTTCTGCTATTTGGTATGGAGATTACATGTGAAAGCTCTTTTGGTATTTGTTGATGTATTTGACTGACAGCAGGTAGGTTTTCTTACAAACCCCTTTTGCCGTTAATTTTTCCAGATAGAAAACTTGGAACCTTTGGTAAGGCGAGCAATTGCTGCTGCCACTGAAGTTCCAGACCTCCAAGGTAGGTAATTTGATTCATTTTTTCTTTAAGCTTTAACAGGGAGACTTGCCGATAATTAGATCTGTATCAAGCTACTATTTTTGGAGGATGACAGAAGCAAACATGTAGAGAGTAATCCATAGAATATTGAAGGTGCAAAACATAGTTTTCCCATGCCTTAAGGACAGTGATGAGTACTTACTGATGGGTATTATTCAATTTAGCATGGGAATAGCAGAAAATTGTTTTTAGTTGTACACGTTGGAGTGGTTAAATATATATTGAACTCACTTATTGGTCATTACTCATTAGAAGAGGGAATGATTTTGGTTGCATCTATCTATGGGTTAAGTATCCAAATGATTTAGATGTAAACTCACTTTTGAATCTTAGAAGAATACCTTTCTATAATCAGATCATTTTTAACAAAACTTGGTTTAATAAAATTAGTTGCTTGTCTGAGGAGCTTGGGGGGTTTGTTACAGAATACAGATTGCAAAGGCTTGGTTCTCAAGTCAGAACTTCACACCTTTTGTCTCAAGTAGCCATTTTGTAATGTTGACTATTCATTTTATCGCATATATTAGAGATCTACTATTTTCTTTGGTTTGTTTATTAGGTTCTTTCAAGACCAATATCCAATCATTTTTCGTGGTTTTGAATCAAACAAAAGCAATGATAAAGGTTTTGTTTTGTGGTGATTGTTTTTAGGTTTAAATAGTAAGTTGGATGTGATGTTTTGTGAGAGACAACAATCTATGCATATTTTCTTATAGGGAATCGTGAGGATTTCATTGCAAACAAACTGAAAAAAAAACATCACTAAGCAAGCAGAGCCAAAATGTCTTAACCTTAAACACGGGGAATTGAATTCTTTTCAATAATAGAAGATTAAACCAAAAATCAAGGGTGTGTTTGTTTGTGGGTTTGGGATTTTGGGTTTGGATTTTTGAATATTAAAAGTTGAATTTGAATAGTTGTTTGATGTGATATAAATATATATTGATGTGATGTTTTAAATGTAAAATAAATTTGTAGTATAATATAGAAAAAGAAAAGTAATTGTTTGATGTGATTTTTTGGAGGGAAATAAGAATCGGAATAGTAAAAATCTGTCGTGAAACCCACAAAAGAACATAACCCAAGTGACCAAGTTTTGTGTTTATAATCAGATTGAAGCATATTTTAAAGAAATTAAAAGTTCAAAGTGTGTTGGTTATTGATTTAGAAATATTAATATTCATTATGTTTTAGATTAATCTCCATATATAAGTATATAACAAATCATATTACTACGTATGAACTGAATACAAACAAATTAAATAAGTAACATCTCATGGTAAAGAATATACATTGATACATGCTGTATTTTTCATAAAAACCTAAGGGGATATACCTATTTTTAATATGTATTGACCAAATGTCCTTGTTTGTTTGGCTTGCATGCCAATCCTTCACTTTTTTTTTTTTTTTTTTTCTTTTCATTAGATTGAACTAGCAGCTATGGTTTAGGTGAATGCTACTATGGATTACATGTGAGGAAAAAGAAACCATTGATATTCATCTATTAAACAGCCACACAAATTAACGTTTAGAAGTTGTAGGGTTTCAGTGATGGCTTAGGTTAGGATTTTGTTCTGTTTTGGCTCTAGATTTCAGTTTTTCCTTATCTTGAAGCCAGGCGAATATTAAAACAGAGAGCTGTTAAAAAATTCAAGTAATAGGAAATGCTGTATCAAAATAATGAAAAACAATATCGTCTCTGTTAGAGCATGAATAGCTACATTTGTGCTTTGTTGCTATTCATTGACAAATTTAAAGTGCGCTTATTTGTATTTTCACACATGCTTTAGCACTATGCAATCTCTATTAAATAAACTAAAATAACACCCCCCTTAACATAAATAAATTATATTAAACACTTATTTTCTATCTAAAACATCAAATAAAAATATGTATTTTCTATTTAAAATATTGTATGAAACACCTATTTTCTGTTCTAAGACTTCATGTCCAAAACTTCAAAACAAAAAAAAAAAAAAAAGAAGAAGAAGAAAACAGCTTAATTTTTGTTGATACAATGAACTGAAGGAGGTAAGAAATCAGACATTATATTTCACGTAAGTGCCATTATACACTTCTAAAAGTCTAATCATATTGTCATATTTCAAAAACATGTATTTAACAGATTGAAATGCACTTATGATTTCTCTCTATTGCATCTATATTTTATTTGGGACATATTTTGTGTATCATAATACTCAAATACTAAGTATTGTTGATGTCATATTTTCAACAGATCGGTATATTAAAATTCCTTCTAATATCGAATCAAAACTTCTACCTTTTCAACGTGATGGTGTTAGGTATGTAACATCAATTCGAAGTACTTTTAGTGTTTGATTATGTTTCTCACTAAAAAGTCACGCAATGAAATTTAGGGTCATATCTTTATGAATATGTCACAATACATGTGACAGTCTAGTTGTTTCTGGTCATTCAGATTCACATTGCAGCATGGAGGGCGGGTCCTACTGGCTGATGAAATGGGGCTTGGAAAGACTATTCAGGTACTGAGTCTTTCAATTAATATTGCTTCATCTCTTGATCTCTGCTCATAAAAATGGAGCTTGCTGATTCTCTCTCAAAATTTTAGTCTGTTGTTAACCTTCCCAAATGTTTTTCATTAGATTATAGTTGATGTTGAAATATAATTTTATATTTTCAAGGTTAAAAGCTTAATATATAAGAAATTTTGCACGCTTGGCATTGCTTTATCAATCACCAATTTCAACAGAATTCCTCAAAACTTTTTCTGTTCTGTTTATCAAGCTTGCAACGTGTATTATACACCTTTGTGTCCAAAAGCATTATCCTTTTATGGATTATATTGTTCCATCCCAAATGTTCTCTAACATTCTATTGCCTCAATAACTAGAATTTTATTCTTGAGACAAATCAACAGATTTGGATGGATAAAAACAACTTAACTAAAGTGATTTTATATGGTAAGTGATACCTTAAAGGGCCATTTTGTCATTGCCAACAAGCTTTCTTAAGTTTAAAAATCAAATGTTAAGGTCAACAAACTTCTGTTTCTCCTTTTTGACATTTGACCTGTTAATTTGAAAATTGCAAGTTATTTTCTCTTTTGTTGACCTTAACATTTGATTGGAAGAGTTGTAAAAAATTTAGGCAGGGCTTTCTTAGGTCCCATCACTATTAATCACTTTTTGCCAAATATTTTTTGGAAATTCAAGTACTGTTACAACTAAAGGAAAATAGGGACTAAATAATTAGAATGGGAACAGAACCTAAGGCCTAAAATGAGGTCTAGATTAGAATGGGAACAGAACCTAAGGCCTAAAATGAGGTCTAGAGTTGCAACTAAACTGAGAAAGTACTGCTTCTTCTTGCTCCACATTTTGCAAAGAAGTCTACAAGTCCACTTGTGCCGTGAGAGATGTGATTGAAGGTGATGAAGGGGCATCTGAACACGTATAGATTAAAAACCTTTTTTTAATATGTAGCTATGATTATTTTTATATTTTGGAAAATTCATTAAGCATATTCAGAGTGATCTGATTAGATCTCCAGGCCATTGCAGTAACAACTTGTGTTCATGAATCATGGCCGGTTCTCATTTTGACTCCATCATCCTTACGACTTCACTGGGCTTCTGTAAGTAATGCAGTCTGCATCTTACCTTGAAATTATTGCACATGTGTTCAATATTTTCATTGTCTTCCACAGATGATTCATCAATGGCTGGATATTGCACCGTCAGATATATTGGTCAGTTTCTCCTACCCTTTTTTTTTTCAATTGTGTGATGTTTCTTTTCTGTTAATATCATATGGCTTTATTGTTCTGATTATCGATGTGCTTCAATTCTCATTCTCTGATGTATACTAATGTGGATACATAATTGTTTTGTTTTGATCTCTATTTTGTTTTTCTTATAAGATATGTGTGTGTGTATATATATATATATATTTGAAGGAAAAATCTGATAGAATAACATAGTGTGATTATTATATTTGAAATAGACTGATGCTCATACAAAATTATTGTTGTTGCAAATACACTAACTGTGAAAATCCTCAAACAAATTGATTCTAGTCAAGACCATATTTAGAACACTCCTAATACTACTAGTTTTAAAGTGTCCCACATTGCTAGTTGTTGGGAACTCCCCATTGCTTATGAGAAGAGCCGGTAAAAATAAGCACGGTCTAAAAATTCGATCCAAGTATGCCTTAAAATTTTAGGTCTGAATTAATTTCGGGCCGGACCAGTACGGCCTAGTTTAGAAACTGTGCTGGACCTGTTAAAATCTGGCGGTGATGGCCTGGCCCGGTTTACTAAAAAAATAATAGTATTAAATATTGTTTTTCTTAATATGATATAATAAAATTGAAACAAACTAAGGCTCAAATAAAGCTACAATTGAATTGATTGAGCATTCCTTTTCTATACCAAAGGAACATGGTTTGATTCTCATTTTTTCAGTGTTTTTTTCTTAAAACATAGGCCTTAATTTATTTAAAAAAAAAAAAAAAAAAATCTAAGGTGAAAAATGTAAACGGGCTTGGCCTGTTCGAAGGGCAACTCTTTGGCCCGTTTGAAGGACAATTTAAGTTGAATCCCATATCCCTTATTAAAAACTAGAAACCTCTAACCGTAAGAAATACAATAATGTGATGAAACTGTTCAAAACCAGATGAATATGATTTGCATCACTTTCCTGTATATGTAACATCCTTCTAATATGTGCATCAACGGTAAAGTAGCAAACATGTTAAATGTTTCCACATTGCCTAATATAGCTCGGAGTATTAGTTGCCAGTTGCCATGTTTCTGTGTATTTATATGATCGCACACTCTGGCAAATTTCCTTGCAGTTTACAATCCTAGATTTGCTTTTTATTTGTAAGTATAAACTCCTGCGCATTTGGATGAAGACTGGGCAAATATCATAACAGTACTTTCTTTCATTTTTGTGTATGAAACATCTTAAACATGTGAAATAATATATTGAAACAGAAAAGAATTGTTCCTTAATTGTGATTCTTCCATGGTTTATAATACATTTTGAGATTGAGTCTTGGGCTCAAATCTTTGCAAGGGTGCGTGAATGGATTGACTAAAAAATAAAATAAAAAACTGATATGAGTCAGTGACAGGTGGTTCTGTCTCAATGGAGTGGTTCTAATAGAGTTGGATTTAATATTGTGCCTTCTAGCAACAAGAGGTCCATCAATCTTGATGGTGTCTTCAACATTATATCCTATGATATTGTACCCAAACTACAAGATGTACTTTTGGCTTCAGACTTTAAGGTAATACCTAAAAACCCTCTCTCTCTCTCTCTCTCTGATTTTTGATAACACACTGACATTACTCCAATGGAGAGTCCTTTTATGTATTCATAGGGCACCCCTCATCAGTGATTTCGCTTTGCATTTATTGTTCTGTCCTGGTTCCTTTTGAAATATTACAATGATGTTGAATTAGGGCATGAGACAAGACTCAAGAATGTATTGGAAAAAGAAGTATTGAGTCTAGTTATGATTCTAATTAGACATACACAACAAAGGCACCCATAAGTTTCATTGTGTGCCATTCAGAATTTCAGATATAATGCATGTGTGGATGCATAATTGACAATATCTTGCAACCTCTTGAACAATAGAAAAACTTAGAATCCAATTTGGTTAAATTTGGAAATTGCAAATCTCAATTTGAATGCTATTTAAGAATGTCCTGAAGCTCTTTGGATTAGCTATTTTGCTTACAACTGCTTGAAAAGTAAAATGTTTTCAACTTCATTTTGTATAATAATCATTCTAAGACGAGATTTAAACCCTCCATCTCGATATTATACATATATTTTGTTTTGTTGCATAGTTTTGAATGCAAATTAGCACGTGGCTTATGAGCATCTTTGTAATGTTATACTAAAATAGTTTTTGGTTATTAGTTGCACAATTGATGTTGGCGGAAGAAGTTAAGGGTTTTTTCCTTTTGAGTTTTTACCCAGGTTTTTACCTGTATTTCTTAAGAAAAATATACTTTTTTTTTTCTCAGAAAACATCATATCAAATATTATTGTAATAAAAAAACTCAAACTTTCAAATTTAATCTAGACTGAAAAAAAACACACCCTAAAGTTCATGATGTGTTACGTTTGCATTTTTTGTATGCTGTGCCTGTGTACTTGAGAGATAGGCTCTCATGGCTTTGCTTAGATGTACGAAAGCCTTAATTGGGTCCTATGTAGTATTGTGTAAGACTTCTTTCCTTCTGAGAATTATACACAACTACATATATTATATATATGTTACAACACCCTTTTGTAGTGGTTTCGGTTTCATTCTTGTTTATTGGAAAGCAAAGAAAATTTTATTTTTTCATTTAGTCAATAACTTTTCAAAACACAGGACATAATTGCCTGGTGATGTGATAGCTAGACTTAATAGGAAAAAGACCATGGATTAGTGCAGCTGATCCTTGAGAAACTGCCTATCAGTGCCCTTGAGAAAGTGATCTGGGAATTCCACTAAGGAAAAACACAACTCCCATTATAACCAGGCAGAAAAAACTTTACTGCCCCTAGCTCTGCATCTATCAAGGAAGAGATATTGTTTATGCTTCTAGGGATATCATTTGGCCTATCAGTGCTTGCATTCTGTATGTTGAAATCTCTGCAGATTTACTGGTTGATGGTTGCATTCAGGTAGTGATTGCGGATGAATCACATTTCCTTAAGAATGCACAAGCAAAGAGAACAACTGCCTCGCTTCCTTTATTGCAGGTTCATTCAACCTCTTCTGTTCTACTTGAATCTGACATTCTGAAAGTAATGAGGTTTTTTCAGTGAATTACAATTTAGGGAATGGAAATCTGACACTACAACTGAACTTTGATTGCATCTAGCAGGAATACGTATCGCAATTTATTGATTTAGATCTTGCTGATTGTCAAAACGCTCATATTATTTAGCTAAGGCTACCATGTGCTGAGTTAAGACTTAAGAATATTAATAGCTGAAAGAATATCTGTAGCTTTGTGTTTATTACTAGATCAATGGTTTCTTCTTCATGCCTTTTCTCTTTCTTTTCTAATGTTTCTCAATAATCTATGTTAATATTGACATCCACCATCATAAATTTATTATGTATGCTCCTATACTACGTTTCTCATTTTTTGTGTCAATTTGTGATATGTAGAAAGCTCAATATTTGATCTTACTAAGTGGCACTCCTGCTTTGTCCCGACCAATTGAGCTATTCAAACAGGTAAAATTCTAATCTTCATTTTTAGAGATAAATCATACTTTGACAGTAAAGTGACTCTTGGAGTCTCCATTGCAGTTGGAAGCACTTTATCCTGATGTATATAAGAGTGTTCATGAATATGGTAACCGTTATTGCCGAGGTGTAAGTCAAAGTTGTTCTGTGGTACACTATATCTCTCTTTTTCTGTATACCCTGTCAAAACCAAATCTTAGCCTTTTTCAGGGTATATTTGGAGTCTATCAAGGGGCGAGTAATCATGAAGAGCTGCATAATTTAATGAAAGCCACTTTAATGATTCGGCGACTCAAGAAAGATGTCCTTTCTGAGCTTCCTGTGAAACGTAGGCAACAGGTACAAACCTTTTCTGGTACATAATGGTTTATTAATTGTTAGCCACACGCTTTTGGCAGTTTTGAAATGATTAGGAGAAAAAAAAGCTGAGTTCCAAAAATTCTTTAATGTGAATAATTGTTTAATGTGATATATTATTGCAGCTATATGAGTTTCAATTTATTAATAACCCACTGATGTGGCATGTATTCAACTATCCATTAAACTTCTCAATAGCAATTCCCTGTGGAAGATGTATATATGTACATACACTATTTTTTTTTCAGCTGATTTCCCAGGCGCCTAGCAGTCAGAGTTTGATTCACTGTCTCACTTGAACAGGTGTTCTTGGAGTTGGGGGATGCGGAAATGAAACAAGTAAATGCTTTGTTTTGCGAGGTGATGTGAATTTCTTGTGTCTTGGTTTTCTGATGAATTATGTCTGCTTGTTGACCAGCTATTTCTCTTTTGTGTTGAAGATTAGGATTGAACCGTATTTTTTAATGGACCCTTCAAATTATTATATAAGTTTAAGGTTATGGATTACACATACCAAGCATAACTACTGTTGCATATAAGTTGAGAATAATATATGGGAATAGCCTAAGAAAAACATGTGTTTTTTTGTAGATTTCTCACAAGATTTTTACTATTCACTTTATTTTTTTTTCCAAAGATATCAAATCAAACAATTACTTTTAATTTTATATATTATACTAAAAATTAATTTTACATTCATAACATCACATCAATATTTATTTATATCACATTAAACAATTATTCAAATTAAAACGTTTACTATTAAAAATTCCAAACGAAAAAATCAAATCCACAAACAAACACACATCTGTTGCATAAAATAATTGTAATGCTGTACCTTAAACTGAATGTCAGAAATGTTTATTGTAGTGTTCAACTTGGATGGTAGTTGTTGGAGATATTAATATATAAAAAAATAATGCGTCTTACCATCAGCTTAATGCGAGTTGTTCATTTGGCATGGTAACAAAGCGTGGAAGTTTTGTGTTTGAATCTCACTTCCACCCAGTCATGCATAGTGTCATGTGCTGAGGCTTTATGAAATGTCTATGTGTAGGAATTATAAAATTAGGTGAATAGTTGTAGTGCGAAGATATTAAAATCTTATGAAGTATAAAAATAGAAGATTTGATAGTGTAGTGTGTGCTAATATCCACATGGTTCTAATCTATAATACTTCTCACTTATTGTTGAGCCATCTGATTTTTCACTGAATCTTATTAAGCTCTCTTCTCCAATTGGGCTTATCAAAACTTTAGCTTAAACATTGTGGTTAGATCTTATTCATCCTTGTGGTATCCTGATGTGTAATGATTCCTGACGCACTCAAGAACAAAATGGTTCACCTTTGTTAATGGTATTTTTCCATTTTTTCTACAGTTGGAAATTGTAAAAAGGAAAATCAAAATTTCCCAGTCCAAAGAAGAAGCTGAATCACTCAAGTTTGCAGAGAAAAATCTTATTAATAAGGTGGTCCACTAACCAATCATGCCATTTTTTTTCTTGATTTGTTGCTCTCTCTGGTAAAAGAATTTTATGCCTTGACACCTTTAGAGTGCTAATGATGCATTATTGGCTGCCATTCTCATTGTATCGCACTCCAGATATATACAGATTCTGCTGAAGCCAAGATACCTGCTGTTCTGGACTATCTTGGGACTATAGTTGAGGTATGATGTTGTGGAAGTATATACAACGTATAAAATCACAAAAAAGTAAAGAGTACTGTTCATGCTTTCCAAGTAGGTTGAACATTACTTTAGTGGTGCTATAAAAAATGATAATAATAATAATAAAGAGGAGTGTTTTTGCCACTGTTGTCTTATTTGCATTTTGCCACTGGTGTTTTATTTTTTGAAATTTCAATCCTCCCTCCCTGTGGGATTAGGGCATGATAGTCCTACTTCATGGATTCTATCACCTACTTGTTTGCTAACTTATTTTATATGAATGCATTGCATATTTTTGACATTTTCTAGTCGGTTTCATACACTTACTTGCTCATTAACATGCAGGCAGGTTGCAAATTTTTAATATTTGCCCACCATCTACCAATGATAGACTCAATACACAAATTTCTTCTGGTAAGTCCCCATGTTATGTTTATATGATGTATGTACATGCTTTTCATATATATACTTTAATGTTTCAGAAGAAAAAAGTTGGATGCATAAGGATTGATGGTAGCACACCAGCAGCGTCAAGACAAGCATTAGTAACAGAGTTTCAGGAAAAAGATTCAATAAAAGCTGCAGTGGTACTGATTTGTTTATATATAACTGCTCTGCATTGGTTGCTGCTTTCCACTGTGTGTGGTTATGCACAAAAATTTTTTAATGTTGTCTTCTAGTTGTCCATCAAAGCTGGAGGTGTTGGCTTAACATTGACAGCGGCAAGCACAGTGATATTTGCTGAATTGTCTTGGACTCCAGGTGACATGATTCAAGCCGAAGACCGTGCCCATAGGATTGGTCAGGTAAATTTTTTAGCCTGAAAGAAATGCACTAGTTACTCACATAATAGATTGGTTGTTTCTTCACATCTTCGATCTGTGATCCACATATCTTCTGATATTCGTTCTAAAAATGACTTTAATGATGATGAGTCACCATTTAAATAGCTGTGGACTGTTCCTTTTCATTTGGCATGCTCATTTTTCTTCAACAAATTGTGTATTGTTACTCCTGGCTTTAAATGTTCCCAATGTTTGCATTCTGACTTCCCTTCCAGCATGTTCTCACACGCTTCAATAAAATGCGCTTCTTTTCAGGTCTCATCAGTCAACATATATTATTTGCTGGCAAATGACACAGTTGATGATATAATATGGTGCTTTTTTCTTTTTTCTTCTCTCATATGCCATTTTTTGGAGTACTTTTTTAAATAGTAAAATAAAATGAGGCAATACATAATAACTTGACTGACTTCTTCCAGGGATGTCGTTCAGAATAAGTTGGAAAATCTTGGGCAGGTACTTGTTCTGCCAAAATTTATGTTCCTTTGTTCATCTGCAATGATAGTTCTATCACTGTTCTTTATGAAGTATACCGTAACATGAAAACTATACTCAGTCTATGTTTGCTGCTAGTGGTTAAGGTAGATATGCTATTTGATTCAAGTATAATAATTTATTGACTTTTATGTCTTAAGGCCAGTAAGTATCCTTAAACTTGGGATTAGTGTACTAATTTATCTGGATTTTATATCCAGTCCCGTCCAAAAATAACATATAAAAGCTATATATCCTATAAAATTGGCGGGATACAATAATCCCCTCAATTAGAATTGAATATATTATATAATCCCATCATTTGTAGTAAATATTCTCGAAGTGTTAGTGTCTGTAGTGCATGGTGTATTACTTTGTAAGCTACTGACATTGTTTGCAAAGCTTCTATTAATTGATTCTAGTTAAATCATCATCTTCATCAGGTGAAGACATTTGGTAAATGTGCACAGGCTTGCCATTTCTAGCTAAAAATTGTGCTTTTCAATTCCAAAGTTTTGCAAGCACGCTGCCTATCTTCAGTATGCAGGAAATGTGTTTTAATGATAACAAAAGAGACACTAGTGCAGTTCTCTTTATTCGAAATTTCAGGCAATATCTGCAGTAGCAATAATGCATAACTGGATTCACATTGGAAATTTGTGCGATAGTATTTAACCCATTCTCTACCACCTCTGCATCTCAAGTTCTATATTTTTATCAATTTGGGTGCTACGTAGTTTTGTTTGTGCCCTCCTCCATTACTGCCACATGTAACTTGCGGTTATTTTGCTACGGACTGTGCAGATGCTTGATGGCCATGAAAACTCCCTGGAAGTGTCGTCCATCAATCAACTGGCGACAAGCAGCCCTATGAAACAGAGGACACTGGACTCCTTCATGAAGCGCTGTAATAACTCCTCCTCTGATGATGAACCCAAGAAGAAGTATAGCAGGAAGTGATCATTGATGTCCTTGCAAAGAATCTGCATTTGTATGAGTGAGCATGACCACCCTCATTTCTCGCATGAACACAGTAGTACAGTCTGAATATTTTGCTCCCTTCCCTTCCCTGCCCTGCACTTTGTGAGGTAAACAACCAACAATGACGTATCTCTGTAGAAGGTTTGTGCAGCATATTTGGCTATTTTCTATTCATCTCACTCATTGCATTATTGTATGTATTTCAGTAAAGAATTAAAAAATATGTATTTAATCTCTACTTAATTGAATATATATTATATATACATACATATCATACGTACTTACATGAACGGCGGTAGCACATAAGAAAAGTATTCAGAATATTTTAATGTAATTATTCATTCATTTATTTATTTTTTAAAAAATATATATTTAATGTTTAATCTTCATTTAAAGTCTTATGTAAAAATCTATTTATTCCCTAAACATATCAAATTTTAGTGTTCGTCTGTCCTTGTATTTTAAACATATTTAATTAATTAAAATCAATTTAATTTAATTTTTAATTGTTAAACTTATTCAAAATCACTTTAATTATAAATAAATAAACATTGGAAAAGTATTCAGAATAATTTAATTTAATTATTCATTAATTTATATATATTTTTTAAAAATATATATTTAATGTTTAATCTTCATTAAAAGTATTATGTAAAAATCTACTTATTCCCTAAACATATAAAAGTTCCTTTCTCTTTTTATTTTAAATATATTTAATAAATTAAAATTAATTTAATTAAATTTTTAATTATTAGACTTATTTAAAATCATTTTAATTATAAATACATAAATATTTATTTATTTATATTATATAAAATTTTATTATTTATAAAATAATATTAATTTATATTTTATTAAATTAAGTTAAAAATTCATATAAAAAATAATAAAATAATATAGTAAACTTTGTGCACATAAATTAATAAATATTATTTAATAATTTGAATGTAAAAATAATTTTATTATAATTTAAAAATAAAAAGTAAAAATTTAATTTGATACTTTTTAATTTTTTTTTTATGAATAATAAATTTTGGTAATAATCTCCAAAGAAACACAATCTAGTAATTAGTAATCTATCGTACCTAAATAAAATGGTGTCCGCAACAAGTAGATCATCTCTTCTAGACGCGGAGTACTATTTTGGTACCAAGTAAACAAATTATCTGGAAGTTTCTTGCGTGAATGATTACGGTAAAATTTGTTGGGTATTTCGGGTCGGAGATATCACCTTAGGTGAAGTGCAAGTATCATTCATCATCTTTTGGGGAAAGAGATGTCAGAGAACAACGATTCGAAGCAGCAGATGATTCAACCAAGTGAATCCGCAGGTTGCATCAGGTCCAGTCCCAGCCAGATTTGCCACCAAGAGGTATGCTCTACCGAATTTATTGGGCATATTAAATTTATGCCCAAACCCACTTGTATTGTAGTGAGTTTCCTAATCAAGGTTTTTTTTTTTTACTGCGTTTCTCGCACTTCTAATTTTGCTTCATGCTGGGGAGATTCTGGGTTCGAGTAGTTAGTCATTCACTAATTTCCCGGTGCTTTATTATTATGGCGGATAAGCTATTGAATGTTACTCCGGATTTTATTTAGCTGGTTCAGTGTGTCGCAGGTGTGAGAATTAAATCTAATTGTTACAGTCCTCGTTTGGTAATGTAGGTTTCTCTTTTTTTCACTGAATCTTGCTGATGCTTTATTCTCATTCTTGTGAGTTCTTATTTAGCATTTGAGCCTTTATGAGCAAATAAGATATCAATTAAGGTCAGTGTTTACTGTGTCAACAGGCTTTGCCTTTCCTGTTTCATGTAATCATTGTATATTGTTGGACTTCTATATATCATAAATCACCAATTCTTCACCTTCAAGGGCAACAAGGATTGAATGTATTATATTGGATTTCATTTAATTATGTCCCTGCTGTTGAAATCTTCATCACTTAATTAACAGGCTTTTCTATCTTTCTATCTTTATTCTTTTTTCCCGGGGTTTAAAGGCCAACGTACCACAGGGTGTTCCACCATTTGTGCTCATCAGACAAAATGATTTTTTGGCCAGAAAGTAAGTTTTTACTCTTTAATTCCTTATTAATCCTCTGGAAGAATATTTTTTTAATATGCTAGCAATGGAGAATGTTGCATATCTTGAATATTCCAGACAATATTAAACCCATAACTCTAGGTGTAAGGATTATATTCACTTGTAGGATATAATAGTTCAAAATACCCAAAGGATGTATTCTTTTCATTTATACAGTAGTTGATTTATACTTCTGGATTATGGTGTATTGGGCTATGTCTATGTGTGGAAACCTGGGTGTAATTATTCACAATGTATATTGAATATGAAGGAATGTAGATAATCTGGAGATGAGAAGTGTGGGCGTTAGCTTAAAATTTATTAGCTCAAAAATTAAAAGTTTAGGTTATTATTCTTACACCTTGCTAGTTTTTTGTATTTTAAAGCTATGATTACTATTTCAGTTTTACGCACTCCAGCCTCCTGGGTAAAGTCACAATTCTTATTATATAAGGATCAAACTTGAATCCACAAAATTCTTAACTTCCACCTGATTTTTATTTCCCTATATATATGGCCATGAACATTCATTGGATATAAGCTATGTTGGGGTCAAATTGATTAGAGTTCTAGTAGAAGAAGAGAAGTGCAAAACTGTGGCAAAGATAAATGGAGAAAGAATTAGCATACATACAGAATATTAGATCTGCGTGTTTATAGGAAAGTGGTGTTCAAGCCCAGAAATCGGTTCTGTTTTATGTATTTCTATCATGCGGTGTGGCGTTGATTGTACATACTATAACTTTAATAGATGGATTCTTTGCGTTCCCTGAAGTGTCTTACCCAAGTTATTTACAGTTTTTACTATAATTTTTACCACTAAATTCCACCTGCAATAGTATTCATGCACTTTGTTTCATGTAATTTATTTCAGAATTCTTCTTTTCCAATGTATTAATCTCAGGCATAAAAAACTTAAAGAAGAAGATATTGCCATATGTGAATGCAAGTATGATGCTTGTTGTCCCGAAAAAGCATGTGGTGAAAGCTGTCTGAATGTGTTAACCAGCACAGAGTGCACACCTGGGTACTGCCCTTGCAATGAGCACTGCAGGAATCAGGTCAGATATAGCAAATATTCAGGCTACAGCTAATTTCTTTTACTATCAATAGGTGTAAGTATTAGGGACACTAGGCTGATAATCTAAAGACTATGGAATAGCTTTATGATGCTAGCGGTGTTTTCACATCCACTTGTGGCTTCTCATCCTCAAGTTCTGATTTCATTCTTTCTTCAGTAGCGTCTAAACAACCTTTACTTCATGGATACTTTGGGTACTAAATCTCTGTATGTTATGGAGGTTTCAGTTGAACTGCCATTCTGTGGATTGGTTTGTGGAAATTGTAAGATGAAGGAAAAATATTAGTTTGTATTAGAGAGATGGGATGGATATGAGCACACTTTAAATGGATTTGCAAAGAACGAATAAGAACTGCAACAGTTGGGAAATCTCTTGAGATTTCTTGGAGTCATGAACCAAAACAGAATGAATGTTGTTGACCAACAATCTATTCTCAACAAGATTCATTGTTGAAGTTGGGCTGTGACTGCTGAGTAGCTGGAAAGCTACAAACTGTACAGGCCCATCCGAGAAATGGCCTGAATTTTGGAGCTTATGGGAAATCACTAAAGCACAATAAAGAGTTAAGAAACTCGAGAAGCTTTATTTATTTTGAAATTGAAATGAATAAGATGGTACAGAGGGCGACCTTTTATAGGTGAAAATAAATCTATAAATGTCTGAAATAATCTAATGAGAATCCCGATTAACTTTGATTATCTACGGAATGTAATGTAAGAAAAATATCATATATCTTCTGTAACATATTCATGCTGGTGCGGATTTGATTTATCTAATCTTCTAGAAGCTGAGATGGCATATAGCTGAAACTTGCAAAAGGCTGCCACAAGTCATGCAGGATAATTTCTGTTTTATGCAACTGATGTCAGCTGCTTAAGAAGAAAAATACATATGCATTATGTCAGCAGCCTGGTGTGAAATTGTGTTGATGTCATTTGCATATTTTTAAGAATACGCTGACATGGCTTATGTGGTAGCTGAAAATATATAAGCTGACAGCACATCCGAAAATTAATGTCAAAATGCACTACACATCTCATTCCATTTCAGGAACTGACATTGTCTATGTGAATTCCTGCTCATCTGCACTGCCAAATAAACTGTGTTTAAAAACATAAAAGGTTGCACCAACTTTGCACTGATCCAACAATTCAAGCTTGTAGGCATTGTCATTAATACACTCAAGGATGCTAAATGGACCATTTGCTCAAGGTGATAACTTGGACTGTTGTTGGATGGGGAAAATTTTCTTGCATGAGCGAAGCCGAACCCAATTGCTTGCATGGAAATTACTTGTTTGCAGCCTTATTAGAAACCTTGGCATATCTTGCATTTCCTGCTCAATATATTTTTTAACTTCAAGTGAGCTCTTAGATCAAATCCACTAGTCTCTGGCCATCTATTTTAACAAACTCATTGATAGGCACTGATTTCAGATCAATGGGATTAGTGGGTCAAAATTATAACTCACTTCATAAGGGGAATAATAAGTAGAAGAATGCAAGCTCCTACTGTAAGAAAACTATGTAAGGCATGCAATCATCGCAATTTTTGCAAGGATGAAGGAGAAAGATATGTGTTAGATTAGAATCAGCTTTGCTGTCATTGAGAGGGCAGTGGCTCTTATGTTTTAGATCTGTGAATTTTCTTTCACGAACTATATGGTGTATGATTTGGGCTGTTAGACTATATGTTTTGTAGAAGTCGGATGATTATGCTTGAAGGATTGGTGGGTTAGGAAAGGAGCCTGGTTTTGTATAGTTGGTAATTCTAATGATTTTCTGTAGTTGCATGTTTTTTCTGTAGGTCTATTAGTTATTATATGTAAATACACATATAAATAATGTTGCTGGAACTTTTATAGTCCCAGCTAGTACCGTCTTTCTAAGGTTGATTTTCTTTGGCTTTTGAAGCTTTTGTCTAATCATATGTTGTATTAGTTGTCTGGGATTATTATGGATGAAATACATCAAGATTATCATTGTCTCTATCGAATAATGTCGTGCTGAAATTTTCATTTTCAAGTGTTAACTCCTAATATCTGCAATTTCTTTGTCACATAAGCCGGGTTGCTCTAAGAATCTCATTTGAATTTCCTTTGTTGCAGAAATTTCAGAAATGTGAGTTTGCGAGGACAAAGTTGTTTAAAACTGAAGGGCGTGGATGGGGCCTTTTAGCTGATGAAAATGTTAAGGTGATTTATTTAATAGGCTTCATATTTTGTGCTTAAAATTTTCCTTGCAACTTGTATGATGCTTTAATGAAAAATTAGACACTCAATTTTGTGTCATGAAACATTGAATTGACTGCCATGAGCTCATGTTGGTTGGTAACTGCTGTAGTAACCTAGGACGTGAGCTATTTCAACCTCAGCTTACCATCTCTTCAAAATGAATAAATAGATAGCAGAGTTACAAATATCAGCAGTCTTAATGTGGCTCTGGGAGATGATTTGCTGAAATAGGGTGGGGTGGATGTGAAGCTTACATCAGAGATGCATTGAATCCACCATTTTATCTTCAGGGGCCTCCTAATCTCCTTCCAGTACATCCCCAATCGGGAAATGGGATGGCAAACCACTTTGCAAACGTGGTGCTATTGGGCAAGCCAATTTTCAATCTGTTTGTGATCAGATCTAGGCTAAACTCCCCTATATTCCACCTTAACTTCGTTCTCTCTATGTACTCCATAATTTTACTATGGAAAAGCATCAGAATAGGTCCCAGTGACAACTTTTCCTGGCAAGGAGGGATTTGCAAGGAGCACTAGCATGCTTTGGCCTTTGAGCCTACACTTGATCTTTTTTTGATCGGAGAAATAGCCTACACTTGATCTTTTGAATGGATCACATATGGGTAACACTTTAGTTCTCATTATAATTTTTGTCAACTTTAGGTCCTGTTCGTATAGAAAAGTATCATTTTTCGGTCCCAATTGTCAACCGGCTGACTGACTATGCTAATGTGTCCAGCAATTGGTTTGATGTGTTATTTTGTGAGCTTATGTGTCAACTAAATAGGACCCAACATGCCTGTATTCAGATTTTAATTAGATTTTGATCTCGTCATCAATGATCACTGCCATGTTACTAAGCAATGCCACTATGTTAAGTTGAAGACTATTGTTAACTTGTATTGTTATCCCATTCTTGCATGATTTAATCTACCATTTACTCTAAATATGTATAAAAACATTATTTTTTTATTTAATCATATCCAACAACCTATTTTTATTTGAAATATTATCTCCAACACTTAATTTTTATTTAGAACAGATTCAACAATTATTTTTACCTAAAAAATTTTGAAACCCAAAATGTAAGTAAACATAAATTATTTTTAATAAAAAATTTTAAAATATCCAAAGCACGTTAGTTATATAGGCTGTGTTAAACTCCTCATAAAATCATGTTAGTGTAAATTCTCTTAAATTCAGCACATATAAACACACCCCATATCCATTATATTATATTGATCAAAAGATACTTCCAGTGTGATTGGTTTGCTATGTTTTTATATTTTTGTTTGAATAGTAATTTGGATGTGATATTTTATGAGAAAGGATAATATATTTTTTCTATAAGAAATTATGAAATTAAATAGCAAAAGTTTTAAGAATAATTGCCAAAAAAGAACACACTCTTGGTGTTTGGGTATTGATATTTTTTAGGTGAAAATAGAATCTTGATGTTGTATTTTTTTTTTTTTTTTTTTTTATATAAGAAAAAATAGTAGACTAAATTATATAGAAGTAGTTAAAAAAGACATAAGGAGACCATTTGTCTACAACTTAACACAGGTTGTGTTGCTTAATGACCATGTCAAAATTTCATTAAAAGTCTAAACGTAAGTGTATTGAGTGTGTTCTAAAATAGTTAGCCGACTGGATGGTAAGTGAGACCTAAAACAATATTTTTGTATAAATGGGACTTAAAACATTATAAAAGTTATTATGGACTTGCAGTGTACTCGTATGCATCAACATGAGTACATGACCTATAGTGATTTTTTCGATTCTAATATATATATATATATTAAAGAAAAAGAAGAAAAAAAAATTGCTGCAGGTTAGAACTTGAGGAAGACGAGAACAGGGCTTGGGGAAGGGTAGCAGTAGAGAGGGTTTACTCATTAATCATTTTCTGGTGTTTAACATAACAAATTATTGCTAGGACTATTTTTTTGAACACTGATAAGATCACATCATATTACTTTTGAGAGTAGAAAATTTTGTCCTTAGGACTAATATAGTGGTAATTTTGAAATTATTACAAGAGGTATACTTCCACTGTTGAAAGGGTTGGAGTATAAAGTACATATAGGCTATAGCTTTAGGGTATGTGGATGTAACTAACCGTTTCAATGCTGTTCTCTAAAATCAGGCTGGCCAATTCATTATTGAGTATTGTGGAGAAGTAATATCATCAGAAGAGGCAATGCAAAGATCCAATACCTATGAAGCCCAAGGTCAAGTATATTTGATGTGCAGATGTTAGTCTTTGCGAAATATGCTTATGCCTTTCAACACTGCAATGCAGGTCTTAGAGATGCATATATAATCTCCTTGAATGCAAATTTTTTCATTGATGCCACAAAGAAAGGGAGCCTTGCCAGATTTATAAATCATTCGTGGTAATGAGTCAAGCACTGGACAAAGATGGTTGAAATCTAGTTATATTTTCATTCTCACCGCCTCATAAAGTTTACTTAAAGCTATGTCTAACAGTAGAAATATTCTGAATTTACAGCCAGCCAAATTGCGAGACAAGAAAGTGGACAGTGCTGGGAGAAACTAGAGTTGGAATATTTGCAAAATTTGACATTTCTGCTGGGACTGAACTGGCTTATGATTATAACTTCGAATGGTACGGTGGAGCCACTGTTCGATGCCTGTGTGGGGCTCCTAACTGCTCCTTATTTCTTGGTGCAAAATCTCATGGTTTTCAGGTATGCATCTGCTTTCAATTATTAATCTGAAATTTATTTTCTGAGCTAAATGTTGGTATTGCATGCAAGATGCCTACTTATATGGCTATATATAAGCCAATTAAGAGCCTGTATGAGTAAACATTATCATTTCACAGAGCATGAGATGCATTAGAATTTCAGAAGGCGATATCATAGTACATTTCTCTTGAACTATGAATGTTGTTATATTGCACACCCAAAGATCCCTTATTATTTTGCTGTTGCATACAAAAATGAATTAAGATAGTTTAATATGTAGTCTTCTTCATTAGTAAGATCAGATGGTATTTTGTGCTTCACCATTCACCAGGCAGCCATCCACTTTAAAAATTCAAATTATCCTATTCTAGACCAATCTAAGCAGATATTTGGCAATGGCTTACCTTCTCTCAGCTATGGCCCTCAGGGAGGCCTGAACAAAATTCTGTGATTTGATTCTGTCTCCTCAATGGGATTTCTTCTGTTAGATTTCGCGGTGGAACTTCAAATTTACATACAGACAGTGCAGCAATATAGTTCAGATCATTTTCTTCTTTTTTAATTCTGCATTTTGCCTGAATTCCTGTAGGGATGGGAAAGGTGTGCATACTTCTGAAGCGCACTGGCTTTCTGCAGGAAAGTGGCTGCATTTGATTGATCTTAAGTTTTCCCATGGAAAACCCACCTTCTTTTTTCTGCAGTACTATTATCCATAATATGTTCTATGGAACGCCCTCCTCGCTAGTTCTTTCATGCTGCAAAAATATTACTCCTAGTGCTGCTCGGCCAGTTAACTAATTTAGTTTTTTTGTTGCTTCCAAAGCATGATTATATGGTTTTACTGTACTCCATAGCCTTACTTGTTTTCTAATGGTTTGACACAGGAATATAACCATGTTTGGGAAGATGGAGATGTCAGGTAAACTTAATTGAACATATTGTTGATTTGCAGAAAACACAATGGAGAGATTGTAATACTTGTCGTAGTTATGTGATTGAGAATGTTCTTGTTAAAGCAGACAATGTGAGGAGAGGTATCAGAGGATTGACTCTCATAACAAAAACAAAAAATCCAGAATGTTGTTGGGTTATTATTTTTGTTAACTATTGAGAATATTCACTTGGCATTTTTCATGCCTGCAGATACCAAGTCGAAAACATTCCACTCTATGATTCTGCGGAGGATGAGCCTTTTCCAGTCGCAGCCGGTCCTGTCAAGATTGAGTCTGAAGAAAACGAATCAGCGGTAGGAAAATACATAGTGGAATCTGGCTTGAAAATGGAAGTTGCATCTGGTATGGAATCTCATTGTTCGGTAGTCGTCAATGATGAGGCAGGGAAATCAGAAACAAACAAGGAGGCAGAAGCTAGTATAGAAGACAAAAGGCAAATGTTCTCCCAAACAAATGCTATGATATCACGTATAAGAAGCAACAGTGCATGCCGCAATTATAACATTGGACCAGGGCCGTCCTCTAAGAAAAGATCGCAGCATCATCCAATGAAGCAAAATGTGAGAGCGATGGGGCGGAAACATGTCTGTTCCAAACCAGTTGCTGAGCTGTTTGCGTCTAAGAAAGCTCAAGAGGAAATAAGAAGATGTGAGGTGGGTGGGTGCAAATCCCCAGTTGGGAGTTTAGGGAGGAGGGAGCACCCGAGTCCCAGTTCCCATTATGTATGCATGCATGCATGTCTGGTCTGGTCTGAAGATGTTGTGCTATCTTGTGACAGGAACTCAAAAACAAAGCAACCTCGGAGCTCAACTCCTTGTACGACGAGATCCGGCCGGCAATAGAGGAGCACGAGAGGGACAGCCAGGACAGTGTGTCGACGAGCGTAGCTGAGAAATGGATACAGGCAACCTGCTCCAAGTGGAATGCGGAGTTCGACTATCACTTTTCAATCGTCAAGAATGCCCTGTGCCCTCCCCCGAAGATTATTGCGGCCAATGCTCAGAATGAGATCAAGTACCTGACGAATTAAGGGCTTCTCCCTCCCTCTTGCATGCTGCTGCTGCTGCTCCTGCTGCCATATCTATATCTATGCCGGTGGATGGATGTTTCATGTTTGACTGCTGGCTCTGCTGTGATTGATTCAAGAACAGAGCCCCAGCTCTGGCTCTATCTATACTTGGCTGGGTGGCTGGCTGTTGTGTTAAGGATGAATGAATATGCCACCATTTCATTTGTGTATTTAATCCATCGGTTCAGTTCAGTTAATTAGATCGGGCATTGCATCTTATCTGTTGATCGAATCAGGAGGGGTGGGTCCCCTACTCCTCTCTCTCTCTCTCTCTCTCTCTCTCTCTCTCTCTCTCTCGTATAGAATCCAAACTTTAAAAGGTGGTGGGTAGGTAGGTAGAGACTTCCTGTTTTTTTTTTCTCTCTTTATTATTGGTCAACAGACTGTAGCAACATGAATCAAGCAACAAGTAGCCAACCAATCAGGGCCTGAAGCTTCTTTTGGAAAACAAGCTTATCCTTGGTGGTGTGCTGTGCTACTACTACTATAGCTTCTTATCAAACTTGCAACACAGATGCCGAGAGAGACTGAATGACTTGCCAACACATTTTACAACAGTTTCGGACGTTTAATTATTATTATTTTTTTTTAAAAAAAAAAATTCTCCTAAGAACAGTAGTACTTCAACCAGACTCCTGGAACAATTTAAACCAAAACAATTCAGTTCTACATTTGGTGCCAAATCCCAGCTGGCTCACAAGTCTTGCACGCTCAAACCTGGAAAACTAAGTAAGTATATGCAAGAGCTGAAACAGCAGTTTCCCATCTAAAATGCAGACAGCCAAACATAAATATAACAATTAAGAGTCCAAAATGTCCATTACTTCAAAAGAATTTTTCAAGTGATGAGGCGTCCCAAGATTTTAGCCATCACAAAAGTGACTAGCCGTTTGGCATCACAAAGCACAAAACACAAAATTTTGTAGCATTCATTGGTGGCCTGGCATAACTTTAATCTACTTATCAAAATTCTTTGGCACATAGGTTTTCAACTATTATGCATAGATAAGATAGTATGTAGACCTAAAGTTTGAAACACAATTGAGTATTGACTAGATATGACAGTTCTCAAACCAGTAACTCAGACCAACAGCATGTATCAAAGCAGTACACCAAGGGGAATAAGCCAATCAATCATCTAATGTAGGTGCGTACCTGGTGGGAGGGACTGCTTCAATTTGTCAGCCTTCTCCTGATCAAAGACCGAAAGGGTGTAAAGGTACTTTGAGCACCTGACCTTGAACTTAACCACATCTTTACTCCTCTTGATCTTCACCGAGCGCGCATCCTTTCTTCTAGCAGTTAGAAGGAAGTCCTTTATCTCATGAATTTGCTTCGGCTGCACAATCAGTGTCGAAAACAAAGTAAGCAAATTATAACTCATAGTATGGAAAATAGCACAAGCAACAACGCTTAAGGGAGGTTGATCATTTACATGGTCTTGCACTGGGAAAAGATACAAACCAATTAAATTTTACGACAGCTAATGAAGTATCTTACAAACTGACATAGGACGTCTGAAATTAGATGTTGCAAACAATGGCTTTGACGAGTTTCCACATAAAATTTGATCAAAATATTGTGCAGCACCGAAGAGTTTCACAGAAACATACTAAGATAAAAATAAAGTTGATAAACAGCATCTTTCTTCTCCCATTTAATATCATCAACAAGACTAACCTAAATCAAAGAGAACATAATCAATCCGATTAAAAAAAAAACAAAAAGAGAACACAATCAAATACACAGTTTAATACAAGCATCATAACACAGTCCTTGATTGCAAGGCATGAAAGAATTTTTCTACTAAAGTCCTTACAAGAAAAGACGCGCTGAATATCAAAGCACCACAGCCAAAACGCATGCACCATATAATAACGCAGATACGACACTAATTCTAGTCCGATCGGACACAAAAACCTCATACCGCAGCTTAATTACAGAGAAGGAACAGGAGGAGATCAAGGAAGTACCATTTCTGCAGATGGCGCTCGGAGAGAAAGCTGCAGTTGACGACAGTGATTCCAAAGACCTAATTGCTGGGCATCGCGGAGACGACAAAAAATAAAAAATAAAAATAAAATAAAATAAAAACACCCAAAAAGACCCAATATGCGCTTCAAGCTCATCAACGCCTTGGGTAATTAAATTAAGATAATTATGTCTTGTTCACATAATATCTATTTCAACATTTAATATATTTTTTTTTATCACCGTAATCACCTACTAACACATTATTTTTACTATTTTATAAGATTAATACTTTTATATAATATTAATTTTAATTTTTAAATATTAATTTATATAAATTTTGATATAATGGAACATATAATTTACTTTTTTTAAAAATTGAAACTATTTAAAATAAATCAATATATATTTATAAATAATTTTGTTAAATTTAAAATTTAAAATTTTAAAATTTTTAAAAAATTGAATAATATGTAATTATTTTTATTTTTGAAAGTAATCAGTTATTAAAAAATATAATAACATCTAATCAATTTTCACTTATTTTATATTATTTATTTTTTAAAAAACATCAAATTAAATATATTTGGTGGGGTTGTGATTCTGAACCATTTTTTTAAGCGTAGAAAGAAAAAAAAATTTAAAGAGTAAGAGGCCTATTTTATTATTATTTTTTATAATATATTTAAATTGAAATATATATATTATATATTATTTTTCGATCCATAACAAATAATAAAAATAGAAGACAAAGAATTTTAAATATAAATAAAAATATTTATTTATTAAAAGGATAAAAATAAATAATTTCGAGTGTCTTTATATGATTAGGATATTATGCCATAAAGTTAATTAAATAGTAATTAACAAATATAAATTGAAACATAAAGTTCATTCAAAATCCTTTTGTTTTTATATGTAACAAATATATTGTGAACTCTCGGAGAATGATCGATCCATGATTGCATCTTTAGACTTGTTATTCAGGAACTTATACCATATATTTTTTTGATAGAAAAATCAAATAAGGAGATACATGGTTACAATTATCTAGGCTTTTTTATATTTAAAAGTTCTATTTTCTTATAAAACTAATTTTAAGTTAATTAAAAATAAATAAATATATTTTTTAATTTATTTCTATTATATAAAATAATACATTCTACCAGGCATCTGTCACAAGTTATTCCCGCTCAGTATCCGATGTCTCTTAGTCGATTCTATCAACGAATCAGACTCTGATACAAAAATTCTGAAAAATCAATATGAGACAATGAGGACAACAGAACACAAGAATTTGATTACCCATAATACATGATATTTATACCTTAGCTTAGGCTAATAATATCTTAAAATATAATATTCAAATCATATCCCCCAAATTTATATTGAGACTTCGGATCCCAACAATATTTATATATTTTATTGAATTATATAGTGTTCATAACCAAAAGGTTGCTGGGAGGGAGTATCTTTTAAATCAGTAAATTTTATCGAAAGATGTTATTTGGTATTTCTTAGACTAAAAGAAACTAAGATATTATTAATAAAAAAAAAATCAAATTAATCTAACACATTTACTATTAATGATTACACATAAAAATCAAAATCATAAAATTCAAAATCATACCTATAAATCCAGAACCAACTTTCTAAAATCTATCTTAAAATTCGAATAAATCCAAACGTAAAATCAAATCTATCTAAATTTTTCAGAGACAAATACACCTTAATATTCTCAGACAATGAAAGAATGCAAAGTAAATAAATAAAAGGTCATGGGAGGTTTAGGATCGGAGGAGGAGTCATTTGGATTAGGATGATAAGGAGGAGTAGTGGCCGCCGGAGAGCCAGTTGGAATCTGCTCCTCCTCCGGCAAGGAAGTAGAGCAGAAGCAAGGAGAGAGGATACATGAGGCAAGCCAAGATGGATGCCCAAACCGGGAAGACTCTGTTGAAGCTCGCCACGCACCCGATGACCGCCGACACCGCCAGAACCATCAGAACCTCCGCCGAGAACTCCCACTCCAGACCAGGCCGGAAGTATATCAGCGAGAGCAGGACCACCATTCCCAGCACGTTATTCATGAACACCGTCCCGTAGATCTGCAGTTAATTAATAGATAGATTGATTCGTTAATGTGAATATGTATAGTGTATATAGTAACAAGTTGTTACCACCTCGGACAGTGTTAGCGATGTGGTGGGCAGCTTCTTCTGGCGGGCCTCCTTGAGAGCGGAGACGGCGAGGCGGGCGGTGGTGGCGAGCGGGACGAGCACGAAGGCTATGTAGAATGGGGGCACGCGGGCAGCCTTGGACAGGCCCCGTACGCTTTGTACGAGGGGCTCGGCCAGGGCGCCCAGCATCACAACCCCGACCACCAGCAGGCCGATGGCTTTTGCCCACGCCCGCGCCGACTGGTCCACCAGCTTGTGCGCCACCAGCCTGTCTGTCTGCTCCCACGTTTTCTATTCATAAATACATCGCCCATCCACCCAGTTAATTCAACATTTCATTTCAGAATTCAGAGAGTGTGTAACTAATTATACATGTATGCGTGTGTGTGCGCAGTGTACCTGGTAGTTTTCTTCCTCGGTGGCCTCTTGATCGATGATCATTGATGCGGTGTTTGGATGGCAGTGAGGCGCGGTCAGCCATCGGGACAAGCCGGACACGAACTCATCCTCGTTGATGGTGCGGTCCTTGTTTACGTCCAGCTCCTCCATCATTCTGGAGGCCGCCATGTCGGAGTCGTAGGGGGGGATCACGATGCTGCTCACCAGCTGCTTCAGCTCCTCGTACGATATGCAGTCGTCGTTGTCGAGATCGATGTCTTTGAACAACCTGCAATATATATATATGTATATATTTAATTGAAAGCTGAAACACAATCACTTAATTATAATCTATCTGTCTATCCATCTATCACTGAGCTGGGCTGAAGTGGCCTCGCCTCTTGAGAGCGGCAACGTCGGGACTCCCATCCTCCGTCAAGAGGTTGCCGTAGGCGAAGTGCTGGAGATGATCCACAATGTCGGGAATTAGATGCCGCATCATCTCTCGCTCTTCCCTTTTCTTTTGGATCCAGGGCTTCAGAACCTGGTACAGGTCCTTGAGCGACTTGAGGGAGTGGTACCGTTTGTTCATGGCATCCTTGGATTCATAGATCCATTTTCTCATCCCCTCCACGAACTCGTCCAGCGTGATCTTGTCGTCGCTGTCCCGGTCGAACTCCTTCATGATCTCCGCCGCGGTCCTGTCCTTGTCGCCGCCTGGCTGGATTTTCCCCAGCTTGGTCGTCGTCGACGTCGTCTCTTCAAGGAATGCCTTCAGCTCCGAGAAGGTGATGGCCCTATCTCCGTCGGAGTCCCTCTCCGCGAACACCCTAATTATTTGATTAATTGATAGTATATAATTATATATGTATGCATGAGGTATGTATGCATGTTTATGTATGTACCTTGTGATGGTGTGTATGTTTGGCGAGCCATTGTCGGTGAGGAGGTTGCCCATGGTGCGGTTCTGGAAGTGATTGAGGACATCCACCACCAAGTGCTCGTGCTTTATGTAGAGCAGCCGCCGCTCTTGGATCCATGGCTCGCAGATCTATGTACATATATATATATATATATATATACACACACCACACCACACGAACGATTATGAATGAATGAATGAATTCTTCAACTTATTATTATAAATAAGGACAGGAGAGGAGAGGAGAGGAGAGGAGAGGAGAGGACAGGACCTGGTAGAAGAAGTAGGAAAGCAGGAGGAGGAGGGAGAACAGGAGGGTGAGGAGCAGAAAAGCCCTCCGCAGCCGGTAGGAGAGGCTGAGGGCGCCTGGGATCTGGATCATCGCCAACGGGATGCCCGAGAGCAGCATGATCCGGGCGGTGTAGCTCGTCCTCGCGTCCGTCACGGTCACGGTCACAGCGCCGCCACACCCCCGCAGGAATAATCTCTCCAGGCGGGTGGGCTCGGGAGAGGGGGAGGGTCGACGGGCGGCGAGGAAGACGCAGGCGCCCCACACGACGGTGAGGAGCAACGTGGACGACCCCGCCAGCAAACCCAACCCCGTCACCACGCACTCTTGAGCCCCCTCTTCGCTGCTGCTCCAAAGCCCCGACGCTGATTCATTCATTCATTCATCCATTCATCAATCCATACGTACTAGCTAGTACTACTACTACTGCTACTACTGGCTTAATTCATTCACTCCACTCCGATATCACCCACAATTACATTTCATTTCATTGATTAATTTATTAAAACCAAGGGTATACATAGTACTGTTACTATGCATACCAAGATAAAGAAATCATGAATGAAAAAACATTGAACCTGCAGAGTAGAATCAATCAGTCAATTAATTAAATGCTAACTTAATTTGGAGTCTATTGAATATTTGGTAGTGAAATTTCATTTCTTGAGGAATTAAAGGAGAATAAAATACTATATATATATATATATATATATAGATCGGTGGCGTGGCGGGTTCGTGCATAATGCACGTCACACTAATTTGGCCTTTCCAAACATGTTCACAACCATACGAACAAGAGTTGGGTGGGACTTTAATAATGTTTTCAATAATACTAATAATAATATAGTTATAAGGTCATGGATTCATAAAAAATGTAATAATAGTTGATTCTCGTTACGCTTGATTTTTCCTCTATATATATGTATATATAGAAATTATAACATTCATAATTAATAACGCCCATATGTCACTCTTCTAACTAATCTTCAATTCAGGCGCAACTTGTCAAACAACACAAACCTATGATGTGTCATTTACCTAATCGTGTTGTGTTACTAATTATGTTTTTATTTATTCAACTTCTCAAATTAATTCCATCTAAAAACATAATTCTATCTTCAAAATATCAGAATCAAAATACGAAACAACCAAAATACTAATTAATAATAGTGGAGGCAAATAGCTTTTTGAAAAACTTTTACTTATTGAATAGTTTTAGTTGTTTGACCAGTCAAAGAACTAATTTAGGTGTTTGGTAAATTAGTTTTTTGGAATAGTTTTTGGACCCAAAAAGTTAATTTCTGAAAAAAAAAAAATTATTCCTTATATGCCCTTAAAAATTTATTATAAATTTTACACAAATAAATATATTTTGATTATTTATTAATTATATTAGAATATTTTATTATATTATAGTTTTACTTTTATAAATTTAAAATAATTAATTTTTATATAAAAATTATTTTAATTGTAAAATATATAAATTTATTAAAATCAACATAAAATAAAAAATATAAATATAATAATTTATTTTTTTATTAAAATTACATTATATAAATTTTATACTAAAAATAAATTAAATTTATTGAAAATTATAAATATAATGAACTAATCGATAACTAACATAATAAATATATACATGAAAAATTTATTCTTTTATATTTTACATCATTTTCAATAAAAAAAACTATTTATATATTTTAATAAAAATATATTATTTTTTAAATCTAATTGTAATAAAAATAAATACTTTTATAACACTTTTATAATTTTCAATAACTAATAACAAAAAATTTTAAATATTCTAAACTAAAAAAAATATAATTGAATATATTAGAAACAAGAATAAAATAGAAATGTCCTCGATTGTTATTTTATGTATAAACAACTAATATCAAACAGTTAATCGAATCAGCTAGTCAAACCAGCTAATTGAATAAGTTAACATTTAATTTGTTTGTTACATGCATGTACAAGATTTATTATGAAGAAATACAACAGTACGTATATACATCAGTAAACCCAGATCTCTTTTTCTCTTGATCTTCTAGGTTTTCTAACCACTATATATATGCATTAATTATAACAGGTAATGAAAGATATACGTATCATTATAATTAAGACCATATGCATTAATTCAAGTAAACAAATTAAATACCATGTAATTTTCGTTTTACATGCATGTTTACGTTTCACTACTTTTATGATCGCGTACCTTTCATTTTTCATTTTTTATTTTTGGCTACAATTTGACCGTGAATTTCATTTATATTAATTACAAGGTAGGAGAATAATCGATTAATTAATTCATAAATCAATGAGAAAACCCTAATTTGAAAATTCCCCCAAATTGAGTAATTAATTTTGATGTGATAAAAATGTAGAGTAATAGAGAGTGATTGAGGAGACGTGGGTGGGTGGGTACCGTACCGAGAAGAATGAGGGCCTCCGGGAGGGAGCCGATGAGCTGAAAAGCAGTGGCGCCGAAGACGCCGGGGCCGAGGATTTTGAAGATCCGGTCGCCGCCGGCCCCCAGGTAGGACTCGGCGTGGAAGAGCAGGTACTCGTACACCACGATCAGGAACAACTGCCCCCCCGCCGTCGTAGCGCACGGCAGGAATCCGTACATCTCCTCACAGCCCCCCGACGACGACGTGGTTTCTACTTCAGGATCATCCCCCCGGCCATCTGCAATTATCATCGGGTTCCAGCTGCCGGAACCGTTGTACAGCAGAGGTCGAGATATGGCCACGGGGACGAAGAAGAAGAAGACGACGACGACGACTAGAACCAGAAGCAGCAGCACTGATCTCGACATGATGATCTGCAGTGCTAGTAGACTGTTTTCATGTGCTTAATTAATTGATTTACAGTTTTAATTAACTAACTCTCTAATAATGAATATTGATCCATCCTGATCAGAGCAACATATATATATATATATACATACATATATTTGACAAGAGAAGAGAAACATCGATCAATTGAGACATTGACAGAGAGAGCAGAGAGCAGAGCAGCCATGGAAAGAAGATGGAAGATGCGTCCCACTCTCTCTCTTTCTCTCTCTCACGTAGTCTTCTTGACTTTTCTGTTGGCTTGGCAGCCATACATACGATGGCGTGCAATTTGACTCTACAATATATATATATATATATATATAATTAACCACTTTACATTTATTTATTTACTCACTTACTAATATTCTCTATTCTCTTTCCCCAATCGTGTATTTGTATTATTAATTGAAGACCTCCGTCCGCATGAGGAGGTTTGGTGGTGTCGATGATATGGTTATTTTGATTATTTTGGTTTAAATCTTCCTACTAGATTTTAATTTTATCATATTTATTAGTAATTCGTTAGCTGAGATTTTTGAAATCCAGGCCAATTATATATATATATATATATATATTTGAGGTCATTGTTGGCTCGACCTTGACAAAAAATATAAATTTTTAAGATTTTTGTATTTTTTTATAAATTTTTTGATTGATTAACCTATTTGATTGGTTAATACATGTGATTGACTTATTTAATTTTAAAAGTTTATATATATATATTTATGTAATCTTATATATATATGTGTATATTTGAACTTCATTATGAGTTTAATTACAATAAAAAACAATTTTTTTTAGCTATTTAATGAATATATTTATAGGTATATGTATATATCATATTAATATATGTGTAAGAAAAAAGAATGAAAACTCATATGCATGAAATTTGAATTAAAAAAAATAAAATAAAATAATAATGATTTATTTTCTATTTTTTTAATTGGATATGATATTTGATTAGTCATTGCATTTATTTTTAATTTTTTTATTTAAGTTTTTATTAGTTATAATATTTGTTTGAATATAATTTTAAAAAGTTTTGAATATCTTTTTATTTATTTAATATATGTTTTAAATTAATTATTATTGTAATAATTTTTATATGGATATATATCATATTAATATATTTATATATGTGAAGAAGGATGAATAATATTTATTATATCCTTTATTATATAAATGATATAATAATTATTTTTTTTTAATCTTAAATTTATTTAAAACAGTGCAGAAATTCGAAGTGTGTTATGAAAAAGATAAAACCATGATTGTAATTTTATTGGAAGTTGAAACGTTTTTTAAAAAATTATTTTACAAAATAAAACTAACAAATTAATTAGTGATTATAAATATCCCTTCTATATACAGATCCTACTCATCGGCCAATTCCATTGAATGCTACCCCAAAGCCATCTCTGACTCCTCCGCTACCAACCGCGCCGTCGAAATTTTCTACCAATCATCGATGCTGCTGTCAAGACCCCTAGCGCAGGGAGAGCTCCAATCGAACTCACCAGGCTCATTCCCGCCGATGTCACCGCCTGTGCGAACACTACCGAGGTCGGTTAGGCCGACATTGTTGCCGAATTGAGTAGCTCAGGTTCTCTTCTCGGTTGTCGGTAGTTGTGTCCTTACTCTACGGGCAGCAGTTTTGAACAACCTGATTGTGTACAGTTCTATTGTTATCAAAGTAATTAATGCTCTCCGATGATGTGAAAATTTCATGTGTATATAATATTTTTTTAAAACTTTTCTGTAGCAGTTTGTTACATATGTTTGGTTTTTTTTAGCGTGGTTTGATTTGTTGCAGCTATGACTTGATTAACACGTACGTACTGAATGCTTTTTTGGTTTATTGACATCTTCCCTCTTATATATTCGGTTTTGTTCTGACTTAATCTAAAAATATGAATCATGTAGTAAAATACAATATGAAATGTACTCTAATTTATCTGGGTTCATTATCTGGGAATAACCATGGCTATCAATCTGCATGAAGAATTGAAGATAAGGAAAGTATGGCAGTGAAATTGGAAATAAGTGAGAAGGATTTTTAGTTTTTAATAATCAGTTATTTTGTATAGTCGTTTCTTTTTAATATAAATTTTAGTCTATAATTATGTTAAATTTAAAATTTAGCATTATTTTCTAATTTATTTGTTTTATTTTTTTAATGAAATTTATTATTGATAAATAACATATAGCATAACAAAATAAGTTTATGAAATTAAACCATAACTCAATTAATTTTAAAGATTTTATAAACCACTCTCGGTTTAACATATATATTATTATTACTAGTGTTTAAACATGTGTTATGCACGGGGTTATTATAATTAAATTTAATTGTTATATTATTTTTATTTAACTTTATATATATATATTTAAAATAAGTAAAAAATATTTATGTATATCTTTAATTAAAAATATATAAAAATAAATTACTTTTTAATTATAATTATATTATTAATAATTTACCAAAGAAAATTTGCAAAAAAAGAGTTGATCATATTAACTATAAAATACATATTAAATTATCTATACAAAAGCTATACTAAAAATTAAAGTTATAAGATTAAAATAGAATTTTATTATATTTTTTAAAATTTATTATACAAAATTATAATAATTTATCAAGAAGGGGGAAAAATTAAGTACAAAAATTGAAATGTTAATTTCAATTTTTTTTACAAATTTTAAATTATTATTTCATATGACATGATCTATATAATCTATCAACTATTATTTCTAATAAATAAATAACATTTTTCATAAAGTTACTTAAATATAATAATTAGTTAGTAATATAATACAGTAGATTACAATAATTAATAAAAAAATATATAAAACAAACTTATAAAGCAAACTACCTATACTAAATTTTAATTTTTTTTCCTAAAAAACTTATAAATTTAAAAAATAATTTATAAATTCCAAAAAAAAAGGTAGACAGAAATTTGAGGTGTGGAGTCCACACCCTGTGCTATAGTTATATATATAGGATATATGATAGAATTATTATTGTGAATTTTTATCTTTATTTTCTAAATTAAACATCTATCTGAATAAAATTAGAATTAAATAGAAAATTTTTAAATAAAAAAATTCATTATTATTGATGTATAATTTTTAAATAATTATTTTTAACTGTATGTTCATTTAGATTAAAAAATTACTAAGAATATTGATAGGTAAAATTTGATGATTACTTTTGAAATTATACTATAATTACTCTAAAACACATTAAAGACATAAACATCTATTGAGTAAAAAAATTATTATTCAAAGAAAATTATGACTGTGCAAGACAGTTTTTTTTATATAACCTAAAAACTCTACCGGAGCTGCACACTGGATAAATTTTCGGTTCAATCTATTACCCTGTAAATTAGGCTAATCAAATAATTACTACACAGACAATTATTTTATGCCTATGGATCATGGTGCTGGACATATTTCATACCATGCTTAACACTATAAAAAAATCTTTTATGTTAATACATCATTTAAATATATTTAAAATATAATTAGGATAATAATATTTGAGTAACCATCACAACTGCGAAGAATAAACAATTAGCACAGGATTTGTGCTGTTAATTTGTTGTAACAACTTTGTATTTAAATTAATAGACATTATATTAAAATATATATTTTTTCGTTTCATATACATTTGTACTTTTTATTTCGTTCGTTACATATAATTTGTCATATTTAAAAAATATAATTATATTTTTAAATTTAGTAATTTATAATTTTTTAAAATTTAATTAAATTATTATTTATTTTAATAATAATCTAAAAATAATAAAATTCTTAGCTATTTACTAATTATAATTCATCAAAAAGAAAGAAATAAAAATTAGTAAATAATTACAATGATATTTATTTTGGTATTGATATATGATTATTTTTACTAAAATAAAAAATAAATAGTTTAAAGATTTTTTTGAATGACAAAGTCCCATAAGTTATTAAAATTACTTAAAAAATATAAAAAAATTAATTTTAAATTGTACATTGTATTAACACAATGTTTTGTTCCTTTAAAGTATGAAATCAAATGAAATAAATTTCTAATTTTATTTGATCTATATGAGTTGTTTATTATTATTAGGTTTGTTTGTTTAGTCTTTTTGATCTAAAATTATTTTATATGAAATATAGATAATTGTATAATTAATATAGATAATAATATTTTATATTAAATGTTGACTTTTGTAAAAAAATAATATATTGAGAATAGTGTAGAAAAAAGATTAAATGAATAAAAAATAGAACCATTTAAATAGAATAAATTTTTTTTATTTTTATTTAAAATATTATATTAAATATCTATTTATTTCATATTAAATATTGTTATAATATTATAGTATCATTTTAGTTATATTACATATTTTATTTCAAATATATACAATAATCATAATTTTTAATTATTAAATATTTAGTTTTTATAATTTATGTTTAAATAATACTTCATGTGCCATTTAATTGTATGTTCATTTGACCGAGTACAAATTTTTAAAAATATATATAAAAATAAATTTCTTTATTAAACAATGAATCGAAATAAATTTAGATGATAACCGAAAAAAGAAATTGGATTAATATTATCTTTTTAAAAATATTTAGCCATTGTTATTTATTTAATTATTATATTTTATAAAAATTTATTATTCTTAAGCTTATCAAAATATTAAAATACATGAAAAATAAACATAAAATCTAATAAAAATATTTTTAATAATGTATTTTAAAATAAATTGTAAAAATTAATATATAGTATTTATATTGTATTTTTTTCATCGATTGCACCGTATGTAGCACAGGCCTCCCGCTAGTTTCTAAGTATTTTGCATTGCGTGCGTTTCAAGAGTTTTGGTTAGTTTCAATTTTAATTATTATTGTTTATTTTTCGTTATTTATGAATATTTATTTATTGAATCAAATGACTTATAGTTGAGCAATACTTTCAAAATTGAATACTATAAAATTTTTCACTTTAAAGACATGAGTGTTATCGACTCTATTATGGACAAAAAATTTGTGTTCTTTTTAATAAATATAAAATTTGTACAAATTATATTTGACAGATATCTCATATATAGGGAAGAGAACCGTGTCGCGGATACCTTCGCAACTCTGACGGTTTCTCTTTTGATTGAGCGGACATTTCTCTCAACAGATATCCCTTCGTCGATCAAAAATGTCATTTGAG